CAAATCAAGCCAGCAATAATCAAGCCAGTCACAATCGAACCAGCGTTTCCTTCTTGGTTCGATCCATCTCAATATCTGAGGCAAACAAATTCAGCCCCTTATCCAAAGCAGCTGGAGGACCAACTTCATAAAACCAAATTTCCTCTGAATCACCGAGCTCAAATACTCCACGATTCCCCATGTCGAGCTTTAGCCGTCTTCTCCCATCGACACATTCGACCCATATCCTGATGTCGATGCTGAGAATCAAAGTCAGGCCCAAACATCCCCCTCCACTGACCTGTTTTCCACCTCTCCTTGAGCAGCAAGAGCGAGAGAAGCCCCACAAGGGCCGTCAAAACGAGGATCAAGGCCTCCTGTAGCATCGTTGACGAGACCAAGAGAAGGGGGATGAAGAGTGGAAGGCCAGGCGGGCGAACTTTATATATCCCCTCCTGCGGATCGGGTCCCTGCTTCCTCATCCGGCAGTGGCACCAAGATTGTACCACGCAAAAGGAGAAGAATGTCAGTCAGTCGGTGTCAACAAGCTATCAGCCCACCCAGCACAATCTCGCTGTGGTGGCAGGCTTTCGATTGGACCGAGCTATATCGCCATAGGTGAGTGAGTCAGGCACGGAGGGGTTGAGTCCGGGCTCGATTTCAAATCATGACCACGTCACGAAGCGAGTTGTAATGAGCGCTCGCCAAGTTGAAAGCGCTTGGTCAAACCACATGTTAACTGTTTAAGTTTGGCAATATATTAAGCAGGATATCGATATCTTGGGCCTTGGTGGCGTAGGTGGCCAAGGACGGAGCCACCGAGATCGTCATCGAGACTGACTGGTGGCGGACGGGCTGGCCCTCGGCTTGGCTGCTTCCTTTCCTTATCCATCATCCGCGTGGGGCGATTTGCATTTCTGCGTCATCCATCGTTTTGGGCAACTTCAGCATACCTTGTAGCCCGATTGCGTCCTGCAAGCTTAACAGAGTTTGAGATCACCTCGGTCCTGATAGAATGGTCACGCTGAGATGGTTCCGCGTCGCTTCGGCTCTCAGAGAAGGGACTCTGGATGTGAATTATTGTATCTGTTAGGCTCTGGAATATGTGATTGCTTGCCAGGATTTAGCCAGGGAGTCAATATTGCAGGAGCTCCTCTGCGACTCTGCGGGCTGTGAGCTGTTCCATGATCGATTGGATTGATGCCCTGCTTGAATATTTTGATCAGAGCCCATCGTCGCCAAACCACAGTGAGTTGACCTGGACGGCTCGTCCTCGGGTGGTGGTTAGGGCCGTTCCACCGTCTGCCCGGAGATTCCCAGGGAGGTCGTCGATGAACACGCTGAACATCAGCGGGCTCAGCACCGATCCTTGGATCAGTCCCTTCTGCAGCCAGACCGGATTGGACCGACGGCTCTTGCTAACGACTTGAATCTTCACATCGTCGAACATGGCCTTCAAGAGCCTGAGGGTGATCGTACACGGGGTGCGCTCTTCAATCTTGTCCCAGAGCTTCTCCCTCCAGACAGTGTCGTAGGCCGCCTTGATGTCGAGGAACACCAGGGAGTACTCCTCGCCCGCCAGCTGGCGGTCCTTGATGAGCATGTCCAGGCCAAAGATCTGGTCGAGGGTGCCTCGTTCGGCCCGGAATCCACCTTGGGCAATGTCCATCAGTCCGAGCTTTCGGTTGAGCAACGGCAGCAATGCTCGCTCAACAACCTTTCGGCAGACCTGGGTCAGTCCAATCGGCCTGTACATTGCGGGGTCGAGGGGCGATCCCTTGTTCTTGTAGACGGGATGGATCAGCACTGTACTCCACTCAGTTGGGACCACGGACGCCTTGATGGCTGCTCCCATGAGGAAGTAGAGCCATATCGAGACTCTATATGCGTTGGGCTGGAGCAGTTCGATCTTGATCCTGTCTCATCACCGAGAACAAGATGTTTGATATCGTCAACGCCAACGGGTGGGAGGTTCTGTTCGACACCCGCGAGCTGTTCGGGGGCCGTCTTGAAGCCCATATGCAGCGACGCCATGGATCCTCTGTCTTTTGGCTCCGCTTGCTACTCCAGTTCCCCCATCCAGTCGATCTCTTTTCTTCTTGGCTGAGCACCCCCGAAAGCGTCGAATATCCCAGCCTCGCTTGAGATACTGTGATTCTGCATCGCTGCTCACAGCCACGCGGGCACCTCGCCGCTCCGCCAAGATCGTCCACCCTGCCCCATCGGCCAGGATGCAGCTGTTGTGGCCTCACGGGACCCCAAGGGAAGAGGGCCTGGCGAGCCAGGCTCCCTCCGGGTACTTGAAAAGACCAGCGTCGTTCTTCCTTCCCAGTTGTTCAAGCAGCCAGGCATGGATGCGCCGGGACGCCCAAATTCGAGGAGGGTGTCAACTGTGCCGGGCAAACGAGGAGCGGCGATTCTCGGGTTTTTATAGTTTGGGCGGTGGGTGTGGCTTGTGCGCATGCCTTCCAAAAGGGGCAAAATGAGATCGCACTCGACCCGGCTCGCTGGTTTGATCTTCGAGAGGCGTGTTTGGGTCTCGCTTGGGCTGCGAACAACGACGATGCCCGACCCTCTCCTCTCCTGTCGCGATAGCCACGACAGAGGGCATCGCACCCAGGGCTGTCGGGTGGCAGCATCCCACGCCCGAGACGCTGGCCGTGGTGTGGGTGGGCTGTGGCGGCGGGCTGATCGGATGCATGTTCTCTCGCCCAGCTTTGGGATGAAGCACCGTTGCGGGCGGACATGTTCCACGACATGTCTTGCCGCTGCTCACCCACAGATGCGGGCAGGGTATGGCGTGCAGGGATATAATGTGATACAATACAATATTATATTCAATATCATATCCGCATGTCATATTCAATATCAAATTCGCATGTCATGATATTCCTCAATATGCCATGATATTCCTCAATTATGCCGTAATATTCCTCAATATGCCATGATATACCATCCCACAGCGCGAGTGTTCCCCCAAATCGCATGTCTTTGCGTGCGCCATTGTGCCCGCTGCTCTGTCCTCCGTCGGTCCTCCGGCCGCCCGTCGCTCCATCGGCCCCCTCCCCATCCGCTCGCCGTGCCCCACGCATGCCCGCCCCTCGCCCCGCTCCCCGCCGGCTCGCTCGTTTCTGCTCCCATTGCGTCCATCCGCCTCCATCGCCTTTGCTGCTCTCCCCTCCCGTCGGCCTGCGTGCGGTTGCCTTTGCCTCCTTCCACCAGCCGGGATCCTCCGTGGAAATAGCGCTTGTTTCGTCTCCGGCTCCTGCCGCCTTCCTTCCCTCGCTTTGCTGATCACCCGATCCTACTGCTTGGTCAGCCCGTGCGGATCGCCTCTCGCCGAGTCCTTTGACCCTGTCCCGACTGCCCGACCTGGACTTGCCCTTCTCCCCAATTGCCAACCCTCGAGTCTTACCACTCATTTGCTCCGGCCCCAACCAGCACCCACCGCCGGCTTTCATCCCTTCATCGCTCAACCCGGACTCGCCCTGCCCCTGTCTTCTGCTGACTCTGTGGATTTTCTCGCTGATCGACGCTGATCCACTGTCCGAACACCCGCAACCTGTTATCTGCCCTCGCCCTTTCTGTTGCGAATCTGTCTGCACCACCCGGATCATCGCATCCGTATCTGCCGCCAGCGCTTTCGAGATCAGCTCCTCAGTCCGCTGCTCCAGCTTAAGCCGCCCTGTCTCGGCCCGTCCCATCCTGGAGCCTTCTCCTCGACTTCCTCAAGCACCATGCCTCCCAGCTCCAAGGCCAAATCGTCAAAACAGACCACCTCTGATGCACCCGATGTCGAAAAGTACAAATTCCTCAAGCGCAAGCTAAAAGCCCTGCTCGAGGTGCTTGTCCTCTTGTCTCGCATCAGTCGTTTATTCTCGTCCCTCCGGCATTAGCATTTGCTCCTCGCGCTGGTGGGCCCGGGATGCTTGCGTCGGTCGAATCCACTTCATGTTACTGCGCGTTGGGCTACTGATAGCCGTTGGCGAACGTCGTGGAGCTGGAACTCGCTTTTGTGCCAGTACATGTCCAGGATCTGAACACCAGATGGCTCCGTCTCCTACCTCTTGGTGCTGGATGCATCGATGCGACTCATGAGGTCTTTCCAGCGAGCCAGGGGCGTTGCTTTCGTTGATCTACTTCCTTCCTCGGCCCAGTCTTTCTCTCGGCGGCCCCATCACTCACCCTCTCTCCATTGCTGTCTCTGGAACAATCCACGCGCTGCTGCTCTCAGGAAAACGACAAGATCGGCGACAAGCTCAAGTCTGCCAAAACCAAAATCAGCCAGCTCAAGAAAGAAAAAGAGTGCGTCCCTACCGCTTCTGACTGCAGTCGTGCTGGATTCGCTTGCCTTGGTGCTTGCCTTGGTGCTTGGATAAATCGGTGCCTTGGTTCTGGTGCTTACGCTTCGATGCTCCCACACAAACAGCATGCTGCTTGACCGTCTTGCCATGTACGAGGGCGACAGCTCCTCGGACTCGGACAGCATTTTCGGCAGCGACGGTTCGGACTCGGACTCGGACTCAGACTCGGCTAGTACGTAGCAGCTCTGCCATCGACCTGGAGTGGACTCGCCGCCTATCCTTGGTCCATACCAGGGCTACTCTCCGCGTTTGCTGGGCATGTGTGCACATGTATTCACATACGACCACTCGGTGCGCCGGCTCTTCTATTTTTACTCTCGGTCGTCCTTGGTTGTCGACCCGGCAGACGAGCAGACTCCAAGGAAAAACGAAACCGCCTCGCCATCCAAGGGAGATGCCCCTTCCGCGCTCAACCACAACCACACCTCCAGCCACACCTCCAGCCATACTAGCCACTCACAGCCCGACCAAACCATGTCCCAGAGCGAGCAGCCGTCTGCCGACCAGCTGTCCCAGAGCCCCGCGATGCGGGACGACGATGACGATCCAAGCATCTCCCAGCAGCCTTCGAAAAAGCCCCGTATTTCCCAAAAGCCGACCAGCTCACCCAACGGCGCCGCGGCCCCGGACACCCCCGTCTCTACCACGACCGCCACAATGATTTCTCCGTCCATTCCAACGCCCGAAAACACCCGAAGGCCCAAAAAGACAACCCAGAAACGCGCCCCCGTCACCACCAAGCTACGAAAGATCCAGGAGATTCCCGTTGGCGAGGACGGACAGCCGGTTCTTCCCATGCAGATTGGCATCATGACACTGCACTCCCTTGGCGCCGTTGTCACCGATCGCGAAAACTTTCATTCCGAGCGATACATTTACCCCGTGGGATACTGTGTCTCCAGGCAAGTCCGCGCTATGGCTATCGGATCTCAGTGTGTCCGGAAGTGCCTCCGCTTGCACCAATCGCAAGTCTGCCGAGTGCCACCTTGTGGGCTGCTGTGTGTCGAGAGCGACCACCGTGCGCACTCCCTGACATTCATGATCCTAATGAGTTCTGTCATCGCTTTTATCGCACCGGTCACACCCTTCGCCCCGGCGACTCCCGACTCAACCTTGTCGCACGCAGACAGTACGCCAGCATGATCGATCCCGAGCGCTCCGTCATTTACACCTCACGGGTACTCGATGGAGGAGACGGCCCTCGCTTCCATGTCGTGGCTGAGGATATGCCCGATAAGCCCATCGTGGCCAACTCTGCAACCGGTGCTTGGACAACCATCATCAAAAGTATGTCCTTCCTCATCAGTCTAGCCAGCGCTGGGTCGATCCCCCCCCCACTCATACACTTTGCTTCGACTGCATCAAGTGTCCTTCCTCACCTCCGATCCGCATCAGGACCCTACTCCAACTGACGGTATCCTTCCCTATTCTTCGACGCGGATATAGACGCCAATCAACTCCGAAATCGTGAGCATAGCAACAGCGCCTCCGGTCCGGACTATTTCGGCTTCTCGCAGCCTTCCATCGCCAAGATGATTCAGGACCTTCCTGGCGCTGATCTCTGCAAGAGCTACGTTCATCAGGAGGTGAGATACCAGCATCTGCGGTCTTGGCTTCCCTTGGCTTCCCTCGGCTGTATCGGCCTTTGATCTCGCCTCCCACCCGTACTCCTGCCGACCTTCACCCGTGCATCTGTGGCTGATCCTTGGCTGTCTCGATATCTCCCCTCATCGATCGCAGTTCGAGGTCTCAAAGGGCCGCGGTGGGCGCCGGTCAAAGAAGGACAGTGAGGCCGCCAAGAACGACAACAGCGCCACCGGAACACCTGTGGCAACACCTCCCGCCCTGCCCTCCGACGCATTCCTTCACTCGGACATCGGGGGCGTGCCGCCCAGCTCCGAGCTGGAATATTCCGTCGCGGACGATGTGGATAGCCTGACACACAGCGGCGCGATGGATCTGGACGAGCACCAGACGCCGATTCATTCTTCTGCCACGAGCAGTCATGCCCCGGCCCGCTACCAGGACGACGACGACGATGACAGCGATATCTTCCCCGACGACGATGACGACGACCTGATGGATACTCCTCGCCATTTCCCGGATATGACGAGACCCACCGCCCAGCCCACGCTGCCGCCGTTGCCTCCGCAGCCACAAACACAGACACAGACACAGACACGGATCTTGCCACCAGCCGACAAGAGCCACATGCCCATCTCGACCGCCACGGGCCCGATGCAACAGACGAATGGCAGCGGCAGTGCTGGCGAAATGCCCTTTGTCCGCCCCGCCACCGCCGGCACCTTTCCAGTCGCCAACCCGGCATCATAGTTGCATTTCGATCCGGGCAGCCGTCACGATCCTGGGCGGCCGCCTTGATCTGACCTCACCTGGTCCGACTTCTCCCACCCTCCCGAGCCCTCTAAAGACGACCTCCCCATCCGCTGCGGTCGACCGCTCTGCTCGCTTCCGTCTTGTGCGGTGGCCCTTGCCATCACAGTTGGCTCCTTTGTCGCAACTGAGGAGCGAAGCAGGCCCGATTTGCGGATCGCTCTTGACCTCCCCTACTATCATCTTCATCGCCATCGCCATCGCCGCTGCCATCGCCGTTGTCATCGCCGTTGTCATCGCGATCCCTCCGCACTCCCATCTCCGTCCTGGTCTCCTCTTGATCTTAGTCGCTTGGGGTTCGGACCCGCACGATCCCGTCCTGCCGCACCTATCCTGTGCCGCGTGTATATACACCACATCGCAATGCGAACCATGGCCGTCTCCTCGACCGATTGTGTCCGTTGGGAGGAGCAAGGCCCCCGTTCACACGAATGTGATACTGCACTCTGAGCTGCTTGCGCCGGTGAGGACCGCAGCTGGCTCGTTACAGTACTAGGCATATTCCTTGGTCATCAAGCCAGTCCATGGCCTCTTCAGGGAGGAGGAGGAGGAGTGGATGAACATGTGTTTATTCAGAATCCAGAGCCGCGAAAGCCACCCCATGAGCCCAGTCCCATGAAGCATGGAGTGGAGGATGCAACCGCATAGAGAGGGCTGCTACTTTCGCGCACCAAAGAGGCCGCCAAACCACCCCCTCTGGCTCTCCTCAGGCGCCGCACCGGCTGCTCTGCCCGAGGCCCGACTCCTCACGCTTGCTGTCGGGTAGTCGCCAACGCCATTGTAGGCAATGTCAAAGAACATGGGCTTGGCTGACAGGACCTTGAAGTTGGGCGGGAATGACACGAGGTTGGGGTTCTTGGAGTCGAAATGGGGTGCAAACGACTGCAGACGGTCGACGAGAGGAGTCTGTGATGAAAGAGTGCAAGGCCGTCAGACGATCAGCGAGAGAGAGAGAATGAGCTAGCTTCGACAAAGCACCCGGCAATGCAAGTCACTGGAAAGGCCATCACCAGGCACGGGACGAGATGAGATGGGAGGGGAGAGCGGCACGCCGCTTTACCTCGGTCTTCTCGTGGGCAGCCTCTGAGATCTCGGCAGTCTGGATTTGCAGGCATGTCTCGGCACGCGCACGGATCCTCTGGCCGGCGATAGAGTCGGTCAGCTCCTCAACCAGAGCCAGGATCTTCTTGAGCTCGTCGACGTCATCGGACGACACGGCTTCGGTTCCGGCAGCGGCCTTCTTGCCGGGCTTGGAGGCCTTTCGCAGAACACTCTCGGCATCCGAGCGAGCCAGCGACAGGTGCTCCTCTGCACGGCTGTAGAGCGCATTGGCTTCGGGGTGCTTTCCGGCCTGGCTGTAGTGGTCGGCAATCCGGGCAGCGCGGATCGCCTTGTAGTAGAGAAGTCGAGCATTGCACAGGTTTTGGTAGTTGTTGTCGCTCTCGAGAGCAGGCAGGTCCTTCATCTCGACGAGGGCCTATCAGTTCATGCATCATTTGGACGTCTGAGTCAGTCACACATAAACTCGATCCGCCTGGCCAAGGGCGGCTCACTAATACCGGCACGCATCAAAGGCGACTTGGGCCACTCGGGCGGCTTTGCCTCTTGGTCTCCACGGTTTGCCTACCCGGGTGATGATCTCGTACAGCTTGACAATCTCCTCGGGCTTGACCGACTTCTTGTCGGGCTTGCCGCCGCGCCGCTCCTGGTCCCTCAGCTTCTGCTTCAGAATCTCAATCAGGAGCAAGTTGCGATCGATTGTGATTCTCAGTCGATTAAAGGCAACGTAGCTAAACAGGAGCTGCAGGTTTCGGGAGTTTTCATCGCTCTTGGATGACTTGATCTTTGTGGTCGCAATCTGGACCCGATTAAAGGACTCATGGTTAGCACTGACCGACACACGTTCATCCCGGAACAAGCGCTCTTGCATAGATCCTCCTCCCTCCATACCGAGTCCTGCTTGATGTCGTTCTCGGCAATCGAGTTGGCCGCCCAGAAATGGCCCAGGACCTTGTCGAAGAGCTCCAGATGACTATCGCATGCGTTCTGGTTGGACAGATCCGGCTGCGCCGTCGCATTGAGGCGCTGGACCATCTCTTGCGCGGAAATAATTGCTTCCGCGAGCTTGTCGTTTTTGCAGGGCACGGTCTGGCTTCGGAAGCCGATGTCGTGAACCTGGCCGGCACGCTCCTGGCGACTTTGAGACAGCAGCGACTGCAGGATCGCCGACGGCATAGCGTTTCGATCGACAGACGCATTAGCTGCTAGATTGGATCGCCGTCGAGGAAGAGGGTTGTGCAGGCATTGTGCGAATGGTGCTCCACGCAATCGCTACAACCAGTGACTCTGCCGATCAGCTCACCTCGACCTTGGCGGCCACCAGATCCAGACCGGCTCCCTCGCTGTTGTTTCTCATCTCCAGCAAGGCCGAGATGTCAAGCGTCTGGCCGCCCTTGAGTTTGAGATTGTATGCGCAGTATCGGATGCTGGGATCGATGGCATCGATGGCGACGTGGCACAGGGCCTCTTGCTCGGCAGTTCCAACGCTAGCCAGCTTTTCGTAAATGGTGCTGAGCAGAGTTGCAGGAGCACCAGGGGACATTGCAAGTGAATCGATGCACAGGAGCAGGAATTGTGTGCTGGTTAGTTCTGATTGCTGGTGTGCAGGCGCAGATATATGTGGATTTGGATTTGGATGCACTCGTGGATATGCATGGGCAAGTGCATGGGCAAGTGCATATGCATGTGCGTACCGGGCTGCTCCAAACTTTTCAAGACATTGCTCCCACTCCTGTCTCTCGAATAAAAGATAGCCGCCCATGACGAGGGCATAGGCCTGGACCTCCAGAAGGGTTCGAGGCTCGACGTCTTTGTCCTGGCACACTTGTTCGAGCGCCGCTGACACATCGGCGGCTTTCTTGAGCTTGCGGATCAAGTGGTGGTGCTTTCTCGGCTCGTCGTTCGATTCGCGCTTCAGCTGCATAGCATAGCTCCAGTTCCGCTCGGTGTCGAACAGCAGAATCTCAAGATGGCTGATGAGGGCAGAGTGGGCAGCGACAGGCAAAGCAGTCGCAAGCAGAGGCGTGTCGACAGTTAGAGATAAGCGTTGGCTGAGGGTGTGTGCTCGTGGTGCAGACATTGTCCAGGGGGGAACCGTCTGTGATCTTGGCAGCCACATCGGAAACTGGGCTTTCCCTTGAAGCAGATTTCCATACCGACTCTCCGACACCACATCGGCGGTGATCTCCTTCTTCTCAAACCGCTTCTTGCCCTGGGTCAGAGAAAGGGCCTTGCGCACCCGCTCGATCTTGCGGGTGCAATACTGTCGATATCGCTGATAGTCTTGATGGCGGAGACCATGGGCGCTTCGGGCCTCATTGGTGAGCGACAACACTGGTCAGGAGGATACGCAGGAGAGACGACGTCAGAGCCAGCGGTCGACGGAAGCCAGGACGAGAGCGGAACGTGCCCAGGCGTCCTTGGGCTAGGGTAGTGCTTGGCCATCATCAGAGCCGCCTCGCTGCAGAGCCTATCCCATGAGGGAACTTTGACATCGCGGGCTGAGGAACAGGCTCTGTAGCAAAATATCCACTCGGTCGGTGAAGCGACGCATCCATTCTGTCAACCCACCGTCGAGAATCAAAGGGGCTGCGATGGCTTCGACAGAATCCATGATCGTGAGTTTCGTTTGGAGCTGTTCCATCGGCAAGTTGCGAGTGGTATCGGTGAGTACCGAAGCAGTGGCATTGTTCTGCACAGATCGATGCAGGCCATCGGTCTGTCGGGCATTGGGCATCTGCGGGCATCTGCATCGCACCCACCTGCGTCGCCGTGCTCACTCGTCGAGATCGTCGCAAAGGGGGAGAACTGTGTCGAGGCTCCCAGATCGCCAGCGTGGAGCGTGTGTGTGTGTGTGCGTTCTGTGCTGCGCCGCGGTTCTGTGCACGCTGTCGCCAGCCAGTGCGGTTCGACCCAGGCCGGGCGGCTCGATCCGGCATGGCAGTGCGCAGCGATCTCGTGGCGCAGTGTGGCGTGTAATTCTCCGAGCGCGGTCGGCCAATGGCGGGCGGTGTGGCTGGCGCTTTTTTTCGTGTCCGCTCTTCTCGCTCGGGCGCTCTCGCCCGTGCTCTCGTCCTCGTCCCGTGCTCGCTGCTGACCGACCTTGATTTGAGGCTGGCCCTCGGCTCTTCTCCTGCTTTCTCTCCCCTTTTCGATCCCCATCAACGTTGCGTCGTTCTTCCAACAGACACGGCACGTTAGACCCTCTCAATAGAACCAGCCTGCAAACGCTATGACTTTCCAAAAGGTGCCTGTCCGCTTTTTGCTTCTTCTCCACCAGTGTGCGGCGACAGATTCCGCAACGGCGGCGCACCCGAAAGTATCGATATCACTCTTCCGAGCTTCGGCATGACTTGGTGCGGAGGCGGCCGCAGTCTCGTCGACATCAAGCGCTGTGGACATTGAATCTGGCCAGCATCGACGCCCTTGGACCAACGGCAGAGTGGCGCCGGCGACCGGAATACTCGCAGGATCGCAACTGTCATCGGACCTCGATGGCACACCAACCGACCAGCTCTCCAGGCCGGCCAGATTCTGGGATACGGATCGAGCATCTGCGCGATCGTCTGGGAGACGAAATACAGGATGGATGCTGGATCGTGTGCAGCCATATAGGAGCGGCAGCTCATGCAGCCGACCGACAGACAGACTGTTGTGCCTTCCATGTACGCTGGCTCGTACGGATGCAGCCCCGGACCAAAGTCGCGCGCTGCTTACGGCTGATTCTGGATGCCAGTTTCAGACCGGTGCCCTCCGATGGCAGGCAACCTGTGGCACGGACTCCGTGCTGCTGTGGGAAAGACTCACCGATTGGCATGCCTCACCGTCAACAACGCCGATCCGATCGGCCTCACATCCGATCGCCCAAGCGGCGACGCCAGTGGCTTGGTTGACCACACTACACCACACCCTCACGATCGCCTGAGTCTGTCGACAAGAATCCTGACCCCCGCTGTCCTCTTCTTGTTGCAGGAAATCGTTATTGACGCCAAGGGTCACCTTCTCGGTCGTCTTGCCTCGATCGTTGCCAAGCAGCTCCTCAACGGCCAGAAGGTTACCGTTGTTCGCTGCGAGGAGATCAACATCTCGGGTACCTTCTTCAGACAGAAGAGTAAGTAGCCGCCACTGCCCGTTGTGTGGATATGATGTGCAAGTGTCGCCAAGTTCTCGTCATCGTCGCCCTCTCTCTTGGAGCCAAGCGAGCGGCCGGATTGGGCTATTGGAGTGCCGCCTGGACTGGATTCTGACCCAACTCTGTAAACGAATCTTGCCGGCCCTCGGCACATGCAGTCAAGTACTCCAACTACCTCCGCAAGACCTCTCGTATCAACCCCCAGCGCGGCTCGTTCCACTTCCGTGCTCCCTCGCGCATGCTCTACCGTGTCATCCGCGGTATGACTCCCCACAAGACCGCCCGTGGTGCTGCTGCCCTTGAGCGCCTCAAGGTCTTCGAGGGTGTTCCTCCTCCCTACGACAAGGTCAAGCGCGTCGTCGTTCCCGCCGCTCTCCGTGTCCTCCGCCTCAAGCCCAACCGCAAGTTCTGCGTCATCAAGCGCCTTGCTCAGGAGATGGGCTGGAAGTACCAGGGTGTCGTCGAGCGCCTTGAGGAGAAGAGAAAGGCCAAGAACGCTGTCTACTACGACCGCAAGAAGGCTCTCCTGCGCCTCCGTGCCCAGGCTGAGAAGAACACTGCCGCCTCTCTGGCTCCCGTCAACGCCAAGCTGGCTGCTCTCGGCTACTAAGCAGTCGCTTGGTTGTGTTTGAGATTTGGAGGTTGTCGTCTAGGTGGGGGTGTCTAACTCCAGGGCTGGCATTCTCGCACTGTTTTTCAATACATAAAAATCAGCCAAATGCCTAGCGCTCGGTAAAAATCAACAGATCAGATCCCCTGTGTCAGCCGCCAGCCGGTATCCGCATCGGTGTTGTTGGATGCTGCAAATGCTCGGTGATGGAACGAGTCTCATTCTGCACTGCATCCTCCTCAGTGTGCGTTCTGATCTGGCTTCGTAATCCCGTGCTGGATTTCGTCGTGGCCATGGGATATCTCGGCACTTGGCCATGAACGAGACATGGCCGGCCATACCGACGCTGGATCGATGCTTGCTCGTCCAGCAAGCCATTCAGACCAGCCCTCCGCACTAGACAACAGACCTCGAGCCCCAGATATGTCCCTCTGCAGGTCCCCGATACCCCAATGCCAACTTGATCGACCATGTCGATGCGGTTCAGGCGGGCTTGTGATCAAAACGTCTCGGCGAGAGCAGCTCCTGTGGCAATCGCTCTCGGCGAGAACGAGCCGGGTCTTTGTCGTATCCGTCCGTCGCAGCACATCAATTCTCATCTCCCCCCCCCTCGTCTTCTGCCGACACAGACATCCATGAGCACCGACGAAGTCGAATTTGCTAACGAGATCCTCGTTGCCCTCGCCTCCAAGTCCGCCTCGCCTCTGCGGGATGCCGAGACACCCCTGCAACTGGCGCCGCCGTTGTCCCAGCCCGTCGAGCTGAGCTTGGTAAACCGCACCCATTCACATTTGCAACCAGGAGTCGATCCGACGCCTCTTTCTGTCCATGTCCGTGCCCATGTCTTTCGAAGATGGGGAACCAGGATCTAATGCTGATGCTCTTCTCGATCCCGATACCGCCGTCTACGCCGATGGGCCATCTGCATCCGCCCCTCTCATCTCCCCATCGCGATCGGATACCCTTTCGTAGCCCCGGATTCGGCCAGATGACCTCAACCCCAAGATCACCGTGACTATCAAGGTGCTCAAGTCGACGACCCCTCCTCTGACCCTGACACTCTCTCAGTTTGACTTGATCCGCAAGCTGAAGCAGCAGGTCTCGAATGCCCACAAGATCCCTGTCGACAGCATCCGACTGGTTCTCTCCGGCAAGGCTCTGCACGATTTCCGCTCGCTGCTCGACTATGACGTCAAGTCTGGGGCCACCATTCATCTCCAAACCAAAGCTTCCACCGGCACAGAGGCGAGCGAGTCAGCCACAGACCCGGTCGGCCCGGTTCTCGACCGGTCAGCGCTGGAGAGCGAGGCCGAGGCCGCCAACAGGGAACAGGAACGCTCCGACGCAGCCCTGGCCCAGAAGGGACTGTCTCCTGACTTCTGGAAGTCAATCCACGAGCTTATTGGCCGCGAGTTCGAGCATCCGGCCGATGCCAAGAAGGTCTACGGCGAGTTTGTCAAATCGTACCTGAGCTCCATTTCCCGTGTGTCGCCCAGCGACCGCCAGGGCATCCTCACCGCCGCCCAGGTTTGAACCCGCTGGCACCCGAGCTCGCCCATGACCGACCCAAACGCCGATTCAAATGGTCGCCCGAGAGCCTACAGTGGCATCAAGTGACGGGACAATCTCTCGCCCAGAATAAAACCATTGTCGAACACAATCCACAGCCTCAGTGCCCAAACGCAGCTCCTCGCGATGCTGCTGCTTCGTCGTTCACCTGCGATCTGGAACAAGAAACGCCAGCAGGAGACCAATGGTACTGCGGCAGAGATCCGGGAGGGTGTGCAATCTATGAAAACTGAGACACAGCAATGAAATGCCCAGCAGCGAGGCATCAGCAAGCTGGAGCCAGTGATTGTGTCAGTTGAAGCCAATGGCGTAACATATTGGGCACTTCAAAGTCTGGATTATCTCGAATAGGGATGGTACAACAAAGTATGAGGTGGACTACAGGGCGGATGACTCTGTCAAGTGGAAGCCGTCCAGCGGATATGGCACTAGACGAACAACACTCGGACGCTGCCACTGCTGGTGCTGACTTTCATCCGACTCGCGCCGGTGCTGATGTTGCCAGATATATGCTGCGGTGTCGAGCCTGGGTCGGTCACGAACGAAGGGCCTTGGATCTGGATCTGGCCGCTGGAACTGGTGCAATCGACGGCGCCCGAGAAGGGGCCACGGGCCTGTACGCTCACGTTCCCGCTGATGGTCGAGAATCCCAGATCCAGCGGCGAGAGCCCACTTTGTGGGAACGTCATCTGGACATTGACACTGCCGTCGGACGAGACGTGCCTCATGCTGCCAGCGACGGCAAACATTCCGGCGACATTGCCCGACTGTGTCTGTAGAGAGACATTCGTGGCCGTCAAAGTATCCTGGCAGACACAGGAACCATGAGTCGTCAGTCTGCGGCGTGTTTGCCAGGGGTCGACACAGATGCAGTTCCTCGGCTGTGGAACCCCGTTGGCGAGTTGTTCCATACCCACCTCGACTTGAATTATCCCGGTCACCGTTTGGAGAGCGATGCTCTGAGCCGTGACGGACTGTGATGTGGCAGGACCAGGTCGGCAGTTAGCAGGCGGTTGACGAAATGTGCACAAAGCCGCCAGATAAGCGCAGAGAGCCGTGATTTGTACCGTGAGGTCGATTACACCAGATGTTGTCACGAAGGAAACTGACGATCCCTGGAAGGTCTGTTGATGATCACAGTCGTCATTAGCCACAGTAAAAAGCGTACGCAGTACTGTCCACAATCTCAGGATCGAGCATGGGATGCTGCGAACCACTCACCGAAACAACGATGTCGCCACCGCCGGAAAATAGCGAAACCTTCGAGCTTGATGACAAGTCGGCGCGCTGAAGAACCAGATGTGTCAGAGCTCGCTGAGCGGCATTTTTGAAGCGCGTTCGTCCCCGCACATAGTCTGCCTTGTGAGTGTCTCAAATAGCCCTGTAGTGCCTCGAAGCAGCATTGATATTACAGCCGCTTCCATGCGATCCTGCGGAAGGCGGCTGCTTGACTGACTACTGCAAACAAGAGAACTGACCTGCACGATGATGGGTGCAGTGCCTGCTGTCACTTGAAAGTTGCAAAAGGACTGCGATGCCACCAAGTTGAAGATATTGATGTTGCCCGAAGTTCCGGTCACGGTGACGTTGAGCGGCCGGGTCATTTTCCGCGGAAACTCGACTTTGACTGCCACAAAGAGCGTCTGGATCATGGGCCAGGGCAGCGGGCCCTGGACGGCAAACGATAGCTGTGGCTGAGTGACGATCGAAACTGTAGTCTGGTTGATCAGATCTTTGAGAGAGGTGTGGAAGTGATAATACAGACGAACGCTCTCGTCGCTGAAGTTGTGGCTTGTCAGGGTGATGGATGTGTCCTAGAAACCATATGAGATCGGCGGCCTTGAGCATGGTGACCAAAAACCCAGACGGCATATCCCGATGGGAGAGCAAAGCCATACCAGCGGGTCCAAAATTGTGATCGAGACTCCTGTAATATTGGTGGCGACGACAGGAATCTGGTCGGGGTACCAAGGATAGCGGCCCGTCGGCGTCAAATCCAGCGGTGTTTCGAATTCGTACTGGGGCTTGAGATCGGGGCTCGTTGGCCAGTGGTAGCTGACACCGTGATCGAGAAGCTAGCAACATTGATCGCCAGAGTTTTTTCAATCGACCGTACCAGGCACTCTCGGGCCCGCGGGTGAGTCACTTCAAGCACAGACTCCCACAGACGACCAGCACGAGGTGACGAGCCATCCATTCGCCCTGCACTCACATTCAGGATGTACAGGCCGACACCGACGCCAATGCCGAGGATGGCGATGACGACGCCTATGATGATGCATCCGCAGCGACGACGGCGATTGCGCCAGATTTCCCGCCGCATTCGCCTTTCCTCGACCTTGGGGTCGAACGGCGAGGGTGCGACGACGACCGAGAGCGGTCTGCAGGGCTCATCTTCATGGACGGGTGTCTGCAGGGGCGGGCTCGGGTCAGAGGAGGGGCCGGGCAAGTCTTGATCTGCACGGAACCCAGACACAGCCGAACTCGGAGGCGATTCTTGGCGGTATGCGGGGAGGCTTTCACCCTCAGCCGGCTCTGGAAGGTCTGGCAGCGCCTTCTCGAACTTGACGTGGCTCATAGACTCGGCAGCAGACGACAGTGGCGGCGATGGCAGGTCGGGAGATGCCAAAGGACAGCTGGCAGCAGCTCGCCTGGGAGAGACCAAGGAGGTCGAGCTGGTTGCTCGTGCGCACGCTCGGTTGGTTCATACAGGAGCGGACAACGGTGCGACGCCCACTGCGACCTCGGCGGGTCCGTGTAACCGCGTCTTGGATACCGCGCCGAACGAGATGCGAACGAGGTGCGAACGAGATGCGAACGAGGTGCGAACCAGAGGTGAACGAAACACCCAGATGCTGCAGATGAATCCCACGCAAGTAGTGACTGCTACCGCAACGATCGACAGGCTGCGAGCGAGGCGACCGCCACTCCAGTGTCCCAGGAGCACCGCGAATGCAAATGCGATATGCATGTGTGTATTCGGCCAATGAAATGGCCACCAACTACACCCGGGCTCGCTCGCTTTGCTTGAGCCAGCACTCACGAGTCACAGAGTGCAAGCCCAGTCTAGAGAATGTCCCACAGGTCCTCGAAGGCATTGCACTGGTGGTTGTCAAGTAGCAGGTGTCAGCGGCAGGGACGGCGCAAGTGTGGAAGAGGAAGTCGGGACTCGACCAACTCCATCTCCGCTTTGTCCCAGCGACCGACTTTCATCCAAATGTTGCTTACCAGCTTGCCACAAGTGACTGACGCCGAGAGCGGATATTCAGAGATTGAGATTTTTTCGTCAACAATCTCGTCGGCAAAGTTGTCGGGGCCGTGGGCCAGCGCGCCGATAAAGAACACCACAGGCTCATCAGAGTTCAATGTGGTGACCCAGTTTGAGATTTTGACGGTCGCAACATCAGCGGACATGGCTGCGGCGATCCGCACGCACATATACATCAGAGAAGAAGCGCCGTGTCAGAGTCGGTGCTGCTGTTCACAGGAGGCGCCTGCCACTGTCCCGGTGACTAGCAACACACTTACTGATCTTGCGGCAGTTCGGCGGGAGATGGTCCAGAATGGGATTCTTGATGACCTTCAGGAGCTTCTCCGGCCCGTTTACTGATCGGATACTCAGTTTGTGTAGCAGTTGAACTGAACGTGGATTGGTTTCCGCAAATGTTAGGATTGCGCTAGCTCACCCGAGACGGATGCAGCGGCTCAAGGGTTGAAGGTGTGCAATGCCACTCGCTCAGCATCGCTGAAATGGACAAGCGACACTCACCCATCAGGCCGCAGAAACGCTTGAATGTACGGGGAATACGGACGTGTGGGTTGACTTCGATGAGCACGTTTTTGGTTGTGTGGATGTATACCTGCAGCAGACCAGCCTTGTTCAGCGGACTGTCGAGGAGGGTCAAGAGACACTGGACAAACAGAGCGGAGAAGCGCTGTCAGCTGGTTTCCGGGAGAATGGCTTCTGTTCCACGATAGGTGATCCCGCATGCAAATTCCCGCCATAGCCGCTCATAGTCTACGCATTTCGAGAGTCCCAGCCCAGATCGTTCGTGATGACTCGTTTCCCATCGATGGTGTGGGTGGAAAGGCAATCCGCGCAGACACAACAGGGCCAATCGTTCCAGAATACGCATACAGTCGGTCTCAATGTTGCCGCTGTATGCCAGATGCCTTGCACCCACAGGAACTCCTCCGACCACCAGACAGAACGCATATTTACTTGGTGTGTGATATCCGGTCTCGACTCGGATATGTCGCGGTTGTGCTTCTTGAGGATGTGGTGGTGGTCGTCACAGTTGAGCAGGGCGTAGTGGCCCTCCTTGCCTTTGCCGAGCTTGACCGTCTCCAGCGACGCCGCCTCGAGGACGACAATCAACCGCCGGGCCGAGTTCTTCTCGAGGGTGGTCTTTGGGAGTTTCGGGGGCCGATCGGGCTGCAGATGCTGCATGATGGAGATCCGGGGAGGGGGTGGTTGCGGGCGGGTGGCGGATGTATCGGGCTCGGGGTTTGGCCTTGGGTCCAACAGAGGTGCTTGCTGGTGCTTGCTGGTGCTTGGTGCTTGCTGGTGCTTGCAGATGCTTGCAGATACGCTGCTGTCCTGGTGCTGCGTCCGTCTCGGTGTGATGCGCTATCGATGCCACGGCGAGCCAATTGCCCCGGTTTGTGTCTGCAGGATCGACCGCATCAACACTGGCAAGAAAAAAGTTGGCCGCGGGTAAATGAATGAGGCCATATGCCCATATCGGGACAAATCAGATAGCCGCGCTGTGGCCGGCCATGACGCCGTGCCATCCGTCCCAGATCCCAGCCCTCGCGATCGCATCGTCCTCTGGCCGCGGCGTCGTCTGAGCTGCACCGTCCTCTGGCCATCACCAGGCACCCAGCATCCACCCGATCCCGCCCCGCATCCGTCTCGAATCCGCCCGGAAATGACCTCTGCGCAAGACCTCGAGATCCGGCAAAACTCGCCCACCGACGGCATCTCGTCGCTCATCTTCTCGCCAACAGACCCGAACCTGCTTCTGGTCGCCTCCTGGGACAAGCTCGTCCGTCTATACGATGCCAGCACCGGCGACATGCTGACGCACTACTCGCACCGCGGGCCCGTGCTCGATGTGGCGTTCTCGCAAGGCTCGGATGTCTTCAGTGGCGGACTTGACCGGGTGTTGAAAATGTAGTGTAACTGACCAGGCTTATGGGATCATCAGGAGCTTTCTGGGATCAACCAGGATGCGATCGTCTGGAATCAGCAGAGATCATTGAGGATCATCGAGGATCGCTGTGTCTGTGGCTGAGCCAGATCTGGCTGGTGCATTTGATCGTGCCGCGAGCACGACGTTCGTCTGGGAAGGGTCCTGGGCATGCTCCTGACTGCCACCGGGCATGGAGCCATGACTCAACTCCCCTTGCAATCTTGGGACTAAACTGCTGGATCCACCATGCTCCGCCTCCGATCTCCCCTCTCCGCAGGAAGGACATCCAGAGTCCGACCGAAAAGGTGCTCGGCTCGCACGAAGACGCCATTCGGTGCGTTCACTTTAGCAAGGCGACAGGTAGGCTCCAGACTTGCGCGCACACATAGGGGGCAGCTCCACCGCCGACGGACTACGTCCACATTTGAGGCGGAGCATGGGTGGATCGGTCAACAACGATGAGTCGGCGAGACTGATGGATTGCCTAAGGCGTCCAACCCAGAGTGCCGACGCTGCGGGTTTCTTGCATCCAGACCCCGACTCACACTCTTTCCGAATCTCCCTCCAGGCAACGTCATCACCGGCAGCTGGGACAAGTCCGTTGCTCTGTGGGACCCCCGGTCAGAAACGGCAAAGATCGCATCCTACGACCAGTCCCAGACGGTCTATTCACTCGATAGCTGCGAGCACAATCTCGTGGTGGCCCTTGCCAACCGCATTGTGCACATCTATGATCTGCGGAACATGAGCGAGCCTGCCCAGGTCCGGGAAAGCTCCCTGAAGTACATGACTCGTGTGGTTCGGTGCTCGCCCGACGGCAAAGGTATGTCGCCTCCCATGGCCAGGGCGTGCACATGCTCCGAGAGCTGGAGCCGACGGGGAAGACTGACTTCACCGAGGCCGCTGTGATGCACAAAGGCAATGACACTGACGACATCTCGTTGTCGACCGCGACTGCCAATATGCAGGCTACGCCATCAGCTCGATCGAGGGACGAGTGGGGCTTGAGTTCTTTGACCCCTCACCCGAAGTGCAGGCAAAGAAGTACGCCTTCAAGTGCCATCGCAAAGTGGAGAACGGAGTCGAATACGTATACCCCGTCCATGCTCTCGCCTACCATCCTGTGTATGTGGCCGGGCCATATCTCGGTGTGCTGTCGAGACCGCATGGCGTCGTTCGCACAAATGCAGCCAGAGCCCTGTCGACATTGCCGTGGATGGGCATTCTGTTGCATCCACCGATCCCCTCGCTGTTGAGTTGCATGCTGATGCGTGACCGGGTTCGATTGTATGTAGGTACGGGACATTTGCCTCGGGCGGCGGCGATCATGTCGTCAATATCTGGGATGGCGCAAACAGGAAGCGACTCCGCCAGTACGCCTCGCCCTACGAGACCAGCATTGCAGCGCTGTCATTCAACTCGACGGGCACGATGCTTGCCGTTGCTGCGAGCTACACCTTTGAAGAGGGCGAGAAAGAGTAAGTACTCGAGCCGCGCCTTTCGATGCTGTGGATGACCGATGTTGTGTGGCGTGATCATGGAAACACTTTTGCTGAGCTCGGCAAAGCAGAGGTCGCCGTGTGATTCTGCTTGCAGACCACGGAATGCCATCTCACCCGTCTCTCGTCTCCTGCACTCGATGCATGTTCTGCCAGCCATCCTCCGGACAAGATCTTCATTCGCACCCTCCTCGAAGGCGAGGCCCGCCCCAAGAACTTTCAGTAGTAGCAAATCTCGTAGATTATATTCAGATAACATGAGAACACTGCCCCATTTGCATCGAGCATGTAGTTTTGATAGCCTGCGTCCATTGCAATCCATTCTCCGCACTCGCCTTGCGCGGTGATTGTGTTGCTCTTGGACACGCTGGAGACGGATGCAGCCTTTCCCAGAGATTCATGGCCAGTGCGCGATAGTTTGAGGCAACATTTGTTCGCTCTGTCTTGCTTGGTGCGGATGCCGTCATCCTGTCGTTGGCGATAGAGTTTGCATCATCCTGTCTCGGCGGCGGGTGGCTTGCTCCAGCGCCGTCCCCCATCCCTTGAGCCCAGAGTTCTTCCGCCTGGTCGGCTCATGCCAAAACACGCTCTGGCTGCGAGCCGATGCACTTTTTTTGCCACGCCTGCCAAGGCATCATCCTCGTCTTAGATCTCGGCCAAGGGCTCAACAAACCGCAGCTGACCCTCCTCTGGCCGATCACCAGCTCCCATCGGTGCTCTGGAGCTCTCCACCCCCTCTGCCATCAGCCCAACCAACGCACCAACGGGCCAGCCCTGTCAGCCACCGCTCTCCCCCTCATCCGAACCCGCATCGGACTGATCGCCAAACTAGCCCCTGTCTCGACCCTTGCTCTGCTGCTCGATCCCATCAACATGGCTGCCGCTCCACAACAGGGCTCAACGGCCCCGCCCTCGTCCTCGTCCTCTGAACCTGTCAAGGTTGCCGTCATTGGCTCTGGCCTCGCCGGTCTGACGACGGCCTTTCTGCTTTCATCTCTGCAAGACGACATCACCCATGCTCGTGTCTTTGAGGTTCATCTGTTTGAAAAGTCAAGCTCCCTGGGCATGGACTCGGCGTCGATTCCGGTGCCGTGTGAATGCTCAGATTGTGCCTCATCGGACAAAGCCAAGGATTCCGAGGCTCTCAAACAGCCCTCCGAGCCACACCAGACGGGCCGCATTGACGTCCCCATGAGAAGCTTCTTTCCAGGTATGGCCTGGGGTGGTGCCTGATCACGCCGGCCTGGCTCGACTGCTGCTGCTGCTGCTGCTGTGCTTGAGCAAGTCGCTTGAGCGAGTCGCTTGCAAGGCTTGCTTGTGCTGGCAAGCCGTGGAGATCGTATCGGGTCAAGGACATCTGGACAAGCCATTGCCATTGCTCCGTTGTCGTTGCCCGTTGCTCTATTGCGAGCTACACATCGGCTGTGGCATGCGTTGCGCTTGGCTCGCCATATGTCGCCACTGTCTGTACATCTCTCTTGACAGTCTATTCCTCTACCCCTCCCCTTATCTCTTCTGAATGTCCCGGCAGAGTATTACCCCGTCCTGACCAAGGTGTACAAGTATCTGGGCATCACCACCCAAGTGACCGATAACTCCATGTCGTTCTTCAATCTTGCCAACAACCCATCAGAGCCAACCGAGTTCTTCCCCCTCCCCAGCACTTTCCCCCACAACAACCCACTGTCGCCCTCGGCGTCGCCCGCCCTCTCCAGGGGCTCCAATGGAAACGAAAGCAAGCAGCCTTCTGGCACCAAGCCGGCAGCAAGCGGTACCAACCATGCCTACTTTACATTCTCGACGCACTACATCCCCTTTACCAACAACACCTTCAGCACGCCTGATCTGCCGTCGCTGTTCCTGCTGCTGACCCATCCGCTCGCCTTTCTGGGATTCTGGGTCCGGATCGTGCGAGTGTGTCTGGACTATCTGCGTCTGCTGGCGATCTCCAAGTGGGCCTACTCCCGCAACGAGCTGCTGACCTACCGCCCGGGACAGATCTCGAGCGAATCGCCGTTTGCCTCCATGACCGTGGGCGAGTTCTTCCGCAAGTACCGGTTCTCGAACGAATTTGCGCGTGACGCATTTCTGCCGCTCTTCTCGGGTGTCTGCACCTGTTCGTTTGCGTCGCTGGAGCAGTTCCCGGTCGCGGCTGTGCTTGGTAGGTGATGGCTCTGCCGTCGTTTTGTTTCTGTTTGCAGAGTGAGGTATCTGGTCTATGGCGCGCTGAAGGCAAAAATTTTCGGATTTGCAGCTTGGCATCGACAGCGCATCCGCGAAAGTGGCTCCTAGTGCATTTGGTCTGCCAGGGGCGGCGAGTCCTGCGCCAGTCCGCTTCCTTGGTATCCAGTACCGAGAGAACCATGGTCTTTCTGCACAAGATGTCTCCTACTCGCCGCTGATCCTTCGCCTTTCTCTCTCCACTTGACAGAGTACGTCGCTCGCTGCATGCCCTTTGGCCGTATGTCGTTCGTGGACTGCGGGATCAACACCGTCTGCCACAAGCTCTCTCGCAATGTCGATCATGTTCATTTGTCGACCAGGATCGTGCGGGTCGAGCCATTGGTATCACCCAAGCCCAAGCTGTCGCCCTTTGGCACCCCGCTGGTGCGAGTCGAAACCGACCAGGGCAAGGTCTTTGAGTTTGCTCATGTTGTCTTTGCGACCCAGGCCAACCAGGCCGCACAGCTCCTGAGGCAGAGCTCACAGCAGGCCGGGTCGGATGCGGCCGACTCTGCTGGTGACTTTGATCATGCCGAGCAGGACCAGATCAAGACCCTGGACCGGTTCAAGTACGAGCGATCCCTGGTGGTTTGCCACACGGACGAGTCGCTCCTGCCCGCCAATCCACTGCTGTGGAGGTGCATGAACTTTGCTCATGTTCAGCGATCGGACCCATCCTTGTCTCCCAGCAGCCGTGGCGACGAATCCAGCATCTCGTACTCGCCTCAAGACGTCAGCATGTGCACACACTACATCAACATATCCCAGCCCAACCTGCCCCGGCGCATCTTCCAGACCACAAACCCCATCATGATGCCCGATCCCGAGAAGCAGATCCACTCCACTTGGTTCGAGCGTGCCGTCGTCACCTGGGACAGCATGATGGCGATCGATGATCTGAACATGCTTCAAGGCAAAGGCCAGCGGTGGTTCGTGGGCTCCTATGCCTATCCGGGCATTCCTCTCCTCGAAGGCTGCGTCGTGACAGCGATTGATGTTGCGCAGGGGATCGCTTTGGCCTGTGGCGGCCGACGACTGGTTCCCGAATGGGAGCGTTGAATGCTCGCGACTGTCGTCCTGGGAGGGATTTTGGCACGGCAGCATGTGCATGCAATCAGACAAATATAGCACATACGTGCGTACAGGGTTTCTTTGATCTCTGCGTCTGTCCCTGGGCACTGAGGTACTCTCTGCAATCTGGCTGCGAATCGCTTCCATGCATTCGCACGGTGGAGCGAACCGGGGGCGGATGGCGCATCACGTGTCATGCCTGTCTCCAACAGCCGACACCAACAGCAGCCGTCGCTCTGGCGGCATCATCCACCATCATCACCACAGCCAACTGACCGACCCACAGCCGACAGGCCCAGAGGAGCGACAGGACTATCACGCAGCCGTGCACAAGCACCGTCACAAGAAACACAGCACATACGATGGTAGGCGCTTCGGGCATTGCACTGTCGGTGGAGACGAGACGGACAATCAGCGATCCGCCCGAGACGACGCCATAGCCTGGGCCGAGATCATAGACGATCAGGTCGGATCGCTCGTATCATATCGTATCGAATGATGTCGTATTGCGTGGGATCGGATCTGACGCACTCTTTGTCCACCTCCGAGCAGTCCGTTACACTGGTGACCGATCTCGGGGACATCAAGATTGAGGTGTTTTGCGAAGGTGGGAGCCAGCGACGATGATCGGTCGAGCCGCAGGGCTTTTCGGGCAAAGAGAGGCGTGGATGGGGACGCCTCAGATTCCCACCAAGAGGAATCAAGGACGCCATACGAGCACCGTGATGGCACACGATGGCATTCAAGACATTGCCTGGATCGCCTGGGTCGCTTTCTTCATTCGGGCGCTTGGCTGTCGCTGTGAATGTGGACTTGGGCTCTTGTCGTCAGGTTCAGGATGTGCTTCACTCGGCTAACACTACTATCCCCGACACTCGTCCATTCAGCCGTTCCAAAGGCTGCAGAGGTAAGGGTAGCAGCTCAATCCTCAATATCCTGTGCTTCGTGCTCCTTCAAAAGCCACCCACTCCGAAGCAGCAGTCCCGTCGTTATCGGTGTTTGGAGGATCGTGGGGACGACGACGACGACGATGATGATGATGATGATGATGATAATGGGCTGATCGCCTGGATGCTACTGGGCTCGTTTACACTTTTGACAGAACTTTATGGCCCTCTGCGCCAGCGGATACTACAACGGGTGTCTGTTCCACCGCAACATCAAGGGCTTCATGGTGCAGACAGGCGACCCGACCGGAACCGGCAAAGGAGGCAGCTCGATCTGGGGCCGGACATTTGCAGACGAGATCAAGACGACGCTGAAGGTTGGTAGCGACGATGGGCGGTAGAGCTGCGATGGCAGCCTGGGGACGGGGAACAATCGAAGCTGATGCTTGCTGCGTTGCATCCAGCACAACACTCGAGGCATCGTCTCGATGGCCAACAAGGGTCCGGATACGAACCTGTCTCAGTTCTTCATCACATATGCCAAGCAGCCCCATCTCGACACCAAATACACGGTGATGGGCAAGTAAGTGACTCTGGGGCGTGCGCAATGCTCTGCTGTGCCGGCCGTTTGGAGCCGTTTGGAGCCATGTGCTGTGATGCCGGGCGCTGTCTTGCATCTGCGCCGGTTAATCCATTCCAATCGTCCCATCGATTCACTTTGTCTGCTCATCTGCTTGATCGCCCAGGGTCCTTGATGGCATGGAGACCCTCGATGCTTTGGAAACCGTGCCGGTGGATAACCAACACAGGCCCATCCAGGATGTGCGGATCAAGCATGTCATCGTCCATGCCAATCCACTGGCCGAATCGCAGTGAGCATGGCCTGGATGTCACTGTGAAGCCAAGGCACAGATCCTCCAAGACCAAAAATACGAGACACCCGGATATTCGAGGCGAACCGATTTGCAGCCGCCAAGGACGATGTTGATCCCCGGTTCCCGTTGTCTGATCGCCGGCGCTGCTGTTGTCGTCTGTGATCGATGGTGAATCCGTCTGGGCGACAACTCCCAGATGTACAAGGTCGGTCTCGATGAACGAGCGCTGGCTTGGATACTTTGACCATATCCCCTGGCTATGATTTGGGACGATGCGCACCAGCAGCATCTACAAGTCATGAGGATCACGGCAACAATGCCAGGCTGCAAGAGGGGTACAGCGTGTTGAAGAAAAAAAATGGGACCGATCGTCTCATTTGGACAAACACGGCGTAGTCGGATCATATCACACACTCTGCAGATGCAGTCACTGCAGGTCAGAGCAAGAAGATATACCTGCGATGAGGGAGGAAGTCGCAGGGCAAGAGCAATCGCTGATTTGGGTATCGCTGGTTTGGGTGCCGATCCAAGCCGTTCAGCCAGATCGACCGATCCACAAGCCATCTGTGTGTGAAGGTGTCCCGCTTCAAATCAGTCCGCCGTAATGAGCCTGAACGGGAACTTTGCTCGGGAGCGGCAGTTTGGGGCAACCGCCAGGGATTGCGCAATCGCCAGGGCCGGCCAGACCGTGGCTTGCGGGGTTGATCTTCGCACAACCAACAGACCCAGCAGCGGTTGCGGATCGGAGGGATATGGGTGATCGGGCGATGTGGGGACGGCGGATGGTGGGGCTGGTCTGGTCTGAGAAAGTAGATGCCATCGCCGGTGGTATCAACATCGATGCCACTAACATCGACATCGACATCAATGGCCTTCGTATCAATGACCATGACATTATCGTCCATGACATCCACACCACCAGCACCACCAGCACCAACAACAACACCAGCACCAACAACAACACCAGCACCAACAACATCACCAGCACCAACAACATCACCAGCACCAGCAGCATCAGCAACACAATACCAGTAACACATCGGCCACAGGCGCCAGTGCCGATCGCACCGGCCCCGGGCGCTCTCCCCCAGATCTGCTCGTTCTCCACCAAGCCCCATCGCTCATCTGGCGGCCCTTGTCGTTTGTCAGCAGCGTGACAAACCCGGCGCTCTCGCCGAGCACGTTCTCGCCTGCACACAGACTGCGCGCACGCAGCTTGCCGCCTGCGCTCTCGCCCGCCCGCGAGAACAGGGGAGCGGCCTCGCTCGCCTTCGGATATCTCGCGTTTGCCATCGCTATCTTTCTGAGCTGGTCTCGCTCTGCTCGTTGCGTTCGTCCCATCCGATCGTCCTCTGCTCGCATCTCTCTCGCTCCACCCGCACCAGCCATGTCTGACAATCTGTGCATCGTCGTCCTGGGCGCCTCTGGCAAGTCCTTCCACATCTCCTCCTCCTGGCCTGCTTCACTGCCCGGCTGCTGACCCGGTCTCGTCGCGATCGGCCTGGGACAATGTCCTGCATCGGCGATGCGTCGGCGATGCATCCGGCTTGGGCACCCGCCTAGATCCAGCCTGTCTGGGGTGCTCTGACTCGGTACCGTGGTGCACATTCTCACCATGACTCTCCCGCTAACCTTTCTTGCTTCTTGACTGCGAAACCAACCGGCATCTGCCTCCTGGGCAAACTCGATCGTACGGCAAATCCGTCTTGCCCAACCGTCCGTTCAATGGTGCAAATCGTCGGATGCGCCGCCCAACCTCCTAAACCCCGGTTCTCTCATACTCTGTTATGCCCCGCAATGTCGTAAACTCGGCTCCCCTGTTCGCCACGCCATCGCTTCAATGGACTTGCCTCGACACAATCGCAGGCGATCTGGCCTTCAAGAAGACGTACCCTGCTCTCTTTGGCCTCTACAAGAACGGCTTCCTCCCCGTGCGCACCCAGATTGTCGGCTATGCTCGCTCCAGCATCGACCTCGACGACTTCAAGAAGCGCATCTCCTCGAAAATCAAGATTGCCAACGCAACCGAGGGCCAGGCCCTCACCCAGTTCTTGGAAAAGTGCTACTACACCAACGGCGCCTACGACAAGCCTGAGTCGTTCATCAAGTTGAACGCCTTTGTCCAGAACCTGGAGGGCGGCGTCACCGGCGCCCGCCACCGTGTCTTTTACATGGCTCTCCCGCCCTCGGTCTTCATTCCTGCCTCCAAGGGCCTCAAGAACCATCTGTATACCACCCGCGGCTCCAACCGCCTGGTCGTCGAGAAGCCCTTTGGCAAGGACTTTGACTCTTCCAAGGAGCTCTCCAAGGCCCTGGCCGAGAGCTGGCATGAGGACGAGGCAAGTTGCAAATCCCCCCCTCCTTCGGACCATGTCATGGCCGTGGCGACGCCACGACTCGATGGCGCTTCTCACGCGCGCCTGCGCGCCAGCCCAACCCCAGCCCGGCAGACCCGGTCCATCCCCCCACCAGAGTGACGCCGGCTAATCTTGATTGTCTTCTACGCCATAGATCTACCGCATCGACCACTATCTTGGCAAGGAGATGGTCAAGAACCTGATGGTGATCAGGTGGGTCCCGGTGCGGGCAGCCACCGGCGTCGTTGTGTCAGGATGCGTTGACATGGATGACAGCCATTGCCCATATGTCCCTGCTTTGTCTCTCTTATCCATTGTGTCTGTTGCACCCCCCTGAATCTACTGCGTGTCTGCGTGTCCCCTGGAACCCGCACCCGAGCCGATCCTCATCCTTTGCTGTCTGCACCTGCCCTCCGTAGATTCGCCAACATCTTCTTCAGCGCCGTCTGGAACCGCTTCTACATCGACAACGTTCAGATCACCTTCAAGGAGAAGATCGGCACAGAGGGTCGCGGCGGATACTTTGACGAGTTCGGCATCATCCGTGATGTATGTTTGGTCCCCACTTCCATTGCCAATGCCACTCGGAAGCACGAACAGGTCGCCCCGAGCAATCTGACAATGGGCTCGCTGCTTCTCTTGCCTCCAGATCATGCAAAACCATCTCCTGCAGATCCTCACCATTGTTGCCATGGAGAAGCCCGTCTCTCTCGATGCCGAGCACGTTCGCGACGAAAAGGTGCATTGATGTTGGATCCTGCTCACCTGCTGGCGAATCCAATCCCTTTGCGCAAGCATTATGTCGTCCGCTAATCGGAATTTGCCCTCCTTCGCTGCGAAAAGGTCAAGGTCCTCCGGGCCATGACCCCTCTGGCTGTTGAGGACGTCCTTCTCGGCCAGTACACCGCTAGCGCCGACGGCAGCGTTCCCGGCTACCTGGAAGACCCCGGAGTCCCCAAGGATTCTGTCACCCCCACGTACGCCGCCGCCGTCTTCAACATCAACAACGAGCGCTGGAGCGGCGTTCCGTTCATCCTCAAGGCCGGAAAGGGTAAGTCGCAGCAGCCACCCCTTTATCCACGCCTTTACCCATCTGTCCATGTATCCACCCATCCGTCTGTGGCTGCCACCCAAGCAGAGGCACTTCAGTCGCCCTTCCAAATCCCGCGCACTGCTCTCCGAATCTGTGCACTCATACGCTCTATCTCGGCTTTCTCTCTGCCAGCCCTGAACGAGGCCAAGGCCGAGGTCCGCATCCAGTTCCAGGATGTGCCCGGCAACATCTACGGCAACGTCGGCCGAAACGAGCTGGTTATTCGTGTTCAGCCCAACGAGGCCGTCTACGTCAAGTTCATGAACAAGCAGCCCGGTCTCTCCGCCAACCCCATCATGTCCGAGCTGGATCTCAGCTACCATAGCCGCTACAACGAGCCCAAGATCCCCGACGCCTACGAGAGCTTGATCCTCGATGTCCTTAAGGGCGACAAGAGCAACTTTGTGCGTGACGATGAGCTGGACGAAGCCTGGAAGCTGTTCACTCCTCTCCTGCACAAGATCGAGGGCGAGAAGATTGCCCCCAAGAAGTACCAGTTCGGCACCCGTGGTCCCGAAGGCGTCGACGACTTTGTCGCCAAGCACGGCTACCAGCGACACCACGAATACGAGTGGACTCCCTCCAAGATCTAAACCTGCCCGGGCATGTTGTGGCTGCGGCGCTGCGTGGTCGTGACCGTAGTCCGTGGTCCGTGGTCCACTCAATGTATCCCTCTTCATCCTGTCGGTGTAGCCTTCTTCACCTCTTCCTTCACGGTATGCATAAAACACTCTATCGAATGTGTGTGCGAGAGAGAGTCTCTTCGGATGCCTTCCGAATATCGCACACGGGGGCCCCTTGGAGAGACGGGATTGGGCCAATCCATCTTGGCTGATTGACCGGAAGGATGGTTGTGGAGCGATGCAACGGCGGCGTTTCGCTTTCGCACCAGGAAATAACACCACGAGCTCGGCTGTCAGGGCACCCATGTCCAGGAGTTGCTGCCTCGCTGTCGCTGTCACTGCGGACGCATCGTTCTGCAGCCGAGGAGGGCTGGGTGTGCGATCCCGTCTCGCACTGCCACAGCTTACAGCTCACAGCCAAGCCCCAGGATATGGTGTATATTGATTGGAGGCACCATGTTGTGCGCGAGGTACTGGGGGGTAAACGATGACTCAATGCTGCACAAAGACAAGAGGGATGGATTGCAAGTGAGGAGGGCGACCGAGGGGTTTGGGGTCTAGCTGCAGTTCATCTGCGACAAGTCGATGGCCAGGGTCGACAGACTCTTGCGGCGCTTCACGGACTCGTCCAGGATCTGGGCGGTACTGATCAGGATCTCTGCCACCTCGGTGTCCTCGCGGGTGCGGGCAAACGAGCGCTGGTCCGGGCCAATCGACGATGGTTCGGGAGGAAGACGGACCGAGCTCGCCGACCCGGTCGAGTGTTCATCCAGTTTGGAGCTGGAGCGCTTGTGAGAGGACTCCCTCGGCCCTTGGTCGTCGGCGAAATGGGCATGTCGTCCAGAACGAGTGGACTGGTGCTGGTGTCTGGAGAGCCGAGACGAATGCGTCCCATCACCGTCCCCGGCAGCAGCAGCAGCGGCGGCGGCAGTGAAGGCGACACCATCCACGGCCGCACTGGTCGAGCTGCCATCCTGAATGCCACCTGCGGCTCCGAGGAATGATACGGACGGGGTCTTCGAGGCGAGCGGCGACGAGGCCTTGCCCGAGTCACTGGTGGATCTGGTATCGCAGCTGTGGAGGGTCGTGATGCTGCTGCGACGACTGTCTGGCCCGAGCTCGTACGAATGCGTCGACTGCAGCTGCGAGGAGTTATCTCTCGAGCCTGCAGATCGATGGGTGCCCTGAGACGGATGTGTTGAGGGCCGAGCTTGCGGTGCTGCCTGGGATGATGTCCATAGTGGCTGGACCGTCGCCACGTGGGGGCCAGGGGCCAGGGGCGTCAAAGGCATTCCCCCTTGCGACGCCACCGCCATGGACATAGGGGTGACCCCTGAGGGCGCAAATGCCGTGCCGGATGCATGCTGCAGCGGCACTGACGAAGGCGGCTGTGGCTGCGGTGCTGACGACGATGGCAGAAGCGCCGACGGAGCGGAGTAGCAATACACGGCTCCGGGGCTGGCTGCGGTCGGCGACGGATAGGGGATATAGAAGGGCGAGACGGCCGTGGGACTGGTTGGAGTCGGGAGCGTGGGAATCATCGAAGGGTATACCCACTGCGGATAAAAAACGGGCATGGACGTCGAGCGGCCAAAGGCGCCAGGGAGGCCAACGGCGTAGGTCGGCTGTCCTGGCGATCCCGGGATCGGAGACGTTGGCGATGACAGAACAGGCATCGATCCGCCTCTGTGTTGGTAGATTGGCACGGTCGGGGAGACGACTGGCATGGGTGCCTGCGGTGGTGCTTGCGAGTGCCGTTGTGGGTAGGAGTGTGATTGGGCTAGCTGGCCCGAGAGTGGGGCGGTTGCGGGCGGATGGGCCGGGGTTGTGCTTGTGTCTGTAGCTGCTTGGGAGCCAGGAGTTGGTGTGAGAGGCACGAAGCTGCCTGCCGGGACTGAGGCCAGGGGTACTCCCGAATGGTTGGGCAGACCATCCGGAGGCACACCGACGATCTGCCCCGGTGATGCCGACGACGGCGAGGCAAATGGGATTGCCCAAGTCGGGGGCATCATCGGCCGGCCGGGAAGATAGTACGGGTGTGGATGGTGCGCATAGATCGGCCCCGATGGTGTCGCACCCAAGGACATTTGGCGTGCAAAGACTCGAGGGGTGATTGCCTTTGATTTCTTCTCGTGCGCCGGCCCTGGCCCGCCCGAGGCCCTTTGCACGGGGATCGCACCGACGGTGTTCCAGAAGGGCGGTGTCAGCGTCAGCTTGTCAAAGTTGCGTTTGACCTTTGGTTTCTTGCGAGCAACAGCCACCGGGGCGGCGACAGCCGGAGCCAGCACAGCGGGCTGCGTTGGTTTTCGGATAGCCATAGGCAAGGGAAATGAGCAATCAGATGAAGTGTTCGGGCCATGAGTAGGATGTGTCCCGACGAGGCGAGAGCGAGTAGGGACGGATGGTATCCTACCGTCTCCTTTGGAGATGCGGCTTCGTCATCTCGGCAGATCTCCATATCCTCGGGGCTCGCCCGGACACAGTCCATCACATCGCCGCGCTTGTGCTTCGCTGGGTCGCTCTGAGCACGGGGGATGCATTCCAGAATCAGGTCAGTGCCCGTGCGTCCCTTGATGCGACCCCGGCCTCGACTGGCATCTTACCGGCTCGGTCTGGTGCGTCCTGGCTTCGGCACTGTGCAAGTCCGATGTGCTTGGTTCACGAGCGGCATGGGAATCAGCTTCGTTGGGAGGGTGTGTCAAGGTTTCGAGCTCATTGGGCGGAGCAAACGTCGAATCCTTGCAGTCGGCCTCAGCCGGCAGGATGCGGGATAGATCTACCAGCGTCTGGTGTTCCTCGAGTCGCGGGGTTGTTCTCATCTTGTGCATGCCGATCTCAGGGGGCGTGCTTGCAGCCAGGGTAGTAGCCCCGGCTTCAGCCACCAGATCGTCTCGAAGTTCTGGGAGGGTATCGGTGCTGTCGGCCATGTGTTGGTCTTGTATATCGATGATGGTGATAGTCCTTGGGGCTTGGATGGATGTGGCCGCGGAGTGAATGTGCTCGGAAACGGGTATCATTTCTAACAGCTGCAGCCGATGGTCGGTTGGGGGAGAGGGGATGAAGACAAATCAATGAGAGAAGAGTAGAATTCGGCAATCGAGTGTGGTGAACCACTCTCGGGATCTCTTCGAGCCGCTCGTCAGACTGTTCGTTCAGAATCCCTCCACCCCGCAGAGACCACGCATCCAAATGAACAGCGACGGGTGTGGATAGCTTCTCCCACAGCCACATCCGATTTGTCCACCACACAGCCAAGGGGCGACTAGTGAGTCCCGAGCGGCAAACGCATTGGCGAATGGCCCTCGCAGCAACGGCGAATCACTAACGCTACCTTTTAAAGCGCTGGCATCCGACTTTTAATATTCAAGACCGCCGAGGTTGCTTGGACTTTACTGGCTTTTGGCGTGTTCAGTAGGCCCTACATACAAGATGGTAAGTCCAAACTAGAATGGTCGGAGGCAAGTGCTCCGTTTGGACCGATAGACCAGTGGATGTGCTCGCGATGGCCTCAAGTCGGATCGCCAGTGGAGATAACTGGCAGGAGAGACAACGGGGAGAGGGCAGTAGGAGGTATGTGAGCCAGAGAGGCGAGAGGAATGCCATCGAAGCGAGGGATCCGAGAGGAATGGCAACGGCGCTGCCTTTGGCGACACACACCAGCGCCTGTCGACAAATTGTGGGACAGGGAATGTTCGAGGCGAGCGACGTTTGTCGAGGGACGCACAACAACCAGCGCGTAGCGAGAGGACGCTCGAGCCCGGGATACACAGAAGGAGTCAAGCAACAGTCGCAGCTCGGGGGCCAAGTAGCAGCGGTCGACTCTACCTGTGCAGACGAATGCAGCTGGGTCCGTGTTGACGCGAATGAATGTGGTGTGGGTGTGGGAACGAAGGCCAAAGCGGAAGAGCTGGAGGAATGAGAGACGCAGAGGACGAGACTTATTTTTAGGAGGACGGTGGGAAAGGGGAGCAGTAGTGTGGGGCGGTGATCAAATTGCTTCGATGGGCCGGCTCTATTCCCGAAAGCTTGCTTGAACTGCAGAGCAAGTGCCTGCCTGTCCGACAAGAGTGCGATTGGACGAAACCTGATTCTTGGCCGCACACTATTTTTAGTCCGAGAGTGAATGTGTGAATGTGTGAATGTGTGAATGTGAATGTGTGAATGTGTGAATGTGTGGATGTGTGGATGTGAATGTGAATGTGTGGATGTGGGGAATGCTCGTCGAATTGGCGAGCTCAGGAGAACAGCGCTGTTGGGAGTGCGGTCGCTTTGCGAATCGCACTGTGTTGCAGCACAGCACTCTTCGCTGCCCTCAATCTGGAGGGATCGTGATTGGTGGAGCCGTCTATTGCGACAGGAGCGGGGGGGAGAGCCCGATACCTGCATCGAGCTGGAGGGGTCTCGCTCATGCTGCTGGTCCAGGTTGTGTACTGCCTCGTGCATCGCACTCCACTGCTGTCCAGTTTCGGTGGTGCTCCACAAACTGACCGCAATCCCCAAGAGCGATGTGGACCGACTGTATGCAACCGGTGTTGTATTCAAATGCTTGAGGCTCATGGCAGCCAACCTCAAGGTGTGGGCTCTCTGCCCTACTCTGTATCAACAGTACTTCATGGTGCGGTCGTCCAGAGCAGGGAGAGCTGCAGGCACCGGCGCCATGACGAGGGATTCGGAGCGCCCCTGTGCTCCACCTCCAATACTCTCTGCAGAAAATGAAAGGAAGGGGTGCACCTGTAGTTTTTGCGCATGGCGATGGAGCTTGTCTGTCTGCTCGGAGTCTCCTAAAGGCAGCGCAAGGGGACTGGACTGGACTGGACTGGGCCATCTTGCTGGTTTCTGTTGCAATACTTCTGGTTCGATGAGCACACCCACCACCATCGATGGGGAAGGCTATCACAGCCGAGGACATTCGGAATGCTCAGAATGGCACTGATCCTCTCGGACCGGGACAGCTGCAGCTTCCCCTCGGGGTTGATCAGCGTGGAAGAGTTGTGTGTCCTATTTTGAAGGGCTGTGCAAAGAAGAAGAAAGAGAACGAGAAGAGAACGCGGGCATGGATATCGATACATGGAGCTGCACTGTACGATCATTCAGAGCTTCCCTGAGAGTCGAGGCCATCTGCAGCCAGGGGAGGAGTTTGGGGAAAAACACAGAGACACATCTAGTCTAGATTTAGTCTAGATCCATGTCCGATGCAGAGCTGGAGTCGAGTGTGGGTGCGGGTGTGGGTGCGGGGCTGCCCATGTCGCTATCGTCGTCACTGGCGATCTCTTGGATGAGCGGCGCCGCAGGCTCCGTCAAGCCTGTCGGAGATACCACCGAGTGGATTTGTCGGAGTCTTGAGTGGTGGCCGCCCGAGTAGAGGACCAGGCTGTTGGACTCTGTCGAGGCCAGGTCCGATCCGATGACATCCTTGTGCGGGAGACGGCTGTCGTAGATGCCCTGGGCAACGAGCGCATCGATATGCGACATGAGCGGCTCGGATGGGCTGCAGTCCCGAATGTCGAGCGGGAGTCGGTGACCCTGGATTAGATCCATCAGTCCAAAGGTGTCGACAGACGGCCCCGGCGGCTCGCATCGGTCAAGGGAATTGCAGGCTGGGGTGTATCGGATCAGGGCTGTGGAGCTGGAGAGCGGCGTGCTGGTGCAATCGACAGCCGGGGGCTCGATCGGACGCTCCGGAGCGACATTGGCGGCGATGGCCGGCCAAGTGCTTGGACCAAGATCAGCACCGAAACGGGGCCGCTTGAGCGGAACAGAGGCATCCGGCCAGTCCTCGGCCATATCTTGGAAGCTTCGCTTGTGGTCGCTGATAGATACAGTGGGTGCGGTTACCTAAGGATCCAGGCGCATTGTTAGCAAGTTTGTTGGCCGGATGCAGGGCAAGACATACGCACTGCTGTTGCAGGGGAAGAGCGGATCAAACGCAGCTGCAAACGACCTGCTGGACACCGAGGAAGCATCTGCAACGACACAGGCGATCGGCCGAGCAGAGTCAAGCACAGCGGAGCGAGCCAGAACAGGATGGCAAACACTCACCTGCACTATGTGGTCGCCGTGGATCAGGGGGTTGGACTCTTGCTTGAGTCTTTTGGACGGCTGAGCGGGTCCAGGCAGCATGCCGAGCGTGGGGCGGTCCCAGGGAACATCCAAGGGCCGGAGCGACTCGTCGAGGCTGCTCTCGCTGTCGGACCAGGGTCGTTTGTGGAAGATCGGCATGCCGGAGTGGAAGCTGGATGGATTGCGGGGATGCTCCATAGTCATGGCAGCAACGGGTCGTGCATGGGGCTGGGCGCTGGGGATGAGACAGGGACGGAATCGCCTCGGGCGGACTGGTGGATGGATAGATGGATGGATGGGCGGCAGAGCGGGATCGGGACTGGGACCGGGTGGCCATCGTGGCGAAATGCGACGCAGCAGGAGCAAGGTTCGATGGTGTTCCGTGGTCGGCTCTGATCGAGCGGCCTGCCGCCCTGACGCTCGGCCCGCCAAACTCCTTGCAGCAGTGCATCCAGGACACAGCACGACATGTATTCAGCAAGGCATGGGCGAGCCCGGCTCGACAGCGTTCATCACCTCTTGTCGAGAGGACGGTCTGCCGGCTCCAGGAATGTTCCCCCAGACTTCACTCGGGCTTGGGGCAGACACTCGGCCGGTGCCCATCAACGGCTGCCCTCAGCTCGCCAATGACCCGTCGGTTTGCGGCAGAGGCTCTGAGAGCCACCTCGCCGAGCTTTGGCATCCGAGGAAGCCCAGCAGCCAACGCTGCCTCCATGGTTACATCCAGAGCCGTGAGGGAGTCTGGGATCACAGCGGGGTCACTGTCTTCCGGACCGAGCAGCTGAAGCAGCGGCATCTGCGAGCAACTTCGGAGAAGCTCTTCGCCCGTAGCTCGATTGTACGCCCATGCCAGATGAAGGACTCGGATGGCCGCCATCGCCGGGGGGAGGCCATTCAGGCTCTTGAGCATCAGCGGCAGTGTCAGCGATTCCAGGATCAAGCCCAGGCTGGGTGGGAAGCCAACTAGGGACTCGAGCCGAAAGCACCCGGAGAGATCCAGACTCGACATGTGCTCCAGGTGCTCGGGGAATCCGCGGAGACTCTCCAGAGACGGGGGGAGATGGAGTGTCTTGAGCCTCGGCGTTTGGGGAAACCCTTCGAGGGTCTTCAGCACCATGCAGTCGTTCATCCAAAGAGTCTCCAAGGAGTCGAGATGCACCGAAGCAATGTCCAGGCTCTTGATGTTTGGCGGAAAACGCAGCTCTCGGAGTGCCGGCATGCTCGGAAGACCCTTGAGCGATGTCAGCTTCGAGCACATGCCGATATCGATACAGACAATCGACTCAAGGGTCGTCGGCATGCCTTCCAGAGTGGCAATGGATCGGAGCAGACTCAGGCCTTTGAGCCGAGGCATCTCGGACATTCCACCAAGAGCCCTCAAATTGCAATGCTGCTGCAGATGGAGTTCCTGGAGAGACGGAAGGACCGACGGCATTCCCTCGAGGCTCGTGAGGGGCAAGTCGAGCGAAAGCATCTCCAGCGAGTCCATGGCGGGCATTCCTCTGAGCGACTCGAGTGCTGATCCTTTGAGGCTCAGTCGTCGGATCGAGTTCAGCCAGGCTGGCATGAACCTGAGATCCGTGGCCGACATGGGCAGCTTCAGTTCGACCAACGCCGGCATCTGCGCGAGTCCGTTTGCCAGCCTCAGTCGGGTACACGCCGACAAGTCCAAGAGACGGATCGTTTGGAGGTATTCGGGGACTTGGTTCAGGGACTCGATCGATGCCGGCAAAACAAGCGACTGCAGCCGTGGGGTCCTTGAGCGCTTTCTGGATGAGCACGCTGCGCTGTGCGAACTGCCCTTCCCGCTGGCTGGCGAGTCCGGATGTCCGCTGAGCCAGCTCAGGTTCGCCACCGACCCATGAATCGATAGCGTTTCCAGTTCGGGCATCGATGGAAGCTCCTCGAATCCGTATTCTGGCTCGTCAACCACAAGATGAAGGGTTGTGATGGTCTGGAGAGTTGCAGCGAGTGCATCGAGGCCACAGAGCGACGACGACAGCCACAGTTCCGCCAGCGACGGCATTACGGTGCCCAGGCCGCCGTCGGTGCGAGATGGAGACTTTTCTTTGGGCGATTCCGCCGAGTACGTCGCTGGGCTCAGCAGACGGGAGAGGCAGTCGCTGGATTGCGGAAGTTTGAGGGTTCGCAGTCGTGGCAGCTTGGGCAAGCCTTGGAAGGATACGAGACGGGGACACGCAGAAATGTCCAGCGACATGAGGCATTGGAAACTCTGTGGCATGCCGTCGAAACTGAGCAGTGACCTGGGCAAGGCAAGAGCGGACAGCATCGGCAATGCCGGCATGCCATCCAGATCTTCGACGATTCCCTGGGGCTGCGTATCGACGACGACGAGTGATTCCAGACCGTCGAGACCCCGGGGTCGGTCCGAGAGCGGCAAGAAGGAGCAGTTGACCAATGCCAAGTTTCTCAAGTACGTCTTTTCGAGAAAGTAGTGCTCGTGGGGCAGGAGACAGGACATGTGCTTGTCGGTGTGGAAGGGATGGCTCGGGAATCGCGCGACGGTGAGGAGCCCATCAAAGTGCCCGTAGCGTCTCGAATACAGGCAGTGCCTGCAAGAGTTCACCCGCAGAATCTGCGAGCTGTCAAAGAGCTGGAACTGCTCCTGCGGACACAGATCTGCAATGTTGCTGGGGATGCTTTTGATGGCGCAAAGGCAGCGGAGCGACTTCATCTTTCTGAGGGCCTGGGCAAGGAGGTCCTGAATCTTGCTTCCCTCCATCGCCGGCAGCTTGACAAAGGCCCACCAGAGAGGGAGCTCCTTCTGGTATGCCCCGCGGCCTTGCGGATAACCATCCTTTCGGCCGAGGAAGGAGCACACGCCCTCGAGGACAGCCCTCCGGTCGATGCCCTGGAGATTTGCAAACACAGCCTCGGTGACCTTGAGGCGACGATAGAGCTTGTTCATCCACGGGTCTGTGGAGGTGAGAGACAGGACGCCCCGGTACTGCCGAGCGAGCTGCGGAAGCCGGCCCAGGGTCGGTAGATCCAGAAACCGGACAAAGCTATCATTGCACACGAGGATGGTGAGGAGGTCGTGGTTGGAAAGGGAGGAACGGGCGCTGTCGAGAGACGCCATGGTGGCCGAGATCGGGTCTAGATCCCGTGGTATTGCAGAGGACGTTGGAGAGCTGGCTTGCTGCGGCTGGACTTGGACTCGCTCTGTTGCTCGGCCGACATATCCAGATGGCAGGAGGGCGCCAAAGACGAGCGGGAGGCCGAACGGCCGCGATTGCATCCGGCCAGCCCGGCGATCCGAGTGCGCAGCCAGGCGCGACGCGGCGGGGTCTGGTGACCAGGGGCGATCCGCCCAGCGAATCAGAGGCGGCCTGCCTGGATTGTGTCCCAAGGGTCGTCGTGCTGTCCCGCTGCTCCTCTCCAACTTGGCCTGCCCATCAAGCCCATCCAGCTCTTCCAGCCCATCGGCTCCCTCCAACCATGGCCACCGGGGCACCCCCAGCAGACGACTGGTTCGTCCCGGCCGATGCCGTCACCAACTGGTCCCCTCGTCCCATCGCCACCGGTGCTTTCGGCGAAGTCTTCATCGCGAGATACCGCAACCGGGATGTCGCTGTCAAGCAGCTCAAGGAGCGGATCGGCGCCCGCGAGCTTGCCGACTTTTGCCAGGAGGTCAGGGTCTGGTACCAACTGGACCATCCGCACATTCTCCCCCTCCTCGGCGCCTGTGACAAGGATGAGACCGGCGGCGGCTCTCTCCGACCCTTCATGGTCTCGCCGTTCATGCCGCGCGGCACCCTGAGCACATACGTCTCAGACCATACCCCTCGTTCCGAAGAGAGGCTCCGTCTACTCTTCCAGGTCGCCGCCGGCATGGCGTACCTCCACAGCAAGGACATCATCCACGGAGACCTCAAGGCCAACAACATTCTTCTCGACGCAGGCCTGAACGCCGTCGTCACCGACTTTGGCATGTCCAAGACTCGGAATGCATCGAGTTCCGTGACCCAGCTCGCACCGGGCACGCACGCCGGCGGAACCGTCCTCTTCATGGCCCCAGAGATGCATGATCTGCAGCGGCCATCGCCATCGACCCGTCGCACCGACGTTTACGCCTTTGGCATGACAGTCTACCAGGTCTTCAACGACCGCGGTGCCGTTTGGGTTGTCGACGATGGATATTTGCTCCAGACGGTCATAGGTCATAGGTCATAGGTGCGTCGGCTATATTCATCTGTCAGATAACAGGGTGGTATTGTTTCCAAAAATACAAAGTGCATGCGACTGATGCATCAGGTGGTAAATGGAGAAGCTGATATGGATCGGCGGGGGGTGTCCAAAGCGGACGCCGAAGTGGCTGGAGCGACGTGATGGATGTTGGGCTGACGGTGATGCTCAGAGCGCTTCCTGTGCGAGCTTGGCTGTTCTCTCGGCTTTCTCAGCCTGACGCTTGCGGAATGCGAGGCTGAGGACAAAGCCCGAGGACACAAGCATGCAGGCTCCACCAAAGAGAATAGCAGGAATAAAGTTGATCGTGGTGGAGCCATCCGAGTTGTGCGTGGTGCAGCGATCGATGATGAGGCCGGCCAGAGGAGATCCGAACAGGTTTCCAATCGTAAAGCTCTACACAACAGAACAGACAAGCAACATGAGCATTCAGTGCAATATGGGCACTTGGTGCAACCTGCATCCAGGCTGTATCCAGTCGGATTCTCAAAGCAAACCGGCCACGCTGCTTACGGAATAGAGCATGCCGTTGATGGAGGCAATGTTCTTTGTCTTGAAGAGCTCGGCGATGACTGGGAGGAGAGGAAGCATCGATCGGGGGCGAGTCAGTGGATGCAGATGTGCGCGTCTGTGACTGTGGATCGCGTTGGTTTCAATACTTACCAGTTGGGAACAAGCTGATGAAGCCGCCAATGAAGCCTGGAGTGGAAGGAAGGAGATTGAGGCAACCATTGTCAGAGAAGCACCCGGAGTGCATTGTAACCGCCACCTGCCAGTACTCGCAGTCCACGATCCACAGAATTGAGGCAGCAACATCAGCAGCATATCGATCATACGTACTGCCAAAGATGATCGCGAATACCATCAGGGACCAGAGGGCGGTCGAGAACGGCCATATCAACAGCACCGACAGCGAGGCGACACTGATGGTGACGGTCAGGGTGTTCATGTGGCCGAAACGATCAGCCGAGTATCCCCAGAGGAGGCGACCGACAGCCGAGGCACCGTTCAAGACACCGAGAAGCAGGGCAGCATTGTCGGTCGAGATGCCGTAGTACACAGCATAGGCTGTGAAGCGCAACGAGATGGCATCAGCACAGGCATGAGATGTGTACGATCCGGACGGCGATATGCTGGCAGTCGACACAGATAGAGTTGCTCAGCCACAATACTTACACGACAGGAAGAAGAACGGGATGAAGTAACCAAAGGTGTTGAAGAAGGCGACAATGTAGAGACAAGTAAAGTCCCAGATCCTGAACATGCCAAAGTCGATCGCGGCCGCACGCTGATGGGAGTGGAAGAGGGAGATTGATCAGAGCCCATGGCAGGCTGAACAAGCACAGAGAATGCGACCAGCGCCATTCGCAACTGGGTTCTGCATGCAAACCTACCTTGGATGCCACACGAGTCTTGTAGAACAACGCTGCGACAACCGTGGCTGCCAGATGCAAAGCGTCCGAGCCAGCAAGGCCGGCGAAGAGCCATGTCAGTGTCAGTGTCAAATGGAAACAGGATGGACCTGTCTCAGGCTCCAGCCCATCGAACGGCAGCATGCATCACTCATACATACCGACGAGACACACAATGCCGTTGATGCAGAGAGCCCAGCGCCATTCCAAGAGTCGGATGAGCAGGCGGATCAGGGGACTCAGGGCCAGGCCGCCGACGCCGCTACCGGCGACAGCGATGCCAACTGCCATGCCACGCTTCTTTTCGAACCATTGGGAGATGATGCTAATGGCGGGCATGTACGCAAACGAGCTGCCGACGCCAAACAGGACGGCTTGCGATACCCAGATGTGCCATGCTTCGGTCGCAAAGGACGAGGCAATGTAGCCCAGGCCCGTCAAGGCACCGCCAATGATGGCGACGGGGCGATATCCGTACTTGTCAGCCAGTCTATAGACGATGGGGGTCGAGATGCAAGGTTAGATCGACTTGACATGCGACAGGGCAGTGTCCGGAAGCGGCTCGTCTCCGCCATGGCTCTCCGTGTCAAGACTGCCATCGACCATGAACATCACGGCGCAGGTCCGACACCTGTGGACGGACATGGATGCAGACTGGAGACCTCACTCTGGTCAAAGAACCAGTTCACTCAGCCCAAGACTGCTTGCACAGGAATCCAACACACCTTCCGGCTGGAATTGCGTAAAGCGGCAGACCACAGGCACTGATCGAGCCGATAAAGGCGATCGACAGGTTGGAGGCATCTGGTTGGAAGTAGATAGTCGGTTAGATGAGCTTGGCTGGTGCAGTATCGGCCGATTCCCGAGTCCAGGCGAGACGACCTGGAGTGCATGGTTCGCAGCTTGTTGAACCAGCCGGACAGAGCAGCCGCGCCATGCAAGACTCACTTGGAAAGATTTGCCCTGCGGTAAAGTGCTGCAGATACACGCCAAAGGCCGAGGTACCGCCGACGATAAAGAAATGGACCCAGAAGCTGGCGATGACGACGACCCAGCCGTATCCGCCTTCGGGGTGTGGCTCGGGGGCCGAAACTGGGTCTACGGTGTCGACGATGACGATTTCCTCGCCGAGCTTTGTGGAGTGGACGTCGGCCTCGTGTGGCTGCGCCAAAGTGTGGTTGGTGGTGTTGGTTTTTTGCGAGGATTCGCTTGGTGGTGCCATTGGGACGGTGCGTTGCCAAAGAATGAGATGCAGAAGGGAGGAGTGCGATGCGATGTGGTGCGATGTGGTGCGATGCGGGCGGGTGGGAGTCTAGGAAGAGGCCGGGATGGAGTGCTTTGATGCTCGCTCTGCCCGAGGGGGCAGACTCCCGGCGATATATATTCTCTCTCGCCTTTTTTTTCCTTCTGGCAGCTGGAGCCATGGAATTTTCCTGTGGGGCCGGCCTGGCTGCTGACAATCGCGCGACCGCACGGTGTCGACGAGCCCAACAGAGCAAATGGGGGCTGAGCATTTCAAATGGCCTTGTTCGATCACGCCCGATCGGCTAATCCTCGGCAAATCCACGGGCACCGCGCTCGACGACGCCGGTGACTCTGCAGACACAACCGGGCTGCGGCTGCAGGGCCCTCCTGGGGCAGGGGCACAGGCGCTTCCCACGGCCAGGGCCGCAGCGGAAACAGGTGTTCGCAGCCCCGAAGCCATCGCCGCAAGTAACTGGTAGTGCCTGCGCGGGCTGCGCCGGCTGCGACACGGCCTGAACGAAGCGCAGGGCCGATCCCAGGGCACAGGCGGCATTGCTTGGAGGCAAGACATGGCCGATGCACCCCAGACACGATTGGAATCGTGGTGGTGGTGGTGACAAACGATCGGGCTTTCGTGCAGCCAGCATCGGTCATGTCAAGCCGCACGAGCAACCACGGATCGCGAATCCAGCAATGGCCCTGTGGCGACTCTGCCATGAGCCGAGCATGTGCGCATCCATTGGTCAGCGGTTTGAAACAGGTGTCGGAGGATGGCGTGGCCATGATACCCGGAAGACGGCGTGGCCAGGACGTCGTTGCCGCCGTCGTCGTTCTCCAACACAAGCGTTGATGTTCTGTTCTGATCCGTTGTGGTTGGCCAATCAACTGGGCGAGCGAGATGCATCCACGTGACACACCGGCTCGAGTGCATTCGAGCCGGCAGCACATCCGCCCCGGTCGGCTGCTCTGCCTGTGGCCGTCTGGCTCACTGCCGCCGATCTCTGCGTGTTCCCTGGCTCTGGGCGTCGAGGAGCATCACGGACTGCTTCCCCGGGTGCGCCGCTATTGTCTGTCTGGTCTTCCTGATCTCGCTCTTATCTGACGCACACATCATCCACAACTTGCGGACGCCCCGAGTATCGACTGGAATCGATCCACTTGCTCTGCCCATCCAACCCACGCCCGATCCAGCTGCCTCCTCGCTCGACTCACTTCAGCGCCGGGCCATGTCCTTTAATCCAAACGTGAGCTTTCCTTTGAGCGCCCAAGGCATGCAGTCTCAGCAATCTCAACAATCTCAGCAGCAACTGCACAGTCAGCAGTCTCAGCAGCATCAACAGCAGCCACAATCGGGCTCGTACCCACAGCATATTTCCCAACCGATCGCCGCTCATGTTGGGGCTGATGCTGTCCCGCAGCAGCTCGCCCAGCAAGCCCTCAGCCAGCAATACTACTTTCATCTTGCCCAGCACCCGCAGAGGACTCAGGGCGTCCAGGCACAGCCTATTCCACAGGCCCAGCTGATGAACACATTCACCAACTTTGGTCCAGTTGCAGCACATGCACTTTCTCCTGCCGTCGGCTCCAAAATGCCGCCCGTCAAGATCACTCCCTCTCGACCAAGTAGGTTGTCTCTTCTTTTCTTTCGTTCCTCGCTCCTTCCTGCCTGTCCGATGAGCCACGATCTGCGGTTGCTGGATGAGGTTTCGATATGCCGTGATCGCATGTGCGGCTCCAATCGTCGCCTTCGTGTCGCCGCGTATGAGCCTCGACACTCGTTTGGCCGAGCCCGTTCTGCTCTCTCGGTCGATCTGAGGGGATGGAGAGGCAAGCCGCTCGTGCTCGCCGGATAGGATCATGGCTTCTGGTGATAACCTTGGACCGATCTACGCATGCTGACTGACACTGCTGGTTTCGGGGGGTCGGGCAGTGAGCTCGCAGGCGGCTCCAGCAACGCCGATTCAACAAAAGTGGCATCCCATGATGGCACCGGCTGCCCAGGCCCAACAGGCCCAGCAAGCCCAGCAAATACAACAGATGCATCAAATCCATCAAATCCATCAAATGCAGCAGATGCACCATATGCAGCATCTGCAGCCGCATCCACAGCCGCAGCCACAGCCCATGACGCAAGCCCAGCGGGTCCTGATGCTGCCCTTCCACAACGCCTATTCTACCCGGCTGAAGGAGGGCAACAGCTCGCTCCTGATATCAACACAGGGACCCCGGGCCACCACCAAAAAGCGTACGATGGCGGAGACGAGTGACTCGGAGCTCAGCTTCAGCGACGACTCGGACGACGGCGAAGCGACAACACGGCGGACCACTCGCTCAAGCGCCCAGGGCTCGGCCGCTCACACCAACGGGCCACACACCAGTCAGTCGGCTGGAGCCAATGTGCTGCGAAATCTGATGCGCAAGACACGACATCGATATTTGCATCGACGAGAGTCCGAGCACATTGCCACTGTCGAGGAGATCTTGGTGCCGATCCGTATCGAGCTCGAGCTAGACGGCTTCCGAATCCGCGACTCGTTTACATGGAACTTGAATGGTATGGCAAAGCCGCTGCCGCCGCAAGCTTCTGAGACTCTGCTGGATTGCAGCTGCTCCTCTGCCTTGGTGACTTGTGTGTCCAAGTCGACGATCGCACTCACGATGCCTCTGCGTCCCCCCTCGCTATCCCCACCCAGAGAAACTCATGACGCCGGACCACTTTGCCGAGCTATTCTGTGACGACTTGGATCTTCCCGCGAACGTATACGCCCGCCAGATCTCAACCAGCATTCGACAACAACTCTCCGAGTACGCTAGCTCACACGAGATTCCGCTGAACTTTGGCGAAGACTCGAGAGTCGCCATCCAGGTTCGTAGCCTTAGTGCAGAGCGCCGTCATCCCCTTGTTGATGTTGAATGTTGATGTTGATGTTGATGTTGGTGTTTTTGATACACCTTCTGCCTCTTTCCAGCTCGACATTCTTGTTGGCAACGTGCAGCTGAGGGATCAGTTCGAATGGGATGTGGCCTCCCCTTTGACGCCCGAGGAGTTTGCAAAGGGCTTGGCAAGCGACCTTGGATTAGGAGGAGAGTTTGTTACCATCATCGCTCATAGGTAAGGCTGGCTGTAGCTGTCGCTGCTGATGCAAAACCAGTTCCTGCAAACTTGATGCGCTGCATTATTTCGACTTGATCAAGCACGCAGCTGAATCCTGCTTTAATACTCTGTTCTATATCGCTGACGGTAACAGTATCCACGAACAACTGCAGCAGACACGGATGTCGTTCCTGGAGCAGTCGTTCCGGTCATCGCCATCACTGCTAAGAGTGATTCGGGACGACAAGGACGCGGACGAGTGGACACCATATATTGACGTTTTGACGCCCGACGAGATCGAAAGGAACTTGATTCTGGCCGAGCGGACCTCGAGGTATGGCCGTTGCGCTGGGCAGAGCGTCAAGCCCGATAGGGATGGCTGTGTCGAGGCGAGCGAACTGACGGAACGTGTCTTGCTCCCCATGATATTTAGACGCTTGAGACGATCCAACATGATCAGCCTCGGCAAGCGAATCCGACCATCGCGATACTAGAGGCAGCTGTGTCCGCGTTGGCTGCGAACCGCGAGGGCAGCAAGCTCCGAGGGCAGCAAGCAGAGTGCGGCAATACATTCGAGATGGATCTGAGGAACATTCATGATGAGGACGATGAGAACACAGAGCGTGGCTTGCTGGGGGGACGAACGAGGGCAAGCGAGAGAGCCAGAGCCAGAGCGAGAGGCAGAGAGAGAGCCGGAAAGAGAGAGATGCACACAGAGAGACACACTCACCAAGCGAGACTCCAAGCGAGACTCAAGCGAGAGCGGTCTCTCCGTCTCGCTCCCGTCTCGCTCCCGTCTCGCTCCCGTCCCGTCCTGCGCCAGACTTGTCCTCTCCAAGGTTGGACTTCTGCTTGTCTGCGCTCTGCTCGTCTCCTTCCTCCTCCTCCCTGCCCACAGCGATCCCAGAGGTGCGGTCTCTGGCCTGCCGGTCCCGCCTGCCTTCCCCCCCGTCGCCGTAGCGGTGCTATTCTTTCCTCCACAGCCATCGCTAGCCTGTCGCAGCCCGATCCCCTCCTTTTCTCCCCTCGCTCTTTAATCTCTTCAGCTTGATCTTGCCCTTCAATGAATCCCCCGTCATCATCGGCCTCGCTCGATAACTCCCCAAAGCCCGCCTCCTCAGCCGCTAAAGAGCCCTCGTCGAACCCTTCGAAAACAGCCTCGGCGACCGCACCGCCCTCTGTCGGATCGCAGGATCACCCCAGCCCGTTTCAACTCTCAAGCAACGTTTTCGCTTCCGATTCGGCCTCCAGAATGTAAACGGATCATCCGCATCGATTCGGCGTCTCAGCTTTCCGCCTCTTTTCAGACAATCGCTTTTCTTTTCTCCACTCGCCATCTTCATCTCTGAGCTTTTAGCCATCATCGTGCTCCCCTCATCTATGTTCGGTTTTGACTCGACATGCTCGAATTTCTGCCATCGCGAGCGCAGACTCCTTTCGGGCGGGGGGGGGCACCCCTCCCCGTCGAGCCCCTCCGCCATGCATCTCTTTCACCCCCATCTTCTTGGGAAACGCACGATTGCCGTCGGTCCCTCTCTGCTGCTCGTGTATAGCGGTGAATTCCTCCGTTGCAACCATGTCATTTTGGTATTGGATCCATCGCCCAGTCACTGATTGCACCGATCACCTCCCCTTTCGCCCACCAACATCTGGCCATGCAGGATCAAGCCGTCCGAATCCGATATCTCCAACACCCACCACGACTCGGACTCGGTGGACTCTGAAATCAGCGAGGATGAGGAGGATTCCAAAGATTACTGCAAAGGTACGGCCCGACGACCTCAGCCATTCGCGATCGTCGGTCATGTCTCTGTCCTCCCCATTCTGTCCCCATTTTGCCTCCATTTCGTGTCTGGGATTCGCTTTATCGGTCCTTTGTTTTCTTTTCTATTTCTGCTTGCAAAAACTCAGACATGACCATCAATGTCCCTTCTGCTTGGGGCTGGCGATTTTGCACTTGCACTCTGCCCTCCCTCCCTGTTCCCGGCCAACAACCTCGTCGACTAATCCCTCTATTGCTCCGGACAGGCGGATATCATCCAGTCAACATTGGCGACAAGTTCCACGAGAACAGATACCTGATCCTTCGGAAACTGGGATGGGGCCATTTTTCGACAGTCTGGCTGGCGCAGGATCAAAAGTAGGTGTCGCTCCCGATCGGCTTCAACTGCTGCGGGCGTTGGTCTACTCCAGCTGGTTCTTGACTGAGAGCGACGATCGAGTCAGTGTTCTGGTCTCTGGGAGCTGCTGCTCTGCCGCTGCACCAGCATTTGCTAGCCGCTGACTCTGATGATCCCTTGCCTCCCGCGTTCGATCCGCATTGGGCTTTCCCCAGACTTGATCGCCTTGTGGCACTCAAGATTGTCAAGTCTGCGACCCACTACACCGAAACAGCGCTCGATGAAATCAAGCTTCTGGAACGGGTTTCGACAGCAAATCCCACAAGTAAAGCGCGAAAGGCAGTCGTCGAGCTCTACGACTGGTTCAAGCACAAGGGGCCCAACGGCGTCCGTAAGTGCCGTTCGCTGCAGCTGGATCGTCTCGGCGCGACAACGGATCGTCATGGGATCAACCACTACCCAGACAATTCTCGCTGCACTGTCGTGCCATTTCTGAAGATGCTTGTCTCGTCACCGTCTGACCATCGCCGTCCCCCCCTCAATCGTCAACCAGACGTTTGCATGGCCTTCGAGGTCCTTGGCCCGAATCTGCTGACGCTCATTCGCCAGTATCGCCATCGTGGCATTCATACTGCGATCGTTCAGAGGATCACGAAGCAAATTCTCATGGCATTCGACTACCTCCATCGAGAGTGTGGTATCATTCACACCGACCTCAAGCCAGAGGTGAGTTGGATCGCTACGCTGCTCAGCCATCGCAGTGGCTGTGTCTGCCCAAGAGATGTTAAACAGCAGCAGTTGCGGTTGCAGCGATGCCGTCCCCAGTGGGCCTGCAGGGCTGGAGTGTACTCCTCTATCTCACCGACAGTCGTGCTGACCTTGGCTTCCCCCCCCCCAACATCAATATGGGCTGTGTCCAGAACGTACTCATCGGTGTCGATCTGGAAAAGATCAAGCAAAAGCTCGGCCTCGTTGGGGTTGCTGGCTGCAACGGTGCTAGCAAATCGGCTGACGGCAGCAACACCGCCGGGGCCGGTGTGACCCAGCCGATAGGCAAGGATAGTCCTCTGTGGTCACTATGTACGTCGCCGATCTCGACGTCGACTCCGGGCTCGCCTCTGACACGCCAGCAGCGCAAGAAGCAAAAGTACAAGCAAAAGAAGCAGCTGGCCAAGATGCAGACCATCCAAACAGCAGTCACGGGCGGCCCTGGTGCCTCCAAGCGCCCGTCGCTTACTCCGGCCAGCGCCAGCGCGATCGAGGGGGCAAGGCTACCACTGGGCTCTTCCTCCACTGGCAACCCGGCCAACAGCTCGACTGGTAGCGGTAAGAGACACCAACTCCCCGGATCGGCTTTGGACGAATACACGGGCAGCCGGATACTGCTCGAGTTCTTTGTACGCTTGCTATTCATCTGCTCAGCCACTGCCACTCCCCTCCAGATGACAAGTCTGCTCAAAACATCGACATCAACAGCCTGACGCCAGAAGAAATCGCCAAGATGACAAAGACCTCGCGACTATCGTTCATCCCCAACAACCGGACCGATGCTCAGAACGGCACCAGTTCGAAGGCTACGTCAAGGTAGGCAGCTGGCTGAGGCAGGGGTTTGCAACAACCGACTCAGCACGTTCACACTCGTTGCCCCATGCGTCCTGCTCCGTGTACTACGCTCTATTCAATCGGCCGGTGCCCGATCTCACCTCTGCCGCCTGACACACCAGTGAAACTTTGGGCAGGAACCTCAGCGACATCAGTCTGGCCGACAAGAGCGAGTCTGCTGGTGAGTTACAGCCATGCCATCGCCTTCCCGCTGCACTACCAAAGTCTGCAATTTGTAGTCGAGATCACTACTGACTCACGTTCCCCCGATGCCTCCACTCGCAGATATGGCCAACGCTACTCCCGAAGCGAAGCAACAGCTGAAAGAGGAGGCTCGTCGGCGAAGACACCTCGAGCACCAGCACATCAAGGTATGCCTCAATGAGCAGACACGGTCAGACTCGGCAGGCATCCGAGGGCCAACGTGGACGCTAACGCCGAACTCTGTTTTCGTCGCCAGGTCAAAATTGCCGACCTTGGAAACGCCTGGTGGGTTCCTGGTGGTGCTGTCGATCCTCACTTCTCTCTGGCGATTTGGCTTTCGTTTTTGCACGCGAAACTGGAGCGCCGGTGCAGTTCAGCTGACCTATCGTACCTGCAATATGCTGTTTGTCAGCTGGATCGACCATCATTTTACCAATGATATCCAAACGCGGCAATACCGGTCGCCTGAGGCCATTCTGGGGGCCAAATACGACACCAGCGCCGACATCTGGAGTCTCGGAACAATGGTACGTGACTGGGGAGGGGTGCTGTTCGCCGGTAAAGCCGACAGCCAAAGCGGCTGGTTCCGCGTCTGCAGGCCAAGCGTGATCTAACAATATGGCGGGCGTTAGGTCTTTGAGCTGCTCACGGGCGACTACTTGTTCGATCCCCAATCCGGAAGCAAGTACACCAAGGACGATGGTGAGTTTGAGCTCTGGGCCGATGCCAGCCACCCGTCTGCTGCTTCGTCTGTGGCTAAATGCAACTCTCCACCAGATCACATTGCCCAGATCATCGAGCTGCTTGGGCCTTTCCCCAAGCACGTGGCGCTGGGCGGCAAATACAGCCAGAGCATCTTCAACCGAAAGGGCGAGCTGCGGAACATTCAGAAGCTGCGGTTCTGGAAGCTGGAGGATGTTCTTCACGAAAAGTATCACTTTTCACGGGAGGAATCCAGACAGATTGCCCACTTTTTGCTGCCATCGATCGAAATCGATCCACAGAAGAGGTGGGTACTTCGCCCGCAAGAAGTTTTTGCGGGACAGGGAGTCCGGGCGTATGACGAGATAGAGAGACTACAGCACACGCGATCCTGCATGAGTTTTGCGTTTCTGCACACTGAGTGGAATGTCGATGCTGCTGCTGCTGCTGGTTGTCCCGTCAGTCACCCTAACCCAAGCGAAACACCACTCGGTCATCCAGAGCGACCGCCGCCGATCTGCTGAATGACCCCTGGGTCGCGAGTGTATCGATCGAAGACATCTTTGATCCCCCGGCCAGTGGTTCCCTGGGAATGCCCGTCGGATCCGGCTCCCCGGAATCGTCGCCTGTTGCGCAAGGGGAAGATATCGATGTCGAGGCCGACGATGGCGCCGACGATGGCGCCGACGATGAGGCCGATGTTGATGTTGATGCTGATGCCGATGCCGATGTTGATGCTGATGTTGATGCTGATGCTGTGCCCGTCGCTGCCCCCGAGGCCATGGCGATCGACAGCGAGGCAGGCGCCGAATGACCGGGTCGATGGCGACACTCGTCCTGGCCCATGCCGAGATGAAACGACGACCATGGCGGAACCTCTGCTTCGCCCCATCTGCAGCCGGCTCGCAGCCAAAGCCGCAATCGCAACCACAACCGCAACCACAACTGCCGAGGCTCTGCTCTGTCTGCCCACAAGCCACATCCCTGCGCTGGTCTGCCCTTTGGTTGCAACTGGCGATACCTTCACCACCATCCCACCCCCTTTCCACCGATCTCCTCTCTGCACTTCTTCTTCGCAACAGCCCGCCAACATGACAGCGCTCGCAAATGAAATGGGATGCCTGTTTCTGAGTCCACCGGGGGCCTTTCTGCGGTTCCTGAATACACACGGTGTCCCTCTGCCATGGCGACCTGCAACCCCGGACATGACGCAGCAAAGATGCATGGTCGCGGCGTACAAGCAGACCGTCGATTGCGAAGGCCGGCTCATCGATTTGCAGCCATGAAGAGCAGAGATTGATGAGCGCCATCGCAGGCCTTCCCCAGCACCAACGCTCCGGCCTATCCCGGAGCTTTTGGAGGAATACGGCTCATGGTGCCTCGCCCGCCCATGTGCTCGGGCCTCGTGTTGGTGTCGCTCGCAGCTGGGCTTTCGCCGCAATCTCCCTTCCCTCCCCGATCTGGCCAGATCCTGCCACCAGCACCCCTTGGGCCCTGTTCTGGCTGCTGCTGCTGTCGGTGGCTACATGTATGCTTCTCCGCAGAGTCTGGACTCTCCCAAGGCGACCAGGCTGCAAACCCTGGCCGGCGGATCGCTGCTCTTCGAGGACGCCGTCCTGCCGGCTGCAGCCCGGGCAGGCATCGACCTCGCCAAGTGGGTCCCGCCACCACATCCTGGTCTTCTGCTGTCGAGGTCGCTGGAGAGTACGCATATCGACTGTTGCAAGATTGCTGCCTTCCCAGCCTCGGACCGATTCCCAGATCACCTTCCTCCTCCTCCTCCTCCTCCTCCTCCTCTTCCTCCTGGCTTGTGCGAATGCCTGCTGACCTTGGGCACTTCGACCTCGTTCGCCGTTTCTGCGGCGCTGTTCTCTCTCTCGGATTGCTCTGCTTGTCGTTGGTAGATCCCAGAGCCCGTCAGCTCGATCGCAAGTTCAGCCAATGGAGTCTGAACGGTCGCTCCCTTGGCTCGCTGGCCAGCATTGCTGCGGTAGGAACTGATCCGCAAACTCGGGCGCTGGGCTGCCTCTAACGAGGAAGGCGATCGTGTGGCCCAGGAGGAATCACCCGGATGCATGCGAATGCCTATTGCCGCGGCGACCTGAAAAGCTCTGGCTCCTGTCGTGCCCAGATCGTGGTTGCCGAACATTTTGATCTGGTCGAGTCGCTTGAAGGCCTGGAATGGAGTCCGATTGGACACCACATCTACACAGCCCTGAAGAAACGATATGCAGTGCTGTCGCCCCGCATGATCGCTCTGCTCTCGATGGCATTTCCGGGTGAGTGGCAGCCGTCCGATCGCATTCCCGGCGTAGCTGCAAGCATGTTCCTCGCTTTCTGGTGCAGCGGCAGCGAAGGATGCCCCGGGCTGTCGTTGCTGACACTCCCGACGGCACTTTGGCCGACCACTTTCTCCAGATCACTTTGGCCGGGACAACGCTGTCCTTGCGAGCCTGCCCTCGACACCGTCACATCCAAGGGCATTACTGGAAACCCTGGCGTATGCATGCGGCTCGACCCTGACCGTCCTGAATCTCAGCCGCACACAGCTGGGCGATAGCGACTTGCCATATCTGCATAATCTTCCCAAGCTGCGAGTGCTCGATCTGTCGTTCACCCTGCTCACCGACGTTGGCCTGGTGGCCTTTGTTCGGCCGATCGACTTTGCCTCGAGCAGCCTGAGCGAACCAGGAGCTATATGGGCTCGCTCAAACCAGGAGGTCGCATCGGACTGGCTGGTGCTTGGTCGCCGCTGCTGCTGCTCGATTCAAAGCCTGAGCCTCAAAGGACTCGGGACGGTCTCGGATCGAGGAATCGGCGCTATTGCTCGGAAACTGAGGCACTTGTCCGTATTGGACGTTGGCCAGACCCTGGTCAGCACCAACGGTCTCGAAGCCCTTGGTCGGACGCATGGATGGATGCGGATATCGGCTCTGCAGCTCACGACCATACTCGAAGACCATACCGGCAATGCCCCGTCCGAAGCGATGCTGGATACACCGACGGGAACGGGCAGGCTCCGAGCCCTGCTCCGCATGAGCCCCTTTGCCGGGCTGACTCCAAACCAAGGCGAACAGAGCCAGTCGGATCTCCTCGAAACACTGCGCCAAGTTCATGCCCACGACCCACCGACGTTTCCAAGGAGTCTGCGGCGTCGAGTGCCAGAGTCGTCGTTGGCAGAGCTTCGGTCCTCAATCTATTTATTCCGAGATCCCGATTCAAGCGCCACCAAACGAACCAGCAGCGGAGGAGAAAGCTGGGGCGACGAGCCGCGTTCAGGTGCCAAGGCCGTCGGATCCAAGCGCTCGATCGGCCTGTCGGTTCACTCGTCGAGGAAGAAGCCCAGCCTGGGTCCGAAACTCTGGGAGTCGCTCGATGATCATCTTCTCTAGCCATCGATATGGATATTGGGCCTGGATGACCAGCATCGGGCTTGATGATCCACCTAGACCGCTGCTAATTGAGATCCAGCATCCTGGCAAAGTCGATACCAAGCAGATGGTGTGAGGCCATCACGCTGGCAGCTGAAGAAGCAGACATCGACACGGCCGAGGATCATACCCCACCAAATACCAGTCAATGTGTCGGATGTGCCAATGTCCATGTACTCACTTTGAATGCCAGAAAGCGTAGAGCCTCGCTGCCGTGGCTTTGCCGATGCACGACGCAAGATCCTGCATAGATTGGCCAGGCGCCGTCAAAATAGCCATGAGCGATTCCGCCACTCAGATTGGAGCCGTCAATATAGGCGGCCAGCGCAGCCGCAAGTCCAGCGTAGCGATGGCGGAGCTTTATGGCCGATCGTATCGAGCAACGAGAGTGTCCGGCGGTGAGACCTACCTGCTCAGAAGCATTCATCAACTGGTGCAGTGCTGGAGCAGCCATCCAAGGTATTCAAGGCGGGAGCATGAGAAATTAGAAGCAATCGCTAAGTTGAATCGGGAGCCAAAGCGGTGAGGGACTGGGGCAAGTGCGGGGGGGGGTGCGAGAGAGCAACTGACGTACTTTTGAACTCTTTCAGCAAGCTCTTTGCTTTGGTTTCGCCAATGCCGGGGCAGCACTGCACTGTTTTGATCAGGCGCTGAGTGTTGGTATGTTTGCTTGAGGCCTTTTCCGTCGGCGTCAACGAATGCTTCTTCGGACGGGCATACTGGTGCGCCTGGTTGGGTCGAGAGCCGGGCAAACCAGAGCCGATGCCGATGCCGATGCCGATGCCGATGCCGATGCCGATGCCGATGCCGATGCCGATGCCGATGCCGATGCCGATGCCGATGCCGATGCCGATGCCGATGCCGATGCCGATGCCGATGCCGATGCCGATGCCGATGCCGATGCCGATGCCGATGCCGATGCCGATGCCGATGCCGATGAATGAGGATCCGCGTCAGTCGATGCACATTGGCGGACAGCTCTCGTGAATCCAGGAGACGCAGCACATGGGTTCATGGGAACGCACCAGTCGAGCTATGTACCGGACTCCATCTGTGACATTGGCTACCGGGATAACTCGGATGTTGAGGGTGAAGAGCGCCGTCCACTGTAGTTCATCGAACTGGGTACCGGTCATATCGGTCTTTTCGATGACGGCGACCGGCTGCTTGAACTGCAGAGCGATTTGGGACAAAGGTGCATTGAAGGACACATCAGCAAGAGCGCAGATAGATGGAGGCGAATGTACGGGAGCGGCAGGCTCGGTGCTGATGGTATCAGCGTCTGTCTGTACTTTGCCAAGAGTCTCCAGCAGCCTCAGGTGGCTCTTGATGGGCTTGAGGAGCAGATCCGACTCTTGAAACAAGAGTATCCCGCAATCCTGGTGAGGAACAAAGTGAACAGGGATATCGGACTGGCTCAGGCGGACCTGGACTGCCGCGGTCCGGGGCACATCAGCATCCGGACTGATGCGGTTGGCAGCAGCGGTGGTTGCGGCGACAGGGCTTACGGTCCGGAGTGAGGCTTCCAAACAGCTCGTGCAGAGACAAGGTTGATGGGTGGCAGTGAACGAGCGGGGCGACCGGCATGTCTATGGACTGAGTGATGATATCGACAGATGGAAGGTGGTGTCGACAGATGGAAGGTGGTGTCGACAGATGGAAGGTGGTGTCGACAGATGGAAGGTGGTATCGACAGATGGATGGCGGTGTCGACGAACAGAGCAACAGCCCTGTATCGACGAACAGAGCAAGCATGACTTGACACGTGCTTGCCTGCGCCACGCGGCGGAGTGCACACACACACGGCGGGGCTGCCTGGCCGAACCCTTGTCGGTTTGGCGCCCGGTCCTCTTGGTCTCCATCGAGTCCGGCTGCGACGTCCTGCTGCTCCCGCCGGTTCCTCTGACTTGCCGCCGCCGCTGCCCAGTTTACCACCATGCGAATCCTCTCTGCCTTTGTCCTGGCATGTGCTGCCGTCGCCCAGCTCGCCGATGCTGCGACTTCGTGAGTGTCCCCCGCGGCGTCTGCTCTTGGCATTTCTTGGTCGGGCGCGCTTGGTTGCTCTGCTAGTTCGTCAGCCCGCACCCTCGCTGGGCTGCCGATCTCTCTTGGTCGGAAGCGGCAGCTCCTCCCACGGCGGCTTTCCAACCTGTGTGCAAGCGGGGATCGGGGTCAATTCAGGCCAGTCGGACGTCCTTTGCTCTCCTCTTCGTCCGGGCACTCCCCGGTCTCTCCTTGCTCTGCCGGGCTCTCTCGTTGTCTGGGCCTTGTCAGGCATTTCGTTTGCCCAACGGATCTGGTGTATGGCTAATTGTCTGCCTCCCCACTGATCAGCATCAAGCTGAAGCGTCAGGCTCTTACTCAAAACGACCTCGTCCATCATGCTGAGGCTTATGCGCAGGCACTCAAGCAGAAGGTGATGTACAACTACCACATCGAGAATGCCGAGCACGGTGTCCCTCTGACCAACTTTATGAACGCCCAGTACTTTGGAGAGATCGGCATCGGTAAGCGCATCCTCGGGGTGTCGGACGTCGACACCAGCAGCCCAGACAGCTTCGGGTCGTGCCATAAATGCTTGGCTGCCCTTCCCAATGAAGATATTTGTAATGGCGATTGCAACATCGACTTGACATGTGTCTTGGCGGCGATACCATCCCTGCCACCCTTGCCACCAGGCACGCCGCCCCAGACCTTCACCGTCGTCTTTGATACGGGCTCCTCGAACCTGTGGGTTCCGTCGACCCGCTGCTCGTCCATTGCCTGCTGGCTCCACCGCCGGTACGATGCCTCCAAGTCGCAGAGCTACAAGGCCAATGGCACCGAGTTTGCCATCCAGTACGGCACCGGTGCTCTTGAGGGCATCATTAGCCATGTAAGCCTGTGCCTTTCGACAACATGCCATCGTTCCGCACGCCATTGCCGCATCGCGCTGTGACCCGACTCGGCTCGTCAGCCCCCTTCCTCTCAAAGTCATCCGCTGATGTGTTGCTCATGTCTCTGTTTCTCAACCACTTCTGTTCACCCTGTGCTCTCAGGATATCCTCACCCTTGGTGATCTCCAGATCCCGCAGGACTTTGGAGAGTCTGTCAAGGAGCCCGGCATCACCTTTGCTGTTGGCCGTTTCGACGGTATCCTTGGTCTTGGTAAGTTCGCGCTTGTGCTTGTCCCGTCCACGTCCCCAAGCAGCTGCATATCGTACTTGCTCGGCGCCACAGCTGTTACCATGCGCCTGCGATCGAGGCGATGATGTATGCACCTCGCTCACCGTCACGTACCCTCTCCTCCCATGTCCTCCAGGATACGACAACATTGCTGTCAAGCGTGTCGTTCCCCCATTCTACAACCTCGTTAATGTAAGAAGCTCTGCTTTCTTCTGTTGCGCCGATAATGTGGAGTGTGTCCCTGCTCCGGTCCATAGCGACTTCTCGTCGCCTGGCTCCTCCAAGCCTTCGGACACTGACTGAATAGCGGTCTGCTATACCGAATTCTCGTCCAGGCGCATCTCCTGGACACTCCTATCTTTGGTGTCTACATGAGCAACAACCAGGGTGACGATGGTGGCGAGATTGTCTTTGGTGCCGTCAACCACGATCATTACCAAGGAGCCATCAGTAAGTTTCGCCGACCAGTTTGTTGTGCCCTTGGTGCTCCCACACCGGTTGTGTATCGGCTGGGTTGAGCTAATCCCCGACTCCCGCTCTCTCCAGCATGGGCTCCCATCGTCCGTAAGGGCTACTGGGAGGTCGCTCTTCAGGGCGTTGAAATCAACGGTGCTCGCATCGATGTTGTTGCCAAGAGCGCTGCCATCGATACCGGTAAGCGGTGACCGCATTCGGACGCAACTGCCAAACGAGGTTGGCATCGCATGTGCGGTGTGCCGGCTCTATGCCGGTATTGCCACTGTGCATCTTCTTATTGCCCTTTTGTCCGTGTTGACCGGATCTCCTCATTGCCCAGGAACGTCCTTGATCGGCGTCCCCACCAAGGATGCCGAGGCCATCAACTCCAAGATCGGAGCCACCAAGGGCCAAGGAGGCCAGTACACCGTCGACTGCAGTACTGTTTCGAAGCTGCCTCCGATCACGTTCACCTTCGGAGGCAAGAAGTTCACTCTCAAAGGTGGGTTTGCATTCGGGGCTATGCATGTGTCCGGGGCGGCGGACGATGCGCACCTACGCCCTCCGTCCTCCTTGACATGTGTTTGCTGAACCCGGGCTGATCCTTCTATCAGGCGAAGACTACGTTCTCCGTGCCAGCGGTCTTGGTGGAGGCGAGACCTGTATCTCGGGATTCATCGGCATCGATGTAAGTTCTGGGCACACCATGCAGTCCCGCCCCAAGCATGGCCAGCAAGAATGGGCCATCGTGCATGCAATCGTGCTTACACCGATTTCTCATCCCTGTAGATCCCCGCTCCCGCTGGTCCTCTCTGGATCGTCGGCGATGTTTTCCTCCGTGTCTTCTACACTATCTACGATCTGTAAGTACATACGCACGCCGAGACATGTCGCTGACTATACTCGCTGCTGTCGAGATATTGGATCATCACGCCGTTCGAGCCCAATCTAACCAGTCGATTCTCCCTTTGCAACACCAGCGGCAACAACCGAGTCGGCTTCGCTCAAGCTGTCTGATCGCACATCAGATACGTCCTCAGTCTTGCGGCCTGTCGGGATTGGCGCGGCTCCCGCTTTATTCTTGTCTCGGACGCCGCCGCCCCTGGCTATCGGCTTTTCATAACTGCTACGAAGTAGCACCTGTCGAGAGGACCGACAGGACAGGCCTCGCCTATTTCAATGGATCTCTCTCTTTTTGTTGTAATATCACAAATATAGCGTGTTCTGATCAGACCCATGGTCTGTTCGGCAGTGTCCAAGAACAGCCAACGTTGGCCCCCCCCACATACATGCCGAAACAGGGGGGTGGGTGGGATCGCTCGTCTTGGCTGCATGAGCCACGGCGACTGAGGGAAAGGCGTCACTGCGCCTCGGTGTCAGATGAGCTCACCAACACCAACCATAATCCAGAAGGAGTTGGTTCGCTTCTCCATTCCATCGCCGCCAGCTTTCAGCTTCGATACGCTGTCGATCGATGAGGATGGGATGGAGCTTCCCGCCGCCGACACCTCGGTCGTCGAAGGACGGCTGGAAAGAACCTCGGCAATAGAAGCGCGAGATGTCTTGTTCACCAGCCGAGCAAATGTAACGAGCAGCGGAAACTGCAAAGCGTTTCGGAGGGGGGAGAGGGGGAGTGGTGTCTCAGTCGATATCAACACGCAAACAATCGTTCTGGGCATTGGCGATGCACCAATTGCCGCCGCCGCAGCTCGCTCAGGTACATGCCTTGCTCTCAGCCATGGAAGGCGAGATTAGCCACTCTCGAAATGCGGATCCTCCACAGCAAAATCAACCGCACACACCAGCTGGAATGTCGCCACAGCTCCTATCCGTACCTCAATTCGTTTCGAGTACTTCTCTCCTTCGCCCTTCTTGGGAATGACTTCAAGCATCACCGTGCGGCAGTTCTTGCCCTCCTCGGCGCCGGCGAGCAGATCAAGGGCGGCTGTAGAGGCGGTTCGGCCGCGCTGGGATGGCAGGGTCGCAGGCTCGTCGTACTGCCACATCTCGTTGTGGGGCGGAATCGTGAACGTAGGCGCCAACACCGTCACCTTTGCAGGAGCGCGCGATACAGTGTTAGGTATCGAGGAAAGAAGCTGCAACAGATCTACATGCAGCGTTGGTCCCAGTGAATGACAGCAGTCGGGGGAGAGGATGCGGTTGGTCTGTCGCCAGATCAGCAACGAGATGCCATAACCCACCACGCAGTGCTGGGAAGCCGACGAGGCATCGGTCTCGCTCTTGGAGGCGCCGGGTGCAAATGGCGTGGCTATCGAGACGTCCATCTCTTGATCGATCGGGTTGGTGAATTTGAGCAGCAGCTTGACGGGAACATCAGGGGTCAAGGGCGAGAGAGGCATCGGTTGCGCGATGGTGATCGTCGGCAGGAATTCTCTGATATCATGGTTGGGATCAGATAACCCGAATCGGCGCCGAGGCAAGCCAAAGAGAATGCCTCCCCTCCCCCCGGCGTGTACTGTCGACAGAAGCCACCAACATAGATCGCTAGCGTGCATCGCCGCCAGCATACATCGACATGCACAAATCGTGTTTACCGTGCAATCAACTTGATCTTGAACCGAGTCGCCACCGCCTTGATTTCTGGCTTGATCAGGAAATGGTCGCACTGACGGCATCGCTTCGATCGCTTAGTGCGGAGCTGAATACGCTGCGGGCGCAGGTCCCTGGATTGAGCAAAGAAGCGACCCAAGACAAAGGACATCAGTGCGAACGTTTTGCATCCACGATTTGCATCCACGATTTGCATCCACGATTTGCATCCATGACAAGATGAAAGGAATACCCGCACGAATGACGAGCGACTGCCGGATCGGGCAACACGAGCGACACGAGCGATACGAGCGACTTACATCCGGCGGCGCGGCTCGTCATCAGGCTGGTTGAGGCGTTGTGCCAATGTCGTTACTGCATGAAGAGTGCACAGCTTGGAGTGAGATTCACACGAATAGGCCGTGGGGTGGGAGACATCGATGCTCCTGAGTGATTGTACGGCAGGTCGGAGAGCGTGGCCATGCGAGATGGCCGAAGCGGGACGCACCTGTGTCAAGTCTCCAGAGTGGGTCCTCTTCGTCTGCCTTGCTGTTGTCTGGGAACTCCTTTGCATAGGACTCGTACGGCTCAAGCTCCTCGGTGCGGCCAATGGGGAGCGGGTTGGTCTTTGGGAGGCCCATCCCAAGCGAGGCGAGGCCGGGGATGGAGGCCAGCAGCGATGATGAGATGCTGTTGATGGCACCTCCACTCTTGAGCACGCCGGTGGGTTGTCCCTGCGCCTTCATGGCCTTTTCAAAATATGCACGGAGGCTCTCAAACTCCTTGACATCCGACCGTTCGTCCTCGGCCTTTTGCAGCTGCACTGGATACCAAGAGGAAAGGAGGAGACAGAACAGCAGGGTCAACACCGTCGTTGGGACGACCACTTCTGTGGTTACTGGTGGACATGCTAACTTGTCCAAGGCCAGGCTTGTGGGCCTCCACACCATAAGGCGACGATGGAAATCACATCGCCCGGCTGTCAAAAGTTTGGACGCAAGAGGCCAAGACCGATGGGCTCCAAAGATCGCTTGCAACCCGTCAACGGACGGACATACTCGCCAAGCCCGTGGGCCGTTCAAACTTGAGTCCAATCTCCAGCGAGTCCCAGCGACAGACGCCGCACGACAGATAGTGGATATTGGCGCCCGAGACAGTGGCGCCGGCAGCTCCCGGATCGACGATGGAGACAACAGTGAGGGTGTTCATGCAGATTGGACACTGGAAGCAGTTGCGGGCACATCTGCAGGGAATGTTGCCGACGGTTCGAGAGGGTGAGACGCCCGCCAGAACAAATCAAGACGGCCCGGGAGCAAAGCGGGCGAGGGGTCGGCACTGGTCGTAGCCCACGGCAACCTGCCTGTTCTTCTCGGCTTTTGCCGAAGCTGTCGGCACCTCAAAGAGGCAGTTTGGGCAGTAAAAGCATGATATCTCCTCTGAAATGCACCGCTTGCAGCGGATCTTGTGGCAGTCGTCGCAGTAGTAGAGATGTTCCAGTCGAGATAGAGTCAGGGAGCTCCCTTCGCTCGGTGCGTTTTGGGTGATGTCGACGGTGGGCTGCGATGGAGCTCCGTCACCGGCGGTTCGGTGTGCGGATGGCTCGGTAACTCGGCTGTTTAAGCAATCACACTAGTGTCTCCAGAAGCAGCGCGGGTGAGCATGGTGCACATTGGTGAAGAATCGGGATGCGGGTCCAGTGCGGTAAGGAACGCAGGTCAGTCAGAGGAGCCGGTGGGCAGCCAACGAGCGACATTCTCCAGATCTGCTGCTCTGCACAACTGCAGCGCCCGGGAAGTTGGAAGCATCGTATCGCCGGTATGCGAGCCAGTCCTGGTCCGTCGAGGCAGACAGTGTGCGCTTCGCCAGGTCGCCAAGGCGAGGCAGCCGCAGCGGGTTCGCACCTGGTAGAAGACCGAGGGCACCGGGGTGGGGACATGGAGCGATTGGCCCTGGGCCGGGCTGCCGAAGGAAGAAGAGCTCAAGGGCATTGCAGAAGGCAGCCACAATCGGGCTATCTCGGGATGGGCTGATGCGGGAGCCTGTGATGGCTCTGGAGGGGGGGGGCAGTTGCGGCCGGGTGAGCGGGAGGGAGAGATGGAGGGAGAGATGTTGGGCGACGGCGCTGCGTTTCGGCTCTGCCAAATCCGGCGAGAAAGGGTGCGGGCGGTGGGACGACGCAGCGACCGGGCCTGCAGCCCAGTGCGGACATGCAGAGGTGGATACGCCGACGGGGACATGCACAGGTATCCATGCCAACTCGGATATGCAGTTATACATGTCAAATCGGGGATGTAGTCATCCATGCCAGCCCGGCGATGCCCCTGGTGCCCATGCACCAAGTCCGTCGCGTTATCGACGGATAATGTGTTTGTGGGATCGCCGCGGATGGGTCGTCGCATTGTTGACACAACACAGCAGACAGACTAATGTCTTGGAAGATTCCGGGATGAGGGTGGGAGATGGCAGCGCGGCAGTCGGTATATAAGCGCGCAGGGCCGTCGTCCGAGTCGATGTCCATCTGCTCGGTCGACAGCGCCATCACGCCCCAGTATTCCCACGCAGACCATCGCCCGGACCACTCCTCTGGCCATCGCTCTGACACCTGCGTAGCCGTTCAAGTGCGCTCGCCGTCCTCACTCCCACTGCAGCGTCCGGTAGGTCATGGCCCTCCAGAGTGGGTGTCCTGGTCCTCTTACAGACGACACTGCCCGGGGACTGCCATGTTCGCGCTCCGTGGACTTGCTGCTCGGCTGCCACCCACATCCAAATTGATGGTCCGTCGTTGACTTGGGCCCATCTAAATTTCTGGTTTGGTGGCCATCAGCGCCGGCTCGAGAAGCACAAGTACAAGTACGAGAACAGGAACGAGAACAGGCACATCAGCAGCAACAGCCACTATCACCCGCACCAATCCGAGCCAGAGAACTACAAGCCTCGCCTCGGACCTACTCCCCCAGACAAGTCGAACCCGGGCCTCGTCGCCATGTCGATCACAAATTGCCCATCCGTGTGTCTGAGCACATCGGTACTGACCCCGGGATCAACCTATGCACTGACCTGGCTGTCAACGTACTTTTCCCCAACCCAGAATGCACCGCTGCAGATTGATCTGTACAGCCAGAGCTCTACTGCATCAACGACGCTGACCTGTGCAACAAACTCCAGCACGCTGCTGAGCTTTCCAAGCGCCAACACAGGCTCGGCCAACTTTGTGGCTCCTCTTCTTCCACAGCCAGGATTCTATGTCTTTCGAGTCAAGTCCATAGACTCGAGCTGCTTGTTTGGACCAGCACAAGGAGTGTCATTCGCCCCGAATGCAAGTGCCTCTACCTTGACCTCGACCCAAACACCCTCGGGTTCTAGAATAACAAGCTCAGCCACCCCAGGCACAAGCAGTACCACCCAACCGACAGCCGACAACAGCACACAGCCGCCCTACACAGTCGGTATCATCATTGGCTTCTCAGTGATTGCCGTTTTGCTGGTACTGCTACTGGCCAGCATCCTCTTCATATATCGCAAGGTCTTTATCATAAAGAACATGCCTGGCGGATCTGCCGACAGCACTTTTGCTAGCACTCAAGCCACTGGACGTCATTCGCCGTCGCCCACGCCGTCGGCTCGCACGATTGACAGCGACCCGGTGGTGGTGACAACGCAGTCCCCAGAACCAAGGTCCAACGGTCACTACAGCGCAGCCAGGGAATCTGAGCATTCGTTCCAGTCCCCGGCCCCGATTGCCGTCACGGATCGTCCGTCAGCATCACCCAATCCAAAGCGATTCTCACATCTGTCCCAAGTCTCTGGACAGAGCCCCAAGTCGATCCTTCGCGACAGCATGTCCGTGGTTTCGGTCGAAGATCTCACCCTGATGGCATCGAAGGGCAACTTTGACGCCATTACCGAGCTTGAGAAGCGAATCCGATCGGCTTCCTCGAGTCTTGCTCGATCCAACCAACTCTTGGCCTTGCTTACAGAGCAGATGAAAAATCAGCAGCAGCAGCAGCAGCAACAACTTCCTCATCCATACATTCCGCCGGTGGGCCAGAGCTTCTCCGAGGGCTCTCCTCAGTCACTAAAGCTGAGATCGATGACGCCGCTCGTGAGCTCGGTGTCGCTTCCCTTGGGCTCGCTGGATGGCGGTGCAAACTCATCCGCTCACTCGTCGATGAGCCAAGAACAAGCAAACAAGATCCTGCAAGTATTCTTGAAGGAGCTGCGGAATCCCCAAGTCGGGAGCTGGGACGAGGTCGTCGGTAAGGTTGGCCAGATCATCCGGGAGAATCCGGATCTGTCTGAGGCCCTCAACCACCCTCACTCGTGAAGCTCGTCACAAGTGGGCGTCTGGTTGTGATCAAGCAGCGGTATAGAATGCTGTGGCTCGTTCTACTTGTTGCTCGCAACGTAAGCGGAGGCATCCAAGATATGGTATGGATGAACTCTTTATCTCTAGATCTGAATACATGCATAAACTTCCATGCTCAACAGCCCGCCGCCACTCCGAGCTGCTCTCTGTCGTCTTTGATGGAATGCCCTCGATCCGCCCATGTATCTGGATCCCACTGTTTGGTCTCACTGTTCGGTCTTACAGGCACTCCCAACTTGCACCGCGACAGTGTTCCTGATGCCGCGATGTTGGATTGCGACATTGGATTGTGCCGTTGGATTGTGCCGTTGATTTGTGACGCATCAACACATCCCCCATTATGCGCCTCCACTCCTTCCTTGTCCAGCGGGACGAATGAAATGAATCGGGAACATGTGTTTATTCGGGCCCAGAGGGAATGATCGGCGACCGCAAAGCGAGGTGTCTCGTTTCATTTTGTGAGCGCTGCAAGTGCAGAGTCCGGCATTAGCCAGAGACAAGTGGATTCACACATCCACGGTTCTACAGCTACCATTCTTCGTCTAGAGTACGTGGCAGGAGGGATGTCTATCGAGTCAGAACCCATTCTATGCAAGACCAAGGAGATCCAGGAGTAGACGATCGAAACAGGAGAACAATGAATCAAACAAGCAAACGCAACAGAGGCAAACGTGGCGCTTGCTCTCTACGAGTAGCAAAGATATGGGGCTATCCATATGAGCACATGAAAAGCGTCAACGGTGCAAGCGTGGAAGAAGAGGAAATATAGAGCATCCCGGTGCTGGAGCAAGGGCGGCTGTTAGGGCCGAGATCGTGAGCAGAATGCAGCAGGTAAGAGCGTTGAGCTGGGGATGGAAAGGGTGTAGTGCTGCAGCATCGGGATGAGTGAAAGTGTACCCAGCGGGGGCCCTTGCATGCGTGTGCGCTATTGGAGAGGTTTGCATGCAAGCTTCGACTCAGTCCGTGTATCCGTAGTCCTTCAGTCGAAGAACGTCGATGCCACCGGCTCCAGGTTCAAACACAAAGGCAAGGCAGAGCACCGTCGTTGGTGCATTTCCGGCGTCGATGTCCTTATAGATCTGGTGGACGTTGCGAGACGGTATCCGTTACGATCAAAGTCTGGGGTCGCAAAGCCGATTCAGACTTCATGTCCGCCCAATTGCTCGCAGGCGAAATGCTCCTGGCAGCAGAGCCGCGGGCGTGGCCCCCGTACAATGGCTTGCAATCGGTTCTCCGTGTAGAGCACCGTCCGGGGAAGCCATCGCCCACTTTCTACTCAGTCGCTCCCTTTTCGTCATACGCACCTGCATGACTGTGAGATTTTCGATCGCCCAGACTGCTTCGCTGTAGGTTTCAAGTTGTGAGAAGCCATTGAGGAAGGTATTGAAGAAATCCCCGGCAAAGTCAAACCGGTATATCAGCCGGTCGTCTTGGTTGAGTGGATAGCGCATCTCGGTGGTCTCGAGGATCTTTTTGCCAAAGGAATGGATACTTGTCGTGCACTCTATGGTGCGGTACCGCAGCGACTCGTAAATGGCAATGTTTTTGCACACACCCGAGTATGTGTATCCCAGGTCGATGTTCATCTGCAAGGATGTGGATTAGACGGCAAGGGTCACCCAAACAAGTAACAGCCAGAATAGCATTGGGCATTAGCAGTTAAGTATGAGTCGGTTGGGCATTGCAGCGACACTGGTGCCTCGATTCGTCACAGCGAGCCGCTTGCGCTTTGAATCTGACGTCAGCGCGAGCCATCCTTCTGTGAACGGTACCTACCTTCAGCAAGAAGAACGAAGCCGATCTGATGCTCTTGTCGAATTCGTCTTGTAGTCCAGGCAGCAGGTTAAGAGGAGCACTACATATATCGATAGCTGGAGCCGAAAGGAGCGTTTGGCGTTCGTTCAGACGGACCAATTGGTGTCGCTGGAGCTGGACAAACATGTGCGGCATAGAAATCAGTGTCGATTTATCGTCGGGCAGTGCCAGGATCCCACTGAACCAAGACGACGCAGATCCAGGACCACACTCAGCTCCGGATCACTTCCAGGCCCCAGGGGGACCACGTTAAGCATGCAGCTCGAAAATGTACCAACCTCGGTGCTGCAGGTCAGGTCGACAAAGTCCAGGTGCATCTGAAAGTAGGTCAGATAGAAGACCGGAGAGCCACGAGATCCATCATCCCCGAAAGTGATGTCATCCAGGTTCACACTGTGCCGACATTGTGCCATTTTAGGGGCAGCATATGGACACGCCGACACCAAGCCGCCTATACGAACAGGCGATTCCGAGGGGCTTGGCGACGGCAGAGAATAGGGCCTGCACTCGGTAGGAGACTGGTCCGGCAGCTTGGGATGCAGATCCGATGGCGTTGGATACGATCGAGACACGTCCTGTGGCTCCGTGGGAGCTGTTGATGAGCGAGGCCGGCGAGGGGGGAATCGATTAGTGTCTGCACGCATAGCGAGGCAGAGCACAGAGGACCGACAGTAGCATATCGACTTGACCAGTGTCCCAAAAGGCAGCCAGCTAAGGATGCAAACCCCGCCTCGATGATCCCCTCCAGCACACGGAGGGAGGCGGTGAGAATGCAGTGGAAAGGCAGCCCACCCTTGCGATCGGTGCTTTTGAGGAGGCCTTGAGTGTTCTGGTTGAGATGGATGGATGGAGAATATAGACACGACGAGAAAAACAGGATGAGTGGAGCGAATCGGACCCATATCGCTCGCCAAGGCTCCGCAGACTCCATCCCGCCGTATCGAATCGTGCAGGGCAGCTACTCTTGTTGGGAGACACCGTACCAGGCTCGGAAGCCGTATGAAGAGCTTGCGGGCCGTTGCTCGACTTGAGCCGGCATCTTTGGAGGACTCGAGTGGTGATAAGCTTTTGGTGTGGCCGTATGGATGGACTGGAGGGCGGGTTGGAGGATACGGTCGGATACAGCCCGGCAAGAATAAGCAAAGACAACGATTCCAGGAAGTAAGTGCTTGGTCACTGGCATGTATAGAGTTGTCGACGACTTGGCTTACCGCCGCGCTTGGTTCGGGATGCCAGAGATTCGACACAGAGCGAGCGCGAGTCTCGGGCCGACGACTTTAACGAAGATTTCGAGACATCGGCCGACCGCAGCTCTGCCTGGATGCCTTGAAGACCGGGCGGGCCCGAAAACGAGTAACCGAGGGGCTTGGAGGTACTTGGGGAGAGCGAGGCAAAGGCACTGACAAAGGACGGAAAGTGCTGGATCGAGTACGTGCTGCGAGCCGGGAGCTGCTATCGGAGACAGAGGGCAAGCGAGAGACAAGGTTGTCAAATAAGTGTTTTATCGAGACTGGAACAGCAACTCAATGGGGGGGGGAAAGCCATTGGACAGCTTTGACGAGCCTGGCTCAATTGGGAGCGATACTCCCATAGGGTACGAAATACGACGAGGCGGAGGGCGGAATTATAGATCCACCCGAAACCAAACCAGCCAGGTTCAAGCCCCGACGACAAGAGTCCATGATTGCAAGGAGTCTGTATGAATATGGCAGCAACAGCGACATGAATCGCATGATAGACCCATACCGCGACATCCGAATCCGAGTCCGAGTACATCTCGGGAAACTGAATTTGGAGAGGAGGCAGGTGCTGGCACTGGAGCATGGCTGGCAGAGAAGACAGGGCTATGATGCGGGAAGATGGCGGGAAAGCAGGAGGGCGGGTGACTGCTCTATGTGAGAGTTGAGTGGATGTGTGGGCTGGCGAGGACCGAATAAAGTCTCTATGGGAAAAGCAGTGCTGTGGAGAAGAATGATGCAGAGAGTTGAAAGCGCCCGGTCTTTGCAAATGTGGAGGAGGAGGGCGCTGGAGGAATTAGAGACAGGAGATTTGCTGCAGCGGGCTGAATTGGTAGAAAGCGACGGCGACGAACGAGGGAGAGTCGATGGGCCAGAATTGCGGACCGATGTAGGACCAGGGCCAGTCTTTCAGCCGATGCCAGAGGTATGATGCCAGAGTTATGATTGAGGGAATGTGCTGGAAAGGCGAAGATGTTGCTTGCCCAGCCAGACAGATCTGCAAAGCCAGCGACCCGGACAGTTCAGAAGGACAGACCCTGATCGATCGGCGAGCGCTCGAGAATGCTCCAGCTATCGAAGCAGCCATCGGGCAAACCAAGAACGTCGAGCCCGGAGCGATGCTCATGGCATGTTCTGGGGGGATTGGGCGAAGGGAGATGCTTGCGGCAAGACGATCAATCGCCGACCAGGGTGAACGACAGGTACTTACAGGGTCAAGCAGCACAGCGAACGAGGGCAAGATACGAGAGATTATCGCCCAACTGGCTCGAAAGAATAGGGGCGCTGGGTTGGATCCAAGGATGAGGGAAAGAGCAGCTATCGAGGGATTGTAGCAGCAGCCCCAGGAACACAGCTACTCCGGGAAGCGACGGCAAGAAGGGATGGTGGTGATGGATCAACAACGGAAGTGCTGTGGCAAATACTGGACCGAGCCCTGGATGATGTCGACCAGTCGATGGCAGCAACTCGGGCGGATGGAGAATGCGGTGCAGAATGAGGGATGAAATGAGGGATGAAATGAGGGATGAAAGGGGGGGGAGGAGGACCTGAGATGGCGGCACCGGCTAGATGAGTGATTGGGGTCGGCGGGAGATTGGGATCGGGGCAGCGCCTGGGCGAGTGGCTCGAGAATGAAGCTCCAGGCCAGGATGAGTGGGGATGTATTGGCAGAAGCGAGGCAAAAATGGAGGGAATTCTGTGGGAGCGAGGGAAGAGTGTTACGGAATACTCCACAATACAGCAGGAGGAGTTGCTGTGCTGCCGCAGGGGTCTGGTCCAGCCTTCCAGCCGACCGACTCTGGGCGGGAGCGAAAGGCGGTTCGGGTTTGGTGGATGCGGGTGGGCGGCAGCGGCAGCGGCGGCAAGCATCGCTGGTATGGCATGATGTGGCATGGTATGGCATGCTGGGGAGGGCGAGATCGGTGCAGTCGATGCTGCCGGTTGATGTTGCCTTCGATGCCGGTGTTGAGATGTCAATGGCGAATGGATGCACCGGGCGTGCGTCAGGGCGCCAGCAACATGCATGTCGGCGTGTCGGGTTCATTGTCCATCGTCATCAGGTCGTTGGCGTGCTGCAGCACCGTCTCCCACGGGTGCAATCCAGCGGGGCCGTCTCCGGACGGTTGAGTTGAGCAGGCACATTGCGCGGGAGTGCTGATGGGCGCGGCAAAGTGCGGGTGGGTGATGTCGAGCCAGGAGGCCATTCGACCTCGTCATGACGGCCGTCTGGGCGGATCATCATGCTCGGCAGCGATCGAGTGATCAAACAACGGAGCGTTCGAGTGACCGAGCCAGAGAGCCAAAATCACCCGAACCGCCAGGGACAGCACAAACAACACAACAGCGCACACAGCACAGAAGAGCAGCTTCATCGAAAACTATGGCCTTTTATTCTTGAAACATAAACGCAAGGGACTTAGCTCCCAATAACAGCCCCACAGAAGCAGGGCTGCATTGGTACACCAGTGGGGCTGCGGACAAATCTCCATTTAGTAGAGGCGGACAGGCTTGCCCATGGACGACTTGATGAAGAGGGACTTGACGTTCTGCCAGTTCTTCTTGAGAAGGGAGACCAGGAAGTTGATGGACATCATGGTGTTCTGGATGATCTCGTCCTCGGTCATATCGACGTGGCCAATGGCAACACCGAGGCAGAGAACCTTCTTGAGCTGGAACTTGATGGTGGCCTTCATCTCAGTGACCTTGTCACCCAGGTTCTCGGAGTGGGTGAGGGGGGTGGGGAACTTGCCGGCCTTGGCCAGACCGGGACCGAGCAGACGGGGGATCTGCTTGATGAGAGCCTCAGAGGCCAGGAAGGCATCGTACTTCTTGGCAAGCTTCTTGATCAGCTTCTTGTTCTTGTTGAGCTTCTTGAGGTCCTCAACAGACTGGTACTCGAGGTCGATCTGCTTGGCCTGATCAATGTGGGCCTGATCGGCGAGAATGCAAATCTTCATCTTGGGCTTGGGGATGTTGGGCAGGCGGACGGTTCCAGAGAAACGCTTGTCACGCTGGGGATCGTAGTTCTTGAGACCGATCTGGAGCTCGATGGTCTCGGTGAACTTTCTGGGCTTCTCCTCCTTGGAGTAGCGGAGGAGTTCCTTGACAGCCTCACGGACGGCACTCGCTTGAACCTTGCTGTGAACAGCGACGGTGCGTGTGGGATGGGCGGGCGAGAGAGACGTTGATGTTGAGTATTGGTGCGCATGGGCTGCTTCTTCTACATGGCGACCTCCCGCTTTTCTCCCTCTCGCACACAGCGGTGGGTGTAGTTTCCCACGAGTGCGATCCGGGCCAAGTTTGGCCGTGAATTGCTCCCGCGGAACAGCTGCCTCCATCCCGTCAGGCCCAATGGGCGAGGCATCCGAGTTTGTGCCATCGTGGATCTGCCGTGCACCTTGAGGCATTCGTGTGCTCCGGATTGCTGCTGGTGCTGGTGTTGCTGGTGTTGCTGCTGTTGTCTTGATGCAGGTTTGCCCAGGTCCACATTCCGCCGAGCGTTGCATGCCTGCTGTCACGCTGTGCGCCTCGCGTACGACCACCTCCTCTCCACAGCCGATCCGCCGCATCTCCTGCCCAACGAGTCTGCTCGTTCGTTTACCTCATGTTTCGTTTTCGGGATGAAAGGGAGGGGCAGAAGGCGCTGCCGCCCACGCCGAGCAGAAATACCCCGCCGTGCCGAAGAAAAAACACACGTGTGTGGCTTGGCAGCCGCCTGCGCCACGCCACTCCTCCCGGTCGCAGACGGTCACGTGGCGCACGTGCTGTGGCCTGTGTGTGCTTGCGCGGCGGATCCAAGTCGAAAAAATTTTCGGTCACCAGCCAGATCGCCGATCAGGATCGCGGGAGCCAGCATCCTCAGCCCCGCCCATCAGCCCATCTGTCCATCTGCCCATCTGTCCATCTGCGCTGCCTGCTCCAGCAAGCCCAGCAAGCCCAGCAAGCCCGGCAAACCCGCAAACCCGCATAACTACAACCCCAGTCAACACCATCTCATCGATAACAACGTCCAGCACAATGAGATTCGCTCCCGTCCGCCTGCTTTCGTCGCTCGGCCGACCCTGCGGCCCCCATCGCCTGGCCGCGTCCGTGGCCTTGCCGGCGCGGGCTTTCGGCTCATCGTCGTCGGCCATGGCCAAGCCAAAGCCATCGGCATCGTCAGAAAAGGGCTCCAGCTCGTCGCCGTCGCAGGAGACCACAGCAACTTCGCCGCATGCACCCCTCGCCGACCAAGTGGTTCGTGTTCGCCTGGAGGAGCATTACTACAACACACTGCTGGAGGACATCATGATCCTCTCATACGATCACTCATCCCCTACAGCCAGTCTCGAGGCCGCCCTCCCTGCGCTGAGCCGCAAGCTCCCTGAGAACGCCCTCGAGGATCTTTTCTCGACCCCGTTTTCCGATCTGCCAACACACCCCACCAACAACGTCACGACACACTTTCTCCTGTCCAACGAAAACTCGGGCTCGGTCGTGAACTTTCCGAAACGTTCGTTTGCCAAGAAGAAGCTGAACCCGATCGATTACACCATTGTCAAGAAGGAGGTCATGACGGCACTGCCGCCTCTCGATATCTGGAAGCCCTTCTCACCCTCGCCAAAGCGGCTGCCGCTGCTGCGGAAGGTCACGGTGAAGGTCTGGGAAGACTCTGCTGCTCACAACAAGTACGTAATTCGGGCACTGCGCGTCTTGCATCTGCTGGGCGCGCTAGCGGTCCAGGCGGGATCGGCTCTGCGTGGTAATTTCCACCCTGCCTCGACTCTGCCTCGATCTCGCCTTGCCCTGGTCTCGATCTAGCCTCGATCTAGCATCTCGTGCTTGCTTGCAGTTCTGAACAGACAGACGAACGTATCGCACGACAGCTCTGGTTGCTGACAGCACTCTCGACTCGATCTGGTGCCCCCCCCCATGCCGATCGCTCATCATATTGCCGCCGACATAGATCCCTACTGCTGGGTGCCATCATGAACCTCCAGTCAATCACCGGTGTCGAGGGAACGCCGCTCTTTTCCGACAAGAGCGATGCTTCCCGCAAGATCCGTGCTGGCATGCCGCTAGGTGCCAAAGTAGACCTCTACGGCGACAAAATGTACGAGTTTGTGGACAAACTGAACCAGTGCGTGCTGCCCCGCCTCCGCGAATGGGAAGGCATCAACCCGGTTGGCAACAACCTGGGCGCATTGAAGCTCGAGCTCCCCGAGTCGGCCATGGGCTACTTCCCCGATATCGAGCCTCACTTTGACATGTTCCCGAGGATGTTCAAAACCGAGATCACCTTCTTTACGACTGCCCGCAACGACCGTGAAACCATGCTGTTGCTCAGTGGCTTCCAGTTGCCATTCCTAGACAAGCCGATCGTCCAGCTCGAGGAGACCTCGGACGACAACTCGGATCCTTGGGCCAAGTTCTACAAGACAAAGCGACAGCAAGAGATGAGAAAGCAGAAGCTCATGGGCAAGAAATAGAGTCTGTCTTGAGCGTGTCCTGTGATGACGGCGAGTGTTCCAGTATACATATGCCCAATGAAAGAAATTCGCCTGGACATTACCCAAAACATTACCTGGGAGTGGTGCATGGTTGGCAATCCAAGTGCTCGGTGGCAATCCAACTGCTCGGTGGCAATCCAAGTGTCTCATCTGCCCGAGCGCTGATTGGCGCTACCGTTGGTGAAATCATCGATTCATCCAAAGAGCTCTGCGACCGGGGTTGGCTCGCTGCCATTCGACCAGCTCGTCCAGCCAGGCTCGTCAGGGCCGGGCGAGAGTCGGAATCCGGCGATGCCTTGTCGCAAGCGTTGTCAGCAGGCTCAGGCCACATCCAGCGCAGCGCCCGGCAATGACGCCAGCCAACCCGCCTCTGGCGACATCCGCATCATCTCTACAACATCGACAGCCGTCCCGCAGGCTGCATCTTGCCATTGATCTTCGCCAACAATGTGGGTGTTTGGATACGGCAGCTTGATCTGGAAAGTCGGTATGTTGAGTCGCTCTCGGTCGCAGCCAAAAGCCCCGCCGTTGCCGCCTGCTGCATCCGTTTCCCCCAGCACTCATGTCTCGGAACACCAACCTTTGACAGACTTTCCATATGAAGTGAGGATACCGGGATACATCTGCGGATTCGTGCGGCGATTCTGGCAGGTTCGTTCAGCCGCCGACGATGCCCTGTCAGCGAGCTTGGAGCAACGCTCTGCCCGCTGGGTTTGCTTTCCTGCCATCCAGTGCCTTGCTGGATGGGGGTCGTCAGTGTCGTCCGCAAGGTCGACCAGGAACAACTCTGGTCTTTATGAGCAGCTGCCGGTGTTCAGAAACCAAAGACCCGTCGTGCTGATCCTCTCTTGTCCCCGCCACTCAGGGCAGCCACGATCACCGAGGCACTCCAGAGTCGCCCGGCCGTGTGGTGACCCTCCTGCCGTATTCCGAGTGGCAGACGCTCTCGGATCGAGACTTTGCGGTCCACCAGCGAGCAGATGTCTGCTGGGGCGTTGCATGTGAGCTTTGTTGTCGAACGATCCGAGCGAGGGCAAACGACGACAGCGCCTGCGAACCAGTATGCCCTCCATTTGGACTTGTCGATGCCTTCAATGCGTCGGTTGCTGCTGCATTGATAGCCAGCTCAGCCGGTATCCATCTTCAGTTTGCCTTGCTGCATCCCTCTGATCTCGCTGTCGCTTGCACCATATATTTCATCTGGGTTTGGCTGCTCGTATGCAGACAAGGTTGCTCCCAAGGACGAAGCATGGGTCCGGGCCCACCTCGACCACCGAGAGAAGAATGGATACGAGTCTTTCAAGGTGCCTGTCTATCACCCGCTCGCAGGAAGTGACCAGCCGATCGTTCAGAATGCCATGGTCTATCTCGCCGGCATCGAAAACGAGGCCTTCCTGGGTCCAGAAACGCTCGACCACATGGGCGTTCATATTGCCCACTCAAGAGGTCCAAGCGGCCAGAACTATGAATGTAAGTCACCTGAAGCTTCGAGTTGGGGCTCAACGCAAGAGTGCCCACAGCGAGCGATCCTTGGATGGATTTGGCTGCGTGTATTTGTCCTGGCAGTGGTCATATCGACAGGATGCCATCTGGTGGCCTCGAGAGATCGTCTGGCATATTGCGATCTACAGCTCGGGCCCTTCTGTGCTATCTTCAGAGCCGCTGACTAAGTGCGATACCAACCGCAGACCTCTTTGGGCTTTACAAGTCCCTGAAGGCGCTGGTGCCCGATTTCCCGGACGAGCACGTTGAGCAACTCACCGACCGGGTGGTCCAAGCCCTCAAGGATAACCACGCCTTTGATCCCAGCATGCTAGAGAACCCCAAGTTTGACGATGCTCTGGGGGAGCTTCGAGAAATGTCAATCTGGACGCACGAGCGCCTGCAAGAGCGGCTGGATTTTGCGCACAAGCTGGAACAGGCCGAGGAGAGCTTGGCTGCATGACCAAAGTTGCTCTTGAGCTCGGCCGTGTGCCCTTTGAATGAGCCAGGCAGATTCGTGCTTGGCGATTCGTCATGGAGGCATCTCTGAAAGAGGTTCATCGCTTGTTGATATGTGACCAGAGCTTGCTTGGTTGGAAATCGTTGGCGGTGCGATCATTGGCACCGCATGTTGCGCCAGAACATGCCGCTGGATTGAACACGGAACAGGACGCCCTGAACATGCATGTGCACCGAGGAGCCAACGCAATGCGGTCGACATGAGACACTGGCATATGTGGATTCTGTTGTGCCCCTCAGAAGTGACAGTTACAGCTTCCCGCACACCTCGCTTGGGTGCGTCGACACGGGCTTCTGGCAAGCGAGCCCTGCATGGCACAGCTGCGGTGACTATGGCGGGAAGCACAATCGGCTCTCATCCCCTCCCCTTGCAATCGGGATGCTCCTGTCCGTGCTGTGTGCGTCTGGAAGTACAGTCTGTCCAGAAAGAAACGGGTCACTTTCCCTTCCTGGCTTCAGATGTCTGAAGCCCGCTGACTGACTGTAGGCAGCGGACAAGCCGTGCGATTGTTTCCCGTCCTGGTTGGCAATCGAGTGGTTTTGGTTAGTTTGGGAAGCACAGTCTTGAACACACTCGGTCGATCTCCTGTGGCGATGATCGACTGGCATACCGAGATCATGTTCCTTGAGGCATTGATGTCTCGATCCCACAGCGTATGGCAGCTTGCACAGCTCCGGACAAAGTGTGGTTTCTCGATATCAAGATGGTGCTGTGCTTGGCCATGAATGTGATGAGTGGGTGTGTATTCAGGTTCCAGAAAACAACAATGTCCTGGTTAAAAACAGGGAGTCCCATTTCATTTTGGAATCGCTGTATGTCTCAGCCGAGCCACGATTCCCACGACTCCCACAGACCAGCCGTGGCGCAGTCGCATGTGACCCGCACATGACCGCGCCTTCAGCCCAAACCCGAACATCCATCGCCGATCGAGCGGTCCTCTGCATCCGCAACAGCATTCTGTTATCCGAGACCGCTCTGACCATCCTCCATCCATGAACCACCTTCCTGCCGCACACACTGCATCTTTCTTCCCAAACGCTCTCGCCGGCAACGTCGATGAGGCCAGCGCCAAGCAGATCCTTGGCCACTTCAGCACGCTCAACTTTGCGACCCTGCCCGCCAAGGTGCTGGAGCTCAAGGGACTCCTGCAGACTCAGTACTATCCCTTCGTGTGCCGACACATTGTCTTCAAAGAGATCTCTCGGGATTCAAGTGTCATACCCTTGTTTCTGGATCTCTTTCAGTCGCTCAACATCCCCGAGCTGGACCATGTTTCGTTGACTCTGACGGTTGCGAGCGCGAAGGCGATCTTGGGCTCGGACGAGATTGTTGTCTCGCCCGAGCAGCGCCTCGCTCTGCGAAATCTGGGCGTCTGGCTGTCCGGCTTGAATCTTCGACGCTGGAAGCTCGTGAAGGCCAAGCATCCCATCCACAAGGTTGTCATCCCTTGCGATCCCTGCTTGTCGCTCCTCCAGGCGCTAATCCCCAATCTTTCGCACCTTTCACGCTGCCGATGCATCAACAGGAGCTCGTCCTTGACCTGATGGAGATCGATCGCCTGACTGTAGCCATTCCATTCATATGCAACGTGATGGATTGCTGCAACAGCGCTAGCCAGAACTTTCGCCCGGCAAGCCCATGGGGCAAGGCTCTTCTGAGATCGGTCTCGGACTTTTACCAGGTGAAGCTCAACATTCGAGCCGAAGTCGATGAGCTCGAGCACCTGGGGTCATATCAAGGTAGAGCGCTTGCGCCGATATCTACACCGGCAATTGCATGTGCAGTTTTGTCCCAGAGACATTGGCGATGTACTTTAGAGCCGATCCTGTCACAGCCTCGACTCGGCCATGGTGGTTCACTATGAGACATACCCTTTTGATTCATTCCATCGACCCCTCGATACCGTCCGCCCTGACTTTTGTTGTAACATATGACCATTACAGCGCACTACCCTGTCTCCCGGCAGAACTTTTCGGCTGATCTTGTGGTCAAGCCCGCCGCCGGTTTGGCCCCTGACACACTTCGCCGCTGCCTGTATGAGTCCTCCCGTCGAACCATCGATGAGGTGAGTCCGTCCTGATGGTGCAGCTGCAGTCGGCTCTATACGCGCCAGTAAACCTGGACTACCAAGCCACAAAGCTGGATCCGCTTACTCATCGCACTCGTGCTGTGCTGATTCTTTGGCCAATGTCGTTGGCCATCCTCATCGAATAATCCACAGGTCATGGAGTACGTTGTTGACCGGTGTGTCTCCATTGCCACGAACACAACGCGCCTGCTGCTGCACCGTGATTTTGCTCCCGAGCATAGCGAAGCCAACATCAAGACCGCTATTCGCATTTTGGTCCAGTCCCTTGCCGGTGGGTGTCAGTTCCTGAGCAACGTCGGCACCCACAGTTGCTTGAACCTGACACATAGGACGTGCAGACACAACAAAATCCGTCTCTTACCTCCGACCCTTATGTTCATGCCATTAGCTGCGCTGTCAAATGTTGTATCGCGCGACTCTATCCGGCAGCGCACCAAGGCTCACATGGTTGAGATTTTCAAGGCCGCAGCGGAGGTACGTGGCTGGACAGATCACCGAGGAGGCGGAAGGCTATTTTTGACTCTGCGACTGTAGTCAACTGACGGCATTTCATATATGTTGTACAAATCCCAGGTTCCTGTCTCCGAGTTCTTGGTCTCCAGCTGGGTTGCAGACAACCTTGAAGTCCTTTCGCTCATCATCGAGCGGGCAACATTCTCTACTGCTGCTCATGAGGTCGACCGCCTCTTTTCGGTCTACCGGGAGCAGGTACGGCACGAGTCATGCTGCTACATATGTCCAGGTCATCCTGGCTCGACTGTCGACTGTCGACTGTCAACCTGGAAGCCTGCGCAGCAGCATCCGTGGTGTGTCAGGGGGAAAGCAGGCTTCCGTTGTTATTTCACGCCCATGTGAGGGATACAGAATTGTGTATTCAGCGCACCACGTAGATGCGATTGCGGCCATATCGAGTTCTGAACGACGTCGCTGAGCGCCGTTAGTCCCAGATACTGATGAATATGCCGTGACGTTGTCCACCAGCTTGCAAGGGGATTGGAACCCTTCCGTCGACTGGGAACAAACAGCAGCGTTGGACTGGTAGGCATGACTGTCACTGTCCAGCACCGCTCTATGACACGGCGCTGATTGTCGTTCTCTGCGTCATTATCCCACACAAAGGCGCGCGAAGGCTCGCCAAAGCCCATCCGACCTGCACTCTCTGGTGGCTTTCCTGATCTCGAGAGTCTACAATCGCCCGTTCCCAGCACATCCGCCCGACGATTTTCGGTAATGCGATTCGAATCGATGATCGTCACGCCGAGCTGATGGGAGAAGTTGTGCATCATCGACCGGATGTGGGAACGTGTTACCCTACACCCTCTCGTTTTAACGCCAGCCCCTTCAAATTGCCCTCTATCGACTCAGCAACTATTGATCGATCTCGAGACCATCATTGCGCAGAACTCGTCGCTCTCATTGGCGACCTTGCCGAACCAGCAGGATATCAAGCATTCTGTTCAGCAGAGCTTGGTGTTCATCGACAAATTTCCAGCGCGGTCGACTCAGCAGGAGGAGTTCTGTACACTCTTTGTCCAAAAGATTCTGCAGTTGTTGTACCAGTATCCAGACTCGCAGCTGGCGCGCGAGGTCTTTGTTGTGATGCTGCAGAAGCTGACCGAAGTTTCAAAGAAAGCGCATGCCGAAATCCAAGAGTGGCTCCTGTACGCAGACACGGAGCGAAAGCTGAGTGTCCCGGTGATGTTTGTCTTGGTACAGTCGCGTCTGCTCCCGATTCTGGGGCTTGATGTTCAATTGGCGAGATACATCCAAAGCGCTCAGCCATCCGAAGTCGAGTTTGCGATCGACTTTATCAAGAAATGCCTGCTGGAGAAGACGGATGCCGACCATGCGCTATGTAGCCGCATTGATTTGCTGACCTCCCTGGACGCCCTTGCTCATCAAAAGTCGGCGGGGACGCTGAACGAAAGGTAGGAGTGATGGATTGTATTTGGCCGAGCCGAGCCGGGCAGTGACATGGCGTGTGGGCTTGAAGGGCGCATGAATGTATGCTCTCGCTGACGCATCTTCCCAACGGATTGTTGTGTCTCCATTTTTGTCTGCCATGACGCAGCGGTGCGGCGCTATTGGACCAACTTCGGTCGCAGCTGCGATCTGTCGGCGATATCGAACACGAGAGCCTCCAGGAGCAGCTGTCGCTCGTCTTTGCCGAATGGATCCGGATCTATCAGCACCCGTACTCGAGCGAGCGCATCCAAGGTGCATATATCGAGGAGATTTTCGACCGTGGGATCGTCGACAGCAACGACAGTCTCCATATCTTTCTCCGAACCTGTACCGAAGCCAGCCTTGACGAGTATGTCCACAAGACGGCTTTCCTGGCACCGGCAGCTCCGCCGACGAGTTCAGACAGGATCGTTGCAGTTGATGCATTTGCTCGTCTGATCGTTATGATACTCAAGCGCGATCTTCTGCGGTCTGACGATACTTCGATCGACCAAGCGGCTGCCGAGGGTGAAGCAGCGAACACCAGAGACCCTATGTATCTGACGACCAAGTCGCTCTCGATCATCACCTTGGTGCTCGTCCACCGACACAAGGAGCTGTCCACTGAATTCAACCCTCAGCCGTTCTATCGCCTCTTCTCGACCATCCTCTCGGAGCTCGAGGCGAGCCGATCCGTTCTGAAAGGCAAATATGTCAAAATCCTAGTTTGCTTTGGGTACGTGCGACCACGACGATCCTGGACCGGCATGCCGAACACACGATTGCGCCAGCACACTGTACATGGTGCCCAGGTTGTGAAGCATACTTGATGGACCCTCATACTGACTGAGCCACCTTCACGAATGTCGATGTGTAACGCCCTTGCCGTTCCGAACTGTCTACAGGAATGCTTTGCATAATCTGCGTCCATCCCTCGTTCCCGGGTTCGCATTTGCCTGGCTACAGCTCGTTTCCCATCGCTACTTCATGCCCAAGCTCCTTCTGGCCAAGAGACGAAAAGTATGTGTGTCACGGACAAATCGTCCTCACGGCCTGTCGATCTGCTTTATCCATCATGGAAGGCGACGTCCCGGTGGATAACTTGTTGCTCCGCCATCTCCATTTCATTCGCGCCTGCTACATCCCCTTTGCTGACATGTGTTCGCATGTGTTGATATGTTTCTAGGGCTGGTCTGTCTTTGAGCGGCTCCTCAGTGATCTGCACCAATTCATCACGCCTCTTCCAAAAGACGCCGAGTCGGTCGACAAGTCGATGCTGACGCTCTATAAAGGAGCAGCCCGGGTGTTCCTCATTTTGATACACGATTTCCCGGAGCTGCTGAAAGAGAAGGAGACTGCTTGCTCGGAACTGGTCGAGTCCTTGAAGGCGTTGAACGTCGCTGGGTGAGCCGCCGCCCGCCACCATGGCCTTGCTGAATATGGCTGGCATTGGTCGCTGGTCAAGCCCGGAGACGCCTGGCTTCAGACAGACACGCTATATCAACGCAAATGTGTATTCGGGGAGAACTCGTCTGCTGCAGAGCTCGGTGTTCTCGTGGGTCTCATATCGTACAGGTGAAGGTGAAGGCTGCATCATCAAACAGCCTTGGATGAAGTAAATGCAATACAGAACGGGGCACCCAGGGCCGTCGCTTGTTTCTGGGTCCTGAATACACCACTCCATCGTTGCGCTGCGATGCTGCGGTCCCAGCTGCCGAGGTGATCGGCTTCATCGCATACGGCCCTGCCAAACCCAGGCCGCCGCATATCGCACGTTGATCTCGACGAGATCATGTCTCACGTGCAACGCGCTGCCTGGCGCCGCCCGATCGATCACGTGTGCGGGTAGCCAACACGATCGCCGTCGCTGCCCTGTCCTGCCCTGTCCTGCCCTGCTCGGCCTGGCTGTCTCCGTCAACGACATCCCTCAGGCAGACACTACACTCGGGAGGGTCGAGCTGCACACATCCCGGGCACCTGCGTTGGCCGTTTGGAACCATGAGCACCTCTCACTATGGCGCCAAGCACTCGGGCGGCTATGGCGACAAGTTTTCCGGCAATTCCAATGGCGGCTCTGGCAACCCTCCACCCTTCCGGAGGATCCCGCAGATGATATTCAACTCGCAGACAGCCATCGCCCGACAGGCGTACGACGGCAAGCGGATGCGGAAGGCGATCCAACGTAAGACCGTCGACTACAATTCAACGGTCATACGGCATCTCGAGGTATGCTTTGCGAGAGCCTTCTGCGATCGACGCCCAAGCCCACTTCCGCCGGCCTTACGGACCAAAACGCCCCCGCCCCAGCGACGGGTCTGCCCCAGATCCATATTGCTCTCTGACTGACTCCTTTATTACGTTAACTCCATATCGTCTCGGCTATCCCGATCGCCAACATCGTGGCCTCCTCCCCCCTTCTTCTTGGCCATGCCCCGTCAGACTCGACCCTGGCAGCGCGACTGGCGAGACCACATCGCCATCCAACCGGATCATAATTTTATTGTTGAGGTAGAGGCTGGATGTTGGAGAGCATCTTTGCAAAGAGCGGAATGTCCGTCTGCTCATCGTGGCATCGGAGCACCTGACTGTATCGTTGCTGCTTGGACCCGCGATACTCATCCACGGGCGATCATGCTTGTTGTTGCTCAGATGCTGCCATCCACATGCTACCCCCACAATCCGGCAACTTCCATTTGCACCAAATTCATCCATACATCTACCAACAAGAACCGGTGTCCGATCAATGTGGTTCGGGTATGTCGCCGCGACTCGGGCGGGCGAATCGGCTTTGCTCAGGAGCTGCATCTGCCACAGACCGATCTCTCTCGCCAGCGCCGTCGCAGCTCCGAATGTGACCATTGGATGGACAAAGCTCTAATCATAGTATATGCATATCTTTGCCGTCCCCCCACCTATCATTGCGTTGTTGCGACCGTATCAATTACTGGATCCAGTGGACACCAGAGGGTCGCCGGCTGATTACGGGAGCTTCCAGCGGGGAGTTTACCCTGTGGAATGGCCTAACATTCAACTTTGAGACGATTCTACAGGTATTGTGAGCACCGTTTTGCCAAGGATCCACAATCGCTTTTTGCTCTTGTCCGAAAACAGTGGGGCGACGAGCGGACGGCAGCTGATGCTGATGATGTGACGACGATGGTCTCGATGCATCACCCCTCCCCAGGCGCACGACACTGCTGTACGTGCCATGACCTGGTCCCGAAACGATACCTGGATGATCACCGGCGATGCCAGCGGCACCATCAAGTACTGGCAGTCGAACATGAACAACCTTAAAGTGGTGCAGGGCCACCGGGAAAGCGTCCGGGATATCACGTCAGTGTCTTGCAGAGGATCTGCTGCCGTAGAACATGCACTCCGCCCTGGTTACTCACATCTGCCGGCGTGCCTCGATTAGATTTTCGCCCACCGACAACAAGTTTGCCTCGTGCTCGGATGACCAGTTCATCAAAATTTGGTCTTTTGCAGATGCAGTAGAAGAGAGAGTGCTGCAGGGCCACAACTGGGATGTCAAGTGCATTGATTGGCACCCTACCAAGGCTTTGCTCGCATCGGGCTCCAAGGACAATCTTGTCAAGCTCTGGGATCCCAAGAATGGCAAGCCACTAACGACACTGTAGGTGCTTTTGCTTCCCGCTGCACTGCCTCAGGCCTCACAGAGCGAGTCACTTGTTCCTCGCAGTGCTTCATCACGCTCACCGTTCGTGTGGCGACTGCTCACCATCTGTGTTTTGGTGTGTCTCCAATATCACAGACATGGCCACAAGAACACGATTCTCGGTATCGAGTGGAATCGCAACGGAAACTGGCTCGTGACTGCCTCGCGTGATCAGCTCCTCCGCGTATATGATATTCGAATGATGAAAGAGCTGCAGATGTTCCGTGGACATAAAAAAGAAGTGACATGTAAGTACCCTGATTGCCCGATGGCGCTATAGCGATCTGCTACGTACTAACGCTGCCATCCATCAGCGGTCGCTTGGCACCCCGTCCATGAGAACCAGTTTGTGAGCGGTGGATCGGATGGGTCAATTCATTACTGGCAGGTCGGGTGAGTACATGCTTGATAGGCAGTGGATCGGACCGGTCAAGCGGGCCCAAGTCGCTATATTTTGAGAAGGTGGTCGGAGCAAGGTGCGAGCGTCGGCTCAAGCGTTGCCAAGGAGTGAACCTTGTCCTCTGACACCATCCTTCGGTACGGTCCTCTGCCGTCTTCGACAAACTTTCAGAGTCGAGCAGTCGATCGGAGGAGTTGAAACCGCGCATGATTCGACGGTCTTTTCGCTCGACTGGCATCCGCTTGGCCACATCTTGGTCTCGGGCTCAAATGACCACACCACTCGATTCTGGACACGCAATCGACCGGGTGACCAAATGCAGGACCGATTCAACATGTCTCGAGGAGACGCCGAGGCTCTCGGGCTGATGGAAGATCAGCACAATGACGACCACGATGGTTCGTATCTCCTGCAGTCGACAGGGACAGCTGGGCAGTTGTGGCAACGCTAGTCCCGCCAATCTGTTGAGCATCTCGATTTTGCCTGCTCCCTAACTCTTTGTTGGATATACCCGGGCACTTTAGCCGATGACGAGCAACTACCTGGCTTGGGAGGCGATTCACGCGAGCGGCAGACCCATACCGACCATGATTTGGGGCTTCCTGGGCTTGGAGGGCATCATGTGGCGTCTCCTGCCTCTCTGCCTGGCTTGGGCAGCCCGTTTCCCCCGTCGGGACATGGATATGGCCCATCCAGCCTCCCTGCTCGACCGGGTCTCGCGCACGACAGTGGCCGTGTCCCTCCTCCCCCGCACCGCGGCCAACGCCACGGCCCTCCCGACGACCGTGGTGCTCCTCCATCACAAGGATGGCAGGACCGAGAAAGAGATCGCTTTGGCGGTCCGAATGATGGCATCCACGGCGGCCCTGCAGCCGGTGGCTACACTCGTGGCGGTTCGGGCGACCGTGGGAACCGACCCGGCCGACCTGGACGAAATTTGCCGCCTGGTGATGGACGCCGCGGCCGTGGCCCGGAAGACGAGCCTGTCACCAAACGATTCAAGAGTGACCGCGACATTACCGACGCCTGGGGTGGTCATCAACCGGGACCAAGGCCGCCTCCGCCACCCCCTGGATACAGCTTCGGCGCTCCTCCGCCTCATGGTTTTGCCGGGGACCACCACGGCGACGGCCCTCCTGGCAATCCCCAATCAGGGATGGGCCGGCCATCCGGTGGCTCTGGCGGTCCTCCCAGCGGCGGCCCCCCCAGTGGTGGTCCTCCCGGCGCTGCTGCTGGTCATGGCCCAGGATCGTCTCTTCCTGCGGCTCTGCAGCGTCAGTTCTTGCAACAGCTCCAAGAGCGACAGCGGGCAGGGCTTGGAAAGTGAGGACATCCTTGGAGACCGTCTAATCAACAATTCAATTCGTCAAACTGATTTCGACAACAAGATTCGTGTTGGCTCTGATGCGAATAACACTAGCTGAACTATGCCTGCACGCTTATCGCCACGGCTGTGATCTGGCCGGCAATGCTCAGGTGGCTGCCTGGCAACTCGCTCAAGGGCGACGTATCCAGGCTGCCAAACGTCATGAGCTGTCCGACAAAGACTGTGCCGCATGGTCCGGGGTGTTGATGTGTGATTCGACTGATAATGCATGACAATGGCAGGCGAAGGATTGACTGCTCCCAGTGCCGCCGCTGAGCGTTGCGGCAGCGCCGATACCGGGCAATAGATATGAAGGACCTGATTCCTTCTCATTTCTTCTCTGGGTCTCTGGCCTCTTCATCGGTTACACGGCGCCATTTCTGGGCCACTTGCTTGCTCATTTGCAGAAAGATCGAGGTTGTGGTGACGCCTGTGATCACCAGCACAAAGAATCCAAACCAAATACCATCGAGTCCTCCTCTGTTCCAGTCCCGACGTTGGAGGTTTCGCATTGTGAGGCAAAGAGGAACCCATTAGCGCGAGGGGAGGGGAGGGAGATTTGGTCGACCATGGGCAACAGCAACCACCCAGCGACAAGTTCATGCCGCACTTACTGGACGCCCATGCAGATTTGGGACTCAATGGACAGAATGTCGGCTCCCAATGTCTGGCAGCTGAGCGCCGTCGTGAGCACGGCCTGTGCGGTTTGTGCACCCGACATCACAGTCGAAAGCATGTTTGGAATGGCTGCCTGATTCAGCTGCGTGAGAAAGCATGGGTTATTTCGTCGTCTCGCATAGAGCCCTGTTCAAGGGATCTGCGGCTTGCGATACGTGCAGATGTAGTGAGTGCCGTCGCAGTGCCTATGTGGCTCACCTCGCTCGTCAGCAAGCTGGTAAAGTTCGAGCCGGCCAGCTGAGGGCCGAGCGCATCGACCAAGGACACAAGGTTCTGCTTGATGGCCTGGCAGTACAGAAATGCGAGTGTGGCAGCTCAGTTAGCCACATCAGATTGCATCGGATTGCCTCGGATTTCATCGACTGTGGTGGGCCATGCGGTCGGAACACCATCCAGCACGCATGATGGCATGGAATAGCATATTCCGAATCCAAGAGCTGTCGAAGCCATCTTACCAACAGAGCTGTAATGCCATTTTCCATGTTGGTCACTGAGCCAAGAAGCTGGGCCGAGGTGGCGATCTGTGGACCGTTCTGCTGCTGGCTTACTTGCTGTCGTATGGAAGTACAGCGGGACTGAAAGTCGGCCAGCGCGGCACTCTTCTCTGATGCAGAGACGCTCGGGGGTGAGTACGTGAGATTCTGAGTCGTGGAGGAACTGATGAGAACATTCAGGCCGGCGATGACATTGGTCAAGTTGCCATCGATCCATCCGACGGCTGTTTGGAGATATTGTATTTGACTGAGCGGAATGGAGCTTGTGTTGAAAGTCAGCTGCCGAACCGAGTTGGGCACTGTGGCAGCGTTGCTCAAAGCACTTAACGCAAGGTGAATTCCAAGATTCAGCAAAGGAAAGCGCAGCTATACTCCACAAACGACCCAATATCCTCCAGCCAACAGTATGGACAACAGCCCGCTCTCTCGACTGCCGATATCCCTGTATGTCAGTTGCGTCAGCGCCTCTCGTTGCACAACTTCATAAAACGACGCCGCTGCCAACCTGGTGTCGACGTTTTGTAAAAGGCTCGAGATGTTGAATTGCTGCAGTGTTGAGTTCACTTGTGCTGGGATATTGGTTTGATTTGCGATCGATGCGGGGAGGAGACCGGTGTTTTGGATGACGTGCAGCATGTCTATGCCTTGCGCGCATTGGTTGACAGCAGTAAGAGCTACAACCGGGCTGATTGGAATGCCGATATGGACGGTTGTGAGGGCGCTTTGTAGGTTCTGTCCACCGTTACCGAAGGCCGTGTCGCAAGCTGAATCGCCGAGGGAATCACGAAGGTCGACGGCGATTTAACTAGGGTTAGCGGCTCAGTCAGGGCGTGTTTCAGCCGGGTCTAGTATGGCACGGACGAATGTGGTCTCACCGTATCCAAATAAAAGCGCGGCCAGGAAGAAGATGAGACCAAACAAGCCAACAATGATCTGCGGACAATGTGAGAACAATGCGCAACTGGTGGAGCACGAAGGGGCCATTGTGACAAAGGTTTAGTACTGGAGACGATTAGCTCAACATGTGCACATCACACTTGGATCATCCCATCGACCCAGGCAGCCCGTCAAGTCGGCGTCTTTGTGTGATTGAGGCAGATACCAACCAGCGAACTGATCTGGGCGATTGCATTGCCGTTCCGACGCTCACGACTGACACCAGTAATATCAGCGGCCATAAGAGGACTAGGATGAGCCCCTCCAGGCCAACGGCCCCAAGGTTGATCCACTTGAAGTAAGTCGAGGGGCTTGGGAGGAACCCTGACACATTCGGAACGTTGGCCTGTAGTTGGTTGGTCAGGCTACTATTGATATTCTGCAGCTGAGACTGCAATGTAGGCTTGTAGCCTGGTGTCATAACGGCTGGATGTGAGTACTACTGGCACGAGCTTAATATACATATACCCTAGAGATGACATCGGTCCCGCAGGTCGCAATCATGGCACCAAAATACCGAGACCGATATCGTTTGGAGCCATAGTCGGAGCCGACGCAAACTTCAGATCTGGACAGCTCTTCATGATTACCCTCGATTTGATTGGACGACGCATTCTGTAGGCTCGTGATTTGGCCGTTGATTTGTGTCGCGGTGGCGTTCAAGTCCGGTAGGTTTTGGAGCTGCGACGTTTGCTGGACAAAGTCGGGCATGTTGCCCAGGATCTGGTTGATGCTCTGGATCAGATTCATTATGTTGCTGACGTTTGGTGCTTGACCTCCGCTGTAGTAATAGCTGTCGGATGTCGATGGGATGGGAGCGCTCGAAGAAAGACCCGTGATTGAGCTTTGGATCGGCGACATGGCTATGGAGTTGGAAAGTTCCGGCCAACGGCCGCGAGTGAGTGGATGGGAAGTGTGCCTCAAAGCCTGTTCGATTATTCGACATGACCGATGGGCTTAGCAGCAGCTGAGGCCAAGGTCGAACATACACACCGGACGAGAGAGTGTTCATGTTGGATTGAAAGACGCTGACTTTGGAGTTTGCCAGAGTGGCGTTCGCGGTGATGGCAGTCGCGGTGGGGTTGACTAATTTCATCAGCGCGATGATTTGTGGGATTTGAACGACTTGCAAAAACCCACTGATGGCACTCGGTAGATCGACACTAGCCATATGATCGATGGCAGTACCGATGGCGGTCGTCAGAATGCCAACCGAGCTGCTCAGACCGTTCAATGCCGAGGCAACAAAGTTGTTGACATCGTTTGGGATCTGATAGACAGTGTGATACGCCAGGCGCATTTGATCTGACGTCTGGAAAGATCCGTTGCCGGCCCCCAGGATAGAAATGCTGTTGTGCAAAGGCCAGGTGAGTACTCGCGGTCCAGGGGTATGATTGCAACACACATCCAGTCATTGGTGATACTAACCACCACAGGATCATCAGCAGTGTCGACATCAAGAGAATCATGGCCTTCTGGCACGGGGTTGCTCGCTGCTGCTTTTTTTGTCTTGGGCAGCAGCAGCAGCAGTAAGCGCAAATACAACCAAATACGTGGGTGAGCATGGCCAAGGCAAACATTCCGATGATGGAGAGAACCGGCTGGGATCAAATGGCATGCGGGTTTGTTAGTTGTGAGTCCTGTCGGTTCATATCTGCTGGACGGCAGGCACGGCGGGCACGGCACCTACAATAAAGTACGGCAGAACCCCAAGAAAACTGTTGATGGACAGCGGGCCGTTGGAAGCCTGTACGATCTGATCGATCGGGAGCGGCTGCCCCTGGTTCAGTAGCTCACGTATGATTCCACCGACCGTACCCCAGAGGGATACGGCGGTGGTGAAGGAATTCACGCGATGGACGGCGTCCATTAAGGTCTGCATCAAGCTGTTGGCCATTGTGACAATATCGCGGGGCTCAAGGCGCACGAAAGCGGGCTCGGTTGGAGCTCTCTCGGAATCTTCGGCGAGGGCACCGAGGCATACGGTTGCCAGCGATGCTATTGTGCCAAGCACGGCAATGACGGCAAGCTTCTTCATCGGAAATCCGTATTGGAGCTGCAAAGCTTGCGAAGAAAGTTGAAGGCGAGCGAGAGCAGGTACAGGCTCTGAGTTGGCTTATATCCGGCTCGCAGAATGAAAATCGGATACGCTGGCCTTGACACGGCGCACGCTCATTTCAGGCCAACATCATTGAAACCGAGTGCCTCAACGCGCAGATGGCTTGTGTGGGCTGAAAGACGCTGATCGGCCGCCTGGTTGAATGACGTCGATCGGCGCTCGCACTGCTGCAGTGGACTCGGTCAACGAACTCGACCGCTGAGATATTTGAGGCATGGGCTGACTCCGTGAGATAGACTGACTCCAGGGAACGGACTGACTCCATGAGACAGACAGACAGATTCCATGGATGCACGCACAGGAAGTGATTTGACCCACTCTGTTGCACTTGGTCGAGTACATCTTATCACCCGGGCAAGACCATTTGTCCCATCATTCACCACACGCACGATCGTCATCTGCTTCAGCATCGCGATGACGTACGAGCCCCTGCTGATTGAGCAGCCGATGCAACTGGGGCTTGCTTTGACTGTCATGGCAAGGGCTGTCGAGAACTGCTCGCTGGACTCGCTAGCCTCTCTCGCAGCCGCTTCCGAGATAGACAGGCCCGTGCGTCGCATCCGCTGCGTCGCATCCGCCCATGTCCAGCGCGTTCTAGCGGGCTGGACTGGCCGTGGCGCAGTGCAAGGTGACTTCCACATGACCGCCGTGTCCAGCCGCAGCCCGGCTCCGGCGCCCAAATGCGCTTTGCTGGTCGTCGGCAGACCACGAGGACACCTGTCCTGCTTTGAACACTGCGATCGGGCAGACCCGAGGTGCGTCTGGCTCTGGGCTCTGGGCTCTGGGCTCTGGGCTCTGGGCTCTGGGCTCTGGGCTCTGGGCTCTGGGCTCTGCTGCTGCCGCCGAGGCCAAGCGAGTGCCCTGCATGCCGAGCTGTGCGCGGTGGCGGTGCATCTCCATCCGCTGTCCTGACTGGCCTGCTCGTCATTTTGTCCATCCATAGCTGCTGCCGGTGCCATCATGAGTGTGTACACAAAGGACGATGTCGTCTCCAAGCTGAGAGGGCTTGTCGACTCGCAAGAAAGTATCTCACTGCTCTCACAATGTCTGTACCATGAGCGGCAGCGGAATATCGATGCAGCAGTCTGTGCGATTCCCCTCATGCTGACGCCCATCTCGGTCTACTCGGCCGCCGAACTCGTGATCTTGATAGGGATAATCTATCACCGAAAACGTGCAGCCGAATCAGTCGACACTTGGTTTGAGGAGCTCCGGAAGTGTGAGTAAACCATCCGATGTCCCGCCTAGCTCGGTTCGGATCCAATGCAGCATGGGCGGTGTCTCCAGTGGCCCGGCCTGGCGAGTCTGTCGTCATCGACAACACGCCTCTTACCATCCAGATTCGCCTTTTCGACGATGGGCACGGACCTGGCATGTCGCTGTTGCAATCCACCATCGAAACACACAACGATGCAACCACACAACCATGCCGATGCTAAATCAACCCTATCCATCTATTTCGATAATCGTGCGATATCCCAGGCACCAGCTCCAAAAAGCTGACCATGCTATATCTCTGCAACGATATCGTCCAAAACAGCAAGCGCAGAGGCGAGGAGTTCGTGCGGCTCTTTGGGAATGTATTGCCAGCTGCCATCTCGCACATCTACAGGTAAGGGCGATCTCGGATCCCCAATGATCTCGAGGCGGATCCTGTGCGTCTGAGTTTAGGTTCTCTGACCGCCTCCCGAAGCGACGCCGGTCTTGTTTGAGTTGATGCGCATATTTCCTGTGAGCCTCGATACAACTTTGGACGACCAGAATGAGGCTTGGAGCGCATTGCTTAGGCGATTCGCGGCGTCCAACACCATCGGCGGACTGAGCCGGGCATCTTGACGGTCAAGCTGTTATCTAAGCAACCAATATCCTCCGCCAAACTTCAAGGCATGGGACCGTTGCCATCCAAAACAAGACTCTCCGGGTTCTTGGAATCTGGGAGGAGCGCCATATCTATCCGTCTTCGTTTATACAAGAAATAAAGGCTTCTCTGGGTACATCATCATCGGCTTGGCTTTGTTATGCTTGGGTATTCGCCTGATGGAGCGCCGCTACTTTCAGTTTTGCAAGTCTGTTGTTGATCTCGTCGCGGCTTCTGATTTTTCGCAATTGTGAGCATCTGCCGTTCACGTCGCACAGCGACACCCTCGGTTTCTCTCTCGACCTTATTCATTGATTGTTTTACCTGCACTTCCCAACCCGAGAGCGGCATTATAGTGATTTTACCATCTCGGGACAGTTTGCGGTGGCTTTCGCCTGGCGGTATCTATATGGATCACTAATCTCTACTTTGACCGCTCAGGGATTGCTCAAGGGTCATCCACGCCAAGCCGAAGGGCGTTGCCAACGGCAGTCAAAGCCGATTCTGAAGAAGTATGTCCCTCATGGCTATGGATTATTGATCTGGCCTGCTTGGAAATGCCTGTGAAGAGTGTCGAATGTCGGCGAGACACTTGACCATCATTCTATCTTATCAGACCCACCCGCACACTCACTTACTCACCAACAATTCGCAGCTCAAGGATGTAGCGAATGCCCTCGCACTTGCCAAGCAGGCCGAGAAAAGAAAGGACGAAGTTCTCGCGAACACTCCGAAGGAGCTCCTGGATCCTGGAGAGGGCATCATAGTTCAAATTGACGGTATGCTTGCCTGACTGTTTCGTCTCGGCTAGACTCATATTCCCCTGGTGCCCCGATGCCGAGCAATATTGCACACGTGGCGCCTAATGTATCTCTGTATTTGGTGCGCATTCGCAATCGATGCTGCCGCGGACATGAACCGACTCGGAATATGCCTTGCCTCCGAATGGAATCGGTGGACCATGCAGACCCAACCAAGCAAACAGAGTGCCAGACGCTCTTTTCTGAGATCAACAAGCGGCTTTCTGAAGAAATTGATGCCAAGCAGCGGCTCGTGGGTTGCCTCCATTCACTCGCCAAGCACTTTGAACTCCAACTCGGTGGACTCGAGAATATGCGATCGGTATGAACAGATCCTTGCATGGACCAGGCTCGGTCTCTGCCGATGTTGCCTACTATTGGCACTGCTCAGTCCGACCGGGAGATGGAAGTTTTCGTTGTTGAGCCCGACTGATTCCCACGCTCTTGGATACACGATCTCGGATTCCTCAGGAATATCAGGGGAGAGCCGACGCGCTTCTCTCTGCAGCAGCGGGCCCCGTTCTGTTAGAAGGCTATTCTGAATCCAGCCCACCGTTCGACCAAATCCAAGCCACCATGGCTCTGTCCTCGCTGTTACAAAGCGTCAAGGAGACGACAACTGCATCCGTACCCTCGGAAATGTGGTCGACACCGCCGGCAGGCGGGCTTCTCGCTGACCCTGGAATGCCGCAAGGCTTTCTTTCGCTCTCGCATCCGGACGAACAGTCGGATATTTCGGCACTGGTCGACACAGGTGCCCTCGCCGCGCTTACCCATGTAAGAGCGCCAAGGGCGTTACAATTAACTGCATTTGAGACCGCCGCAGCCACCAGTCGAGCTCGGGCGGCTGCCGATTGCGACCCGCCCGCGGCCCATCTTCCCTTCTGACTCGCGAATATCCTTAATCCTCCAGGACGACTCTGCGGGTCTTTGTGAGTCTGAATGGATTTTTCCAAACCCAGGTCTGTGATCACAGCTACCCATATCTTGACTACTCAGGGTCCGAGGCAAGGCGAAGCAAAGCAAGGCAAATCTGAGCCAAGACCGGTGAACCCCAGATAATGCCATTCTGGGTGCTTCACCCACGGACCTTCTTCTTCTTGTACCGCTCTCTGCAGTCGTTGCAGTACCATACTCCCTTGGGCGGTTCATCGAGCCCAACGCAGTCCAGATGGAACCATTCGTTGGGACAGTCCTACGCCGTATCGGTTGGTGTCAGAGCGGGCAAGGGCAAGGGCGCTTCTACCGATTCCCGGCTGGCCAACTCTCGTCGACCAGCCAGTTCCAGTCTTTGATGCTGCCTACCTCGGCATCGCAGCCAATCATTTCTCCATAGGATACTCCTCTGCAGTAGCAATATAGTGGCTCTCCCTCGCCCTCCATTGGATGCTCGACCTCATGATCGTCGATATTGATTTGGTCCGATTCGCCGCTGTCTCTGAGTAGAACCGCGCCAAAGTATGTTAGCTGTACGGAGATGCTTCATTGCGCGCGGAGTCGTTGTCCCTGGTTTTCATACATTGGCTCCTCATCGGCCCACATTGGCTCCTCATCGGCCCACATTGGCTCCTCATCGGCCCACATTGGCTCCTCATCAGCCCCGCATCGGCCGAGCACACATACTCTCTTTTCTTTGGGGTCCTGTCTTTCCGTGGGGCACTCAGCTTGGAAACCTTCCGCTCTAGATACAATCGGTCAGAGAGGTCAGTATCCTTAGTCTGCAGCGCTGCCTATCATCTGGCAATCGCAAGACGCATACTGTTTGATGAAAGACTGGAAAGGCTTGACGACTTTTCCAAGACTCTATCCTTTCGTTGTGGCTGAGGTGGGGTCGAGAGGACCGGGGCAGCAGCTTCGGAACTGGGCTCTTGGTTCATCCGACCCATGTCTGTCGCGAGCCGGCTAATGTTTTTGTCGATCTGATCGAGACTAGGGCGATGAGTACGATGACCTAGTCCTGTATGACATTTCTCCTACACCCCGCTGGGCCAGCTAATAGAAGAGACTTGGCAACCAAGGAACCATACCATTCGCAGCACCTTGTCGATCAACTCGACCTTTTGATCCGAGATCTCGAGCGCGCTCTGATAAAGCGTTTGTATGTCTTGATATCTCCGCAGGGTACTCGAGCTGTCTCCTATAGCTGCGCGAATCCAGTCGCTGGGTTTGATTTGGCCAGCACCGGGTTGCTCGGTAGTGCTGTTCTCGATCTTGATGGGCGGCTTCCCCTCTCCAGTGCCATCGAGCTGGCCGCTATTTTGGGCCTTTCCATCTTTCCCACGATCCATTTCGGGCTGGACTGGCTTTTCGGATGCAGCTTCTTTCTCTGGAGAGGCAGTGGACTTTCCCGCCAAAGATTGGGTGGCGCTTGGCTTCTCTTTCTTGTACTCTTGTTTGATGAATCTCCGGATATCCTGATATCCCGACCGTATCTCCTGTGCGAGGCCTTGGGAAGAGGGAAAAATGACAAATACCACAAGGCAGAGGCCATGCTCGTGGATGAGTCTATCGGTCCCACTGACTTGCAGCGACGAGCTGCTCGAGCTTCCTCAAGGAGACGAATTCGAACTGCCGCGATCGCCATCGGCTTTTGGATACTGACCATGGAGCTCCTTGTCCTTGGTACCGAGCTCCACAAATGCCTCCTGAACATCGCTGGGAATGTATTCGATGCCTGAATATCGAGGTTATTGAGGATGGAACGTCAATGTCGGCTCCCAGGCCAACCAGATACTGGGCCATCTGTGTTACCAGAACCTGGAGATGGCATGGCGCTACCGGCTTTACCGACTTTGGAGGTAGTCTTCGAGATATTCCAGATAATCGGTCATTTTGCAACATCAACGCGGACGACGGCCTTTGGATGCACACTTGTGCTTGTTGGCTCCAAGATGCGACGAACAAGGAGAATGACCATCGATATTGATTGGCTTCGGCATATGGCTGGGGTTCTCGAAACGGGGCAGTCCAAACGAACGCCTGATTCATCGTCTGTCGTGCTGCAGCAGGCTTATTTCGAAACGGGGCACCTTCACACACAGATGACTTGCGTGAGTTGTGTGGGTTGTGTGGGTTGTGTGGGTTGTGTGGGTTGTGTGGGTTGTGTGGGTTGTGTGGGTTGTGTGAACCAGACGGCACCGAACTCCATGAAATCTCCTCGCCGAGGTCCTGCGGCGATATGGCTCTTTGCCCTGCATCTTCCCCCATCCCAGGTATGTCGTGCTCTGACCTGCAGTGCCTGCATCTGCAGCGGCTCGCTGGTCCCATCGTGCCCACGATTGTTGCTGTGATAGCGGGCAGTACTCTGGTTTGTTGCGAATCTACACTCTCTCATCTCGTGACTCTGAAGCATTATCGATCACAATACAGAAGCAGGACAGATGCCATAAGTGGAATGATTATATTCATGGCTCATGGTGGCGGTTAATGCTGATGCCCAGAATACTTGGACTCGAGTGTCTGCGATATCTAGCTAGTTCAGAGGCACGTTCACAAACTCAGTTGCCCGGCCAAGTCACGGACATGAAGCGAACTGGCGGGATCGCAAACTATTTATGAATTCTCGACTGCTAGAAGCTTCAGAACTGGGTATGATCATTGATTCTGTTCCCCAATCGCCACTGTCAAGATCGAGAGACTAATCGTAGCCACTGCTTTGTTTTTGATTGTATGACTGCCTCTACGATGATGCTTCGAAACGGCTCAACTGCAAAGGCTTCTCGAGTTCAGAGACAATGACTACAGGACCATAAGGATTGCGATTGACAAAAGAGCCGCAACTGCCGATGCCACCGCAGGACCGGATCTGGACGCATCAGAGGCAGACAGTCGAGCAAAGACAGCCCAGACCCGTCCGTCGAGAGGTGGACTCTGGTTCCAGCTGTACGTGGCCGTGTTGGCTGTTGTGTTCAGCATCGAGGTGCCGTTTCCGACGGTCCAATATCCACCATTTATGGAATTGTCAACTTGATAGTAGCTATAACCATCCACAGAAATGCCTCCTTTAGTGTTGTGGAAACCCCGACAGCAACCACGCCAAGTAAACATGCCGAGGATCAGATTCGACAAGCCGCACTTACGCCCAAGATACCGAAGAGGCGCTCCAGCCCTGACTTTGCAGTGCGCTCGGCGTGAAGGTATAAGCAAGTGTGACACTCGTTCCGGTTGATGTGGATGCTGCGATCAGGTATTCGACCACTGGATAGTTCCCTGAATCTCCGTATTTGACACTGGGATTGATGGTAACGTTCAGGACGGTGTTTGATGGGCAGCTGTAGGTAACAGAAAGTCCATCGGTTGCCGATTTGAACACACGCTGCCCCCAGGCGCTCAAATATTGGAGACCGCCGAATGTGAAAGGAATGGTGGTCGTCTGAGGCGACATGTATGCCAAAAGATATGTCCCGGGCTGAGGTAGCTGTGCGCTCAGGACCGGTGGAGTCGAGCTCTGGAAACTGGCTGGCGTTACATGAAAAACCTTGCCTGTGGCGGTGTCATAATGTAGGAGACTTATCACCGGCAACGAGCAATTGTTAATCCAGTCATAGCGAATCTGAGGCAATTGAATCGACCAACTCAGGATGGAGCCGGTGCTGATGCTCAACACGAAGCCGGCGTCAAAATGATCAGCGAATGGGAGGCGATAGAAGCCGGCCGGGTAGACAAACGATGGATCAAGCGTGACTGCCCCCGAGAGTGTGACATTGGCCTGGGCGCTAGTGGTGATGTTCATCATCGCTGTTTCGACATTCCATGAAGCTGGTGTGTTGGCTTGCACCATGGTCGATCCGCATGCCCACCGGTGTGGGTTTCCGCTCGCAAATAGCCCAGCCGAGGGGGTGACCAAGGCTCCACTTGAGCCAACAATAACACTGGAGCAGTAAGCCGGGGTCATAATAGGCGCAGACTGCGTTGAAGGACCTGATCCGGAGATGCTGATGGGGATGTTGACAGTCAGAGGCACGGTAGGCCCGCTGATGAAGGACGGATACGTAGCGACGAGGGTGAGGGTTGTTGTGGCAGAATTGGAATACGGATTGTATCGGATTTGGGCGTTATCAATCCAAGACTGGAGCATTGTCCCGTCAAGCGGAGGAGACAACCACAGCATCGTAGATACACCCCGTGTGGGGATGAATAGGTGCATATGTAAAACAATCCAAAGATCATTAGATGCCATTTTTGGCAGGACATAGCGATGCTCAACGATAATGTGAATGGCAGGGCATGGAGAGTCGACGATTGGCCAGCAACGAATCGATTCGAAAAACACATGTACGAGAAAGCGTCAGCGGTCCAGCGATGCTTTAAGGCACAACATAGCACACACCTGGTTCAAGAGGATTGGTCCCGATCCGATCGAGGTCCACACGCCGGGGCTTCCGCATTGGCTATCAGGGCAAAACCATTCCAGAGCTCCGTTCGAATAAGCGCCATTCGATGGAAGGAGGGACACAGCGTTGCTCACGTTCCAGATAACATTCCAAGGATCTAGACCGTGCGCCTCAGTCAACGTCATCACGGTAGGGCCGATCACTACCGGCGTCAAGGGGGCTGTGGTGAGAGACAGGGATGACTGTGGTGCGATAATTGGCGTATACTTGAAGGTCACCGCAATGGTGAAAGTGCCGCTCACAGTTCTGGAAAGTGAATCCGTAGCAGTGAACTGAAACGAAGCTGTGGCTGAAGACCCGATGGTTGTCAGCAGGGTTGGCGCAAAAGTGATCAATCCCGCGTCGATGTCGGACTGGTAAAACGACGATGTGGCTGTGCCAGACTTCAGAATCGTGCCTCCAACGACAGTCGAAGGGATATACAGTAATGTCGCTGACTGCACATTTCCCAAGGTTTGAAGCTTGTCGTGAGTTATGGCCACGCTGAGGTAGTCGTCAGTCGCCAGTGCCACATTTCTATTGATGTACAAACGCGTGACGTCGGGAACGGCTATGATGCTGAACTGCGCCGTTGCTTGATTTCCTGAAGGCGTCACGCACCGAAGCGACATGGTGTAGTTTCCTGGAGCGACGTTGGCGCCGATTTGGACCGCAGTCGAGTTGATAACCGTAATGAGCCCCCCGGCGCTGCTCTGAGCCGAAAGAGCGCATGTGGATGGATATGTATAGCATGGTGAAGTTGCGGTGTAGCCGACAGTCAGAATCTGGCTGGTTGAGGCAATGCTGACTCCGAGAACGGCGGAGCTGAGAGTGATTGTTGGAGGGTTTCCATCAACAAAGGATAACGAGGCGTTGCAAACTGTTGCTTTGCCTGTTGGTTGGTGCATCCGACAGGTCAAAGTTGGTTAGCGACGACCACTTGCAGTGGCTATGCCGATAACATGGGTTGATATGGCAGGGGGGGGGCGTCGTCTCCAATACACTGTCGATATACTATCGAGGATCCCACCGATGGTCTGACTCTCAGGACGCCGAGCAACCAGAATATCGAGTCGCAAGGATATCCGATAGCTCGAGGCGGTGATTAAATTCACTTACGTTTGCCCTGAACAGTAACGCTGACAACTTGCGGGATGTTGATTCTTCCTACGAGAGAAAGCACAGTTCCGGTACCGGGGCTTTGTGAGAGCGAGTCCGTCCCGGGCCACCAAAACGCCGACGGATAGTCTGTAAACGTGGTTGTGGACGTGAGGGCCGGAACAAGAGCAGAGCAGGTTTGATCCACAGCGACGGGAGCGACCGATCCACAGGTGGTTATGGCAGGTGGAGCCAGTGCCGTGGAGTTGATCGCATAGAGAGTGGTCGTAGAGGCTACGGATGTGCCGCCCGCGGTACAGTTGATTACCAAGGTATAGTTCTGGGTAGTGATGTTGGTCAGTGGCTGGATGGAGGTCGAACTAAGGAGCTGTACACCGGTTGTGGGTGAGACTCCGAGCGTACAAGCGACGCTATTGCCGCCACAAGAGTCGGATGGGTTGTATGGGACAGTCAACGAGGAATATGGAGCGGCGCCGACCCCGGTATCCACCACCAGCAGCTGCGATGTGTTCACCCAGACAATGGGTGAGGGAATGCATGCTGGGGACGGCGATGGCGAAGGAGACAAAGAGGCTGATGGGGTCGAAGTGGTTGAGTTTTGACTTGCGACTTGTGCAGCGAAAACCAAGACTGTGGAGGTGGAGGCTATCAGAGCTCGCGGCAGGAAGTAAGGTGATGGCGCACGATCTCTCAACATGACCAGAGAACCCGGGCCATGCATGCAGTCGAGGCAAACTCTGACCCACATCTACACCCGATCCAGCGCGCACATCAAAGCCCCAAGCAGGGCTCCGGACCGATGGTGTATTTCGTATTCTTTCGCAGACGAGTTCTCCCCATCAGCTTGACCATTATGCGCCCGGCTGGTACTCATGTGCGGTACTTACGCAGCAGTCCGAGCGCTCGGGCGGCAAATGCCAGGCGCTGCATGTTAGGCACAGGTGTCTCAGAAGAAAATGCGGCTCGGGTCCACTGATGCAACGGGATGCAAAATCACTCGAAGAAGATGGCTCGTCCTCGCCCAGACTTTGTTTTGTGTCTTATGTGACCAGGTTGGTCGCGGATGATGCAGGTCGCTGCAAGGCATCGATAGGTCATCGGGACGCCAGGTCATCGAATCACGAGCACAGTATGATCAGTCCAGTTGATTGGCAGAAGCACGACTGCTGTGTTTCGAGTTGCCTCCGACACTCGTGTCCACACTCGCCAATTGAGGTGCAAAACTCGAGCGCGGAGCGCTTGCATATCGGATGGGTCGTGGATAGTAGCGAACGCAATTGTATTGATATAAATTGAGAGTCCTGAGGAGATCGATCAGCGATATGCGGGTGGGCGAGCCACCGTTCTTGAAGGAACGTGCTCAGTCGTCCTACAGCGATGAACTCCTTCAGCATCGAAAGCGACTCGAAGCACACATGTGTTCGATTGCATTATCCATCTGACTCAACATACCCATTCGGCATCGTCGACACCCTCCATCTTGTCTTGCTGCAGGACTTCATTCTCATCGTCATCGATGGCATTGGCTCTCATTTGAGACAGCAGCTGCGATTTCTTCTCATCCTCGGTGAGCTCTTTGGGCTTGGGTCCGCGTCGGATTGGTACAGAAGGCTGCACCGCAACTGCCTGAGAGACTGGTAGTCCTCACTGGTTATTTGTCTACGGTCCCAAAACTCGCGAGTCGCACTGCGCGAGGCGCCGAGAGCGATGCAGGCATTTGCATCCGAAATGGAGCTGCACATGAATCTTACTAGGTGTCATGTGGTTCGGGCGGAGGTCGAGATACTTGGCTTCCTTTTTCTGGCCTCCAATCCACTCCAGAGCTGTCAGGAGGGGCTCCCAAGTTACCCGGGTTGGAGTGAAGATGTCATCTTGAAAGTACTCTTTCTGAAAGTGACAAGGAGCAGCATCAGCACCGGACAGCCCGCAACAGCCCGGGACTACAGTAGAGCCCTCAGGCGCAACATACCTTGAGGCGCGGTACAGTAAAGGAGATGGACTCGACCCCACTTGAAGTTAGTCGCCATCCGACAGCAATCTCGATCTCAGCCACGTTGCACTGGCGTTTGCTAAGGAAACCAAGACCCTGCTGGACCGCGCTGCCGTCAAAGCGCGCAATCACTTGGACAGAATCTTGGTCCTTGGAGACCTCGCAGATTTGAATGAAGCTTTCGCCCTAGCAAACACGACCATGGGTTTAGTGTCAGTAACTCTGTCAATCACATTCGGGGCTAAAAGTCGATGCAAATGCGTGTCTGTACCCGGCCAACGAGGTAGAGGAGCGAAGTATCTTCATCAAAGTGAGGAATCAGTAATGACGGCGAGATATCCAGCTCGAGGGTATAGATCGGCCCACTGAGTCTGTCGACGTCGTAGATTCGGACTTCTCTGGTGCTTGTCCTGATACCGACCGAATCAGAGAGGTGTTATTTCAGTGGCTCTGCGTTCCTCACTGGGCGGAAAGAGAACATTGACCTACCTGCCATATCCCACAGTCACAAACCGAGTGTTGCCTGCGAGCCATGCCAAGCGACACCCCTTCGTTCCGTCGTGCGAGGGACCCTCCTGTGATCAAACGTGCATGTTGAGCCAACAGAAAGCAATCCATGGAGCGGTCGATGGCGAGAGAGGCAGCGATGTTCAGCAGCGCGCGCACCTTGATGAGGGCTCCGGTCAAGGCGTCGTAGATTCGAATGATTTTATCACGACAGGCGGCCACAATCCTGTCACCTTCGAGGCTAAAAACAACACCAAGCGGCTGAATTTGACAAGACGCCCGTGTGGTGGTCAGCTCAAGATATATCCATGATTGCCGCGACTAAGTCCTCAGGAACACACTGTGATAATGTCGGCGGGCATGCAAACAAACACAGTCAAAGAAGGCCTACCAGATCTGGAAGAGGTATCTGGGTGGTTGCCTGAAGGGTCTGCATGTTCCATATCTTGATTTTTGGGCCATCCTGCTCAATTGATGCCTTACGATGCGAAAGTGACTGAGGTTGTTAGCCAGAGTGCCATGTGATTGGATCCACAGGGATACCGGAGCACCAACAAGGACGCTTGGGAGTTGTACGAACCGACAGAAGCACATCTTTGACGATTGGATGGAACAAAAGGGCAAGAACTCTATTGCCGTGGGCTGTGGCATCAACGAAACCGGCAGTGAGTTCACTTGTTTTAAATGGTTCTGATACACTCTATGGCATACAGAGAAGTGGCCATGCTAGCCAGGAAGGTGCGATTGCTTCCGTCAAAAGACCTACCAGAGAGCACCTGAGTAGGTTCAAGGCTATCGTCGCTCAAGCCTTTCTCCGGGATCTACGCAGCGAACAGAGCCGTTACTATCTTCCCCGGATATTCGGCTGCCTCGGGCATCTCGAATAATGAGCCACTCGACTCAAGACCATCGACGCACCTGCCAAATCCGAATCTTGCCATCGTCGCTGCCTGACACATATGGGGCAGTGACGGCGAGTGAATCAGAGGGGAAACGCATCTAAAAACGCCCGTCCAGTAGCGTTGTCTGGGTTGCTTCAAGCTCAGAGCGCATGGGTGCAGCAACTGACACTGCTTGTTGGCCCACGCAGTCCGTGTCGCAATACTCCGCACGTTTCTGCAATCCACATGTATCTCTCACCAGCAACCAGTTTGTGGCCATCAAAGGGGTCAAACTTGAAGCTCGTAACGTCCGAGCCTGACAGAAAATGCCAAATCAAGATGGCGTAAGATGCACTGATAGTCTATGGAGGCACGGGTCGTTGAATTGATGCTCACGGGCTGCATCGTACCAGAGAGTACCGCGGGGATTTTGGGGTCGAACCTCTTGGGCTGATCGGCCCTGATGACGGCAATCCGACCACCAGGACCAGTGATTGGGAAGGCAATCAATTTGTCGCTAACCTAGGTATGCACGATAAACGAGGGATTGTAGTGTTTGGTTGAATACGCCAGGTCCGGAAAGCCCTCTACGTCGAAAATGCCGCGCATAACGCACTCGGGACACATTAAATATTGACATCCGCACCATTATTGTATCTGCCCGTGCGACCAGGGTCACAGCCTCGACTGAGTCGTCGTCCATACCTCTAAAAAGTTACTTTCAATCGGCAGGCTGACGTTGAGCTGTCGAAGATCGGTAAACTTGGGTACGGCCTTGCCCGTCACGAATCTGTAATTGGAGTGCTTTGCGATAATCGGCTTGACCTCGTGCACCGCCTCAGCGGCGACTGTGCTGCTCGCGACCAAGGGAACGCGGGCCGGGCTTGCACCAGAATCCACGACAGTGATGATGCGTGGCGCCAGACTTCCGTTCAAGGAGGCTGACTGGACGGGAACTGTCTTTATAGGAGCGGGTGTGGGGTCCACTTGAGCCCCAGAAGTAAGGCCAAGTGAACCGGTAGCGGTGGTCAATGCACCTATGCTAGCTGATGTAGAGGGGGTGGTCGGATAGGTTCTCTTCTTGGGGTCGAGAGAAATGAGTCTAGCGGGTCGATCTTCTTTGGACATCCAACTGTCGATGGTGTGCACGGGCTCGGGTGCACGAGTATCTGGGAAGATGTCTGTTCAAGCAGGGATGCAGTATCAGCTGACGCCATAGCCGTTCAAACCTGTGCTGGTGACGGTGCGGGCGACACCGATCAGGCCACTGACCACTGTGAAAGTCCAAGTTGGTCTGTAAACAAGGTTGAATTGTCATCTTGGTCAGCACGCAAAAACTGCCGTTGCTGTGATGTGCGCCCAGATGCATACCTTTCGTGGAACTGTGCAGGAAACTGGCACAATGGTTGTTCCGTCGCTTCCAAGGAGCAAAAGTCGAGCGATCTCGCAGGCCATAACATTGGTTGAGTACTTTGGAATCATGCAGCCGCCACTGAGGACCTCTTTACCAGAGTATCCCAACAGCCCCGCAGTCACATATGGATCTTCGGCCTTGAGTTCGACCCATTTAACTGTGGTGTCGCCCTAATGGAAATAACGGGAGACCGCATCTGCGGTGAGCAATGTGTGCAGGCACGGCAAGGAATCGCCGTGTACCATACCTTCCCAGCAAGGAATACTATGCTGGTATCCGGATCGTAGAGTGGGGTGACAATTCCGGGTGAGGTATCCAGACGATTTAAAACCAAAGGCTTGGATGCATTTCGAGTGTCCCAGAGGGCGTATTCTTGACGACCGAGACACCGTGTTAGTCTGACTTGGCGACATGCGGGCAGAACCATCCTCGTCGTCCCTCATCCTGGGCGAGCCCAAAGGCGCCCATGTACCTCTATCTCGCTTCTTGTTGAATCCGGTTGAGAAGAGAGTTGTCGTGCCGTCAACCCAGACAAGTCTGGATGGCTTAATTCCGTCATGAATCAGCCCCTTCTGATTGTTTGTAGTTACCGTATGGGATAGAGGCGTAAGCGATTCCGTGGGAAAGGCGCATTCAGCACGATTATGGATACTCCCCCGGTGCGCATGGAACTTTGGGCAGGGTATCTTTCCGACACAGCATCTCATTCATGCGAGCAGCGTGTGTGGGTACACGAGTGCCATGTACTCACCGAGACAGCTGAAGTGCTGCCACGCGGATCGTAAATGCGCATCGAGTTGTCCTTGGTTGCAGCGGCCAACAAACTTCCATCGAGACTCCTGTTCGGGCGATTACACCAAGGTATTAGAACAAGTGATTCGGGGCGGATACAGCGGAATATCCAGGGTTTCTAACTATGAACATCCTGCTGCCAGTGATGTCCCGCAGCCAGTGTCGGGGCGCAAAATTGGGTGCACCGACCATGCAAAGTGCTGGACAGGCGACTCGTCCGCTGGCAGCTGAAACAGCTGCGTGGATTGGTGGATGTTCCAGACTTGGATCTGACTACCAGTTGAAAGCGAGAGGATGCCATCGGCAGTGGGATGGAATAGGACAGACTCGACTCTTTTTCCACCCGAGCCAGAGTTGAGTGTCGATAGATTGGTGAAGGCGTCGGCGCCGCTGGTGGACCACAGCTTCACCTGGGTGATGGGATGCGCGCCGTTGCAAAGAGTCAGCCGCCGCAAAATGGTGTACCCACCCACCACTGCCGACAATCATCGAGTAGGTCGCAGCAGCGGGAGAGCACCCACCAATCCATCGTCTCCGGCGCTGGCAAGAGTTTGGGCCGGTCCGAAATCAATATCGGATACCAGGCAGCCGTGGTTGAGCGAAACCACATCGTCGGGGTGCAGTTTGCCGGTCTTGTTCAGGTTCACCAGGTTGACGAGGGAACCGCTTCCAGATCGAAATGCAATATGATGGCCATTGGACTTGACGGGGTTATGCTCTCCAGAGGTGCTCGCCGAGGCCGGAGGCAAGGCATACCATTCCTTGTGACAACAAGCCAGAGAGGAGGATATGCTAAGTTTTGTGCTGCACTGCTGGGCCTCACGGCGAAGGAGCCCAGGTCTGTCTGGCGTGTGGTCGCAGTACCTCTCGTCGGGCGGCCGTGAGGACCGAGTTGCGGTACTTGGAAAAGTGCTGGAAGCGCTTGCTCATTTCCGGGGTGATGGAGAGGGGGCACGGTGCTGCTCGGCCAGAGGCTGAATCGGGCGACGAGGCGGAAGCGCAAGGCCGCTGCTGTCACGTGTGGACGCATCCGTCACGTGGGTTGCAGATCAGAATCCCGTGGGAAACGAGTGGGGACACTCGCTTCTGGGCTCAGACGATGGCTGCTCTCCGGATACTGAAGACGCACGACCATGACCAAGCAGCGTGTGAAAGGGGACTGATATTGCTGCTTCATATTTGAATGCCTCGTGGAGGCAAGCGAAGGGAGGGAACATCCAACTAGCGAATTGGACGGAGGATGCCTGTCCCATGTTTCTGCGGCTGCTTTGGCCTTGTAAGACTAGCAGCCCGTGGTCTGTTCAATTCTCTTTAGCGACTCTACAGCCATGATCTCGCATTCGCGGAATTCGAGTTCTTTGCCATAGTCTCGGGCACGGGTGAACCATTTCGTGGCCAAAGCATAATCCTTCTTCATCTAGATATCAAAGTAATACGGGAGGGGGATCAACTTGGCGCTCATAGCCGCTTGGAGGCTTGATGGAGCGAGAGGATCCATGGCCGCAGGGGCGGTGACCTACCTCATGGATCATTCCGAGATTGTACAAGCCCGTGGCAAAGCATTCGCGACAGTTGCCTTGATCAGCTAACGGCTTCGACAGCTTGATGGACTGCTCGACCCATTTGAGCGCATCGCCCCAATGCTTGGAGCCCATGGCTACGCGGCAGTCGGCAATATTGTTGGCGATGACTGCAAGTTGACACGAACGTTCCTCGGGAACAAGCGAATCCCCGTCGTCCTCGTTCAGGATCTGGGCCGCTTTGAGGTAGAGGGATATGGCAAGTTCATGTTTGGCCTGACCGGCGTAAACCCCGGCCAGCTGGTTCAGTGACTGGCCAAGGTCTCGCAGAGTAGCCCAAGGGGCGACTTGAACAGAGCGCATCGGGTTTGGCGGTGGGCGTTGCGGGGGAAGGTTTGACGGCTCTCCTTCAAGGACTTGGCTGTTCTTGAGCCGCGGTGGGTTCTCGGGAAGGCCGATGAGCATTTTGACGGCCCACTTGGAGGAAGCAGAGGTGAGAGGTCAGAGGCCAAAGGTCAGAGATCAAACGTGCCGCATCGTACTTGGCACGATCGATATCAGATGGGGGGGGGATTGCGGGCGCCGTTTCGGTGTGATTCGTTGCGGCTGCCTGGGCTTTCATCTTCGCCAACACAGCCCAACAAGCCTAGCATCATGAAAACAGCCATGCATATTGCGATCGATGACCTCCAACACATCGGCTCGCTGCCACTGCCGAGACATGGCCAATTGCAACTCATACCTCGAGATACATCGCCGATCCACTCAAGTTTCCGCCTTCTTCGAGAGCCGATGCGATCTTGAGGGCGATTCGAATGGCACCCATCATCTTGGTTCCTTCAGCCTCAGCGCTGATGGTGCCGTTACTGAAGCTTTGCTCAAAAACTTGCGAATATGTGAAAGCAGCCTCGGCTGGGCGGTTGACCTTTTGATAGAGCTCTCCGAGGCGAATAACGATGCCGGACACCTCGGGAGAGTCAATGGCAAACCCCTCTGTCGTGAAGCGAGGAAGCAGGCATCAGCGATGCTATGTCCAATTCAAACTCCATGGTTGAGAGAGTCTCGTTGTGGCCAAAGCGGGAGGGGCCGCCCATCGCTGGTGCATGTCGATCAATGAACAAAATCAAGAAAGAACGCCGATAGCAGGCAAGGATGTCCACTCGTTCATAGTGCGAGCGCGACGCACAAGATCCCAGACCCGACTCTGGTTGAAGCTCACCTTTGATGCATTCATCCAGGGCACGCAAATACTCGACTTCTGCATCGTGGGGGTTGCCGTATGAGTGAGAGTAGAGGGCCTTGCGCAGGTGGATCCGAACCTGAATGTCGCTGCCGTCAGTTGTTATGCAACCAAAGAGCGATCAAGCGGCCGATTCAGGATTTGGCGGCAGCTCAGGCACGCAGTGATCGGCACACATGGCTCGTAGATAGCTTACACTTCGTGGATATGGATTGCCAAGGCTCCAATACCAGCCGAGGCCCAAGAAAACGGAAAGCGATGCCAGCCCGAGGCCCCACTTGAGGCCATCGGCAAGCATCCGGCGAACTGTTCCAAAGTTATCGGCGTGGATGCTCTCCGACGACCGATGGATACGGCGCCACTGCTGCTGGCCCGCTATAAACTGGGCGATGGCCCTAGAAGGCGGCGGTCCATGTACGAGGACATACCGCCAGTGTCCACCCCAGAGAGTACGGAGAGGGTGGCCCGGGAGCGCTTGAAGAGCTGGTCTCATGTGGGAGGGTCAGATCAGAGTCAAGACGCGCGCCGAAGCACCAGACCGAGATGCGACCGACATCGGGCTGGGATCTCGGAGCACGGCACTGCAGATTCGGATCTTGAGTCAGCCACAGCGACAACGGAGCAAGGATACTCTCATCGGTGCCGAGGGCCGCAGCTCGTCTCCGAGGGAGCGAGCACATGGCTCTGGCCACATATGTCTCGGCATGGGCTGCTATCGCCCAAGCCTCGCCTCGGGCGGTGCGTGGATGAACATGTGTATATTCGTGATCCAGAAAAACGCCACCAACGTCCCCAAAAACAGATGGCTCTGTTTCATTTTTTGCGACCGCTGTGAATAGACAGTACATATCTACAAAATTATCATCGCGTCGGCAGTCAAACGTGGTCGGGGCTCGCATCGCTTGGATGATGGAGACCAGGCGCGGCTGTTGCTGTCTGTTGCCGATCGGTACCGCGAGCATACGCATGCATACTTAGTTGGCAGCAACCTCGGGGGCAGCTTCGGTTGCTTTGGGGTTGGCGCGCTTATCGGCGAGCTCAGCTTCGCGCTTCTCAATGTTGGAAGCCAAAAGCGAGGCACGGAAGGCCAGGGGGCGGGTCCGCTCGATGACCTGCTGGTAGATGGACGAGTTATGGGTTCCCATAACAACGGTGTTCTGAAGCATATAGAAGGGCGGGCCGGAGACAAAGACAAAGGCATTAGCGCCGGCAAAATCCAACACTGCTAACGAGCGGCGGTCGATTCGAGACTGGGTTGCAAACAGCCCCAGACATGGACACAGCATCGTCGATTGGACGAGTCGCTCACCATCTTGGAGTCGATCTTGGCATCCATGCGAGCGTTTCGGATCAAGTTGACGATCCACTTCTCGCCCTCGTCCTCGCCCATGTTGAGCTTCTGGCTCAGACCCTTGATGTCAATTCGCTGGTGGATGCGGCAATAGGTCTCAAAGATGAAGAGGCGGGCGTTCTCGATAAAGTCCTCGCGGGTGGCGACAAGGAAAAAGTCGTTGTCCAGGACGTCGTCACAGGCCTTGAGTTTCTGCTGGGCTCCGTCAAAGTCAAAGTTGACGTACAGACACTCGATAAACTCGGTGATGGGGTCCCGGTAGATGTGAGACTCTTGCTGAATGATCTTGACAAGGTCCTTGAGGTAGCTTCGGCGCTTCTTGTTCGTCACCACGGCCGTAGCGAGATATCGGAGGATCCAGGGACACGAGGTCTGGATGGTGTTGATGTACTGGGGCAGGAAGAACAGGTCGATGATGGCGTCGCGGCCTTTGGGGTGGTTGAAGAACACAAACAGAGACCAATGGATGAGCCAGGATCGGTGCTGAAGCTGGACGACATCGGCAACATTGGACTGCTCCACGGCTTCCTTGAGCTTCTGAAGGTCATCCAGGGCAGTCTCCCAGTTCTGGGTCAGAATCTCCGAGGCGAGCTTGCCCCAAAGAGCGCTGAGGTTGAGCTCGGGGTCCGTCGACTGTAACCACATGGCGATCGGGACACGAGGCACACAGGTCAGTGATGTACTTGTGTGCACGGACCTGTATCTCGCTCGCAACTCGATGACGACAGTCGCCGAGCGAGTGCCGGCAAAGAAATAGGCATTGACGAATGCGCCGCTCGGTGCCGCGGCGAGATGCGCCTCGGAGTAGAGCACGGCCTTACCAAGATTCGGAAATGGTACAGCATCTCGGCGGTGCCGCTATAGTTTCCGACGGCAAACTGGAACATGGCGAATCTGTACAGCACAGTAAGCATCTCTGGCTTGAACTGGAATGAGAGGAAGACCGAGTGAGGCACATTAGTGCGAGGCGCTTGGACGCTGATTTTCTGGACTCAACGAGAAGCTGCAACGATCTCCGCATCCAAATCATCGGACTCCAGGGCAACCGATCCCAGCGACCGAGACTGACATTGAAGTTCTCCTTCAGGAACTGCACGTTCGCCAGCTTGTCTTGCTTCAGCTGCTGAATAACGGTGGGATCCTGGAGGATCGTCATGATCTCGTCGCTTTCATCTTGCAGGTTCTCGAGCTGCTGGAGAACCTGGTCACGCTTTTCGTCGTAATCTGCAAGCGGCGCAGCAGACATGATTAGGGCTTGCGTCTCGATCGGGGAGACGGATTCACATGTGCTTCATCCGCACAAGCAGCCCGGAATCGATCCAAGGCAGGCAGGCAGTGTGGTGGCATCGAACACGCAGTTGAATCGATACCAACCCGGGGCGTTATCTTCGGTCTCGTGCAGCGACTGGTAAATGCTGTTGGCAAAATCAATCATGTTGGTTTTGCTCAACAGATCGTACTTGGCCTCCAGTAGGTCCTTTTCGTCATAGAGCTGGTCGACGTTGGAGGTTGCCACAGGAGAAGGACGATGGGCGGGATAAGAGGGTGAGACAGCCGATCTCGGTCACGGTGCGCCGAATTACGATCAGCAAATCCAAGCACGGCGGGGTACGTTGCTGGGGAGAAGGTGCAGTCGCTATCAAAGGGTGCTGTTGCAGCCTCTTCGCTGAAAATCGGACCAAAGACCTACGTTTTTGTGGGTGATGAACTCCAGCAAAGGGATGACCATGTGTCGATCCAAGTACTGTCCGATCTTGGAGGTAAGGTCGAATTCAGCCATGCTTGCGGGTTGGGAGTGCGGGGTAGTTGGGTTCACGTCGGTGGGCAATTGCGGATGCAAGTCAGGGAGCCGGACGGGGGGGGTGTCGCTGGTTGTGCTGGCTGGTTTACGGGACCGTTCTGACACACGACGGCGAGACGACAACGAGCAATCGAGTCGGAAGCGAAGGAGGGAGGAGACGAGGTGCGGGACGAGCCGATGGCAGAGACCGAGGCTCGCGCGGGTCTGGTTGGTGGACACGCCGCGCCCTGTGAAAAAAAAGATGGTTCGATCCGTGCGCCGCTGGCTGGGATTGGGCTGGTCGCACAGAGCTCTCGCGAGAATGAATTTCATCTGTGTGTGTGTGTGGCTCGAATGGCACGTGGCTGGAGCCAGCCTCACGTGGACCGGACGAAGGCTCCGTGGCGGTGGAGGCAGTGCTGCCTCTCGCCGTGTCTGCCCGTCCCTCTCGGCGCCTCTCGCTCCTCGGCGTCTCTCGCCGAGCCAGCAGCCTGGTCACGTGTGTCGCTGCATTTGGTTGGTGACTGTCTTTATTGGGTCTTTGCGAATCCTCTTGCTTTCCCTCCTTCTCTTTTGCACACATAGCATCGGTGAGTAGCGGCATGGCAAGGCGACCGACGACGACGGCGTCATGCATCCATGCATCCATCCGTGCATCCGTCCATCCATCCATCCATCCATCCATCTATCCGTGCGCCCGGGCATCTATCGGGCGATCCACTCCGCGACGCCCAGAGCCAATGTTCGGCAGCGATATCGGCCAACCACAATTGAGCAATTCGGCTCTGCAGCCGGAGATTCGATCATCAAGCACTGAACTCGATATTGCGTGGACTTTGACTTTTCCAATTATGGATATCGTTGATGTACCCGGTCAGCCTAGAGCTGCGATCGACAGGACGCCGCCATGCTGTCAGCGCTCATGGGGGATGCCTTGAGGCTGGCCGGCTGATCCGGCCCAGCACACCACCACGGAGTCGCGGACCTCTGGTGGATCGTTTTGCGGATATGACGATGCTGACCAGCCGACAGGAGCAACTCTCAGCCATTTACTGTCACCCTGATTCAGCCAGCGTTCGCATGACGCGTCGGAATCGACCGCGAATCGGATGCGGCGGGCAGCTTGGCAATCGACTTGCGGGCACAACCATCCCGGCGACCTAGGTCTCAGCCATGGACCTGCTCCTGTCCACGCCTCAAGATCAGCGACGGTGGTGCAGATGGATGGATCGGATGGCGGCTTGCAGAGTCTGCAACTGAAGCGATCGCGTGCAAACTCGACGGCGCCACTAATCATCTGGATCACTCCGGTCGTTCTTGCGGCAACAGTGGAAAACGTCAGCAATGGCCCACGCTCCCAACGTTCAGCTCATTCCTGGAGTCTCCAAGCTCTCTAGATCTCAGGTCTACGCCAAGAAGGCCCTCTACAAGAAGAAGAAGGTCGTCATTGCTGCCAAGACCGAGGCTAAGGCTGCCACCAAGACCGTCACCGTTGGCGGCGCCAAGAACGGCCAGACCCGTGTCGTCCCTGTCGAGAAGGCCTCCCGCTTCTACGCCGCCGAGGATGCCCCCCAGCCCAAGGTCTCCCGCAAGACCGTCAAGACTGGTGCCCTCCGCCAGAGCATCACCCCCGGCACTGTCCTGATCGTCCTGTCGGGCCGCTTCCGTGGTAAGCGCGTTGTCTTCCTCAAGAGACTCGACTCTGGCCTCCTCCTCGTCACCGGCCCCCACAAGGCCAACGGCGTCCCCCTCCGCCGCGTCAACCAGGCCTACGTCATTGGCACCTCCACCAAGGTCGATGTCAGCAAGGTCAACGTTGACAAGTTCGACGACGCCTACTTCAAGAAGCCCAAGGCTGCCAAGGCCAAGGCCACCGAGGAGGCTCTCTTCAACGCTGCTGAGGTGCGTAGATAAGAGCGCATCGAATCTGTGGCTGAAAGGAGGACGTTTGCTGGGCAGTGGCTGCGGGAAATGCGAGCTCCTCCCGAGTCTGGCCGCTCTGCGTCTTTTGAGGCTGGGCGATGACGTTCTTGGAGCCGCCGATTTGCACGGTCGCCGATGGCTATGGCTATGGGTCGAATCACAATGGTGTCTCGGCTTCTTTGCCAGCACATAGCACATAGCACATAGCACATAGCACATGGCGCATGGCGCATAGCACAGGGCTCTAACCTTCCGATCTCTTCCAGCGCAAGCCCGTCGATGCCCACCGCATTGCTGACCAGAAGGAGGTTGACGCTGCCGTCAGCGCCGCCATCAAGAAGGTTCCCGCTCTCAGGGGCTACCTCAGATCGTCCTTTGCTCTGTCCAAGGGTCAATTCCCCCACTTGCTGAAGTTCTAGATGCTTTGGATGCATAGGTGGAAATAAAATTTGAACGTGGAACCATGGGACATGGAATGCTGTGCTCATTCTCCCCATCCCGATGCCAAGCCATGTGGTCCCTGTCGCCGTCTGGGCGGGAGAGAGATGCTTGCACAGTCTCCGGACACGGCGGTGACGCTATTGCATGGTGCTGAAACGTCATGGTCTTGTTCAGACAGATCCCCGACCAGCAACGACTAAGCAGCGTCGAAGCGCCTCCCTGGGTGTTCGTTCCGAGACCTCAGCCGAGTCCGTCGCAACAGAGCGAGCATCGATCGGTGTCGTTCGGCTATCGATCGACGCCATTTCAATCCACGGAGCGCCGGATGAGCGGCCATGAGCAGTCCGACACCCGTCAGTGTCCGAAAGCGGCCGTTCGCCCTGCTGGCAGCCCGGGCTCTGTCCTTTTGCTGCGGTTGATCCAACCAGTCCGATGAGACAGATCCAGCGGCCTCCAACCGCCTCGGGTTGCTGTGCGCAGACGCGCGATCCCATTGGCCGCCGATAGCGCCGCCCAATCGCACGCGTATGTGTGTGTGCTCTCGCCGCCGCCTCGCCCTCGGTCTCTTCTCGCCCGCGTTCTCGGCGTCTCTGTCGCTCCTGGCTCTTGTCTCGCCCCTGTCTCTCGTCTTCTCCGCTCCTCTCGTCCGTCGATGCCGTCCCAGGTTATAAAGCCCGTCTTCCAGCGCACCTCGCGATCTGCGCTTCCTTCGTCCAGGCCCACCCAAGCAGCGGCCCTTCCCGACCTCTTGTCTTGGCATCCCCAAGTCTGCACCATGTCGTACGTTCGTGCCGCCAGCCGCTCCTTGGCCTATGGCCGTCTCCCGATCCCTCGGTCGTCCGCGGCCCTCCGCCCTGCTCGCTTGGCCGCTGCTGTCACCGCCCTGCCTGCAGCCTCGCTCTCAGCGCAGCGACATTACGGCAATGTCGGCCCTGTCCAGTACGGCCGCTACCACGACCCTTCCGAAAAGGAAACCATCATCAAGCTTCTGTACAACATCGGCTCCCGCAAGGAAGTCGAGCAGTACCTCCGCCACTTTTCCTCGGTCGAGTCCCACCAGTTTGCTGTCATCAAAGTCGGTGGCGCCATCCTCACGGAGGAACTCGATACCCTGGCGTCCTCCCTGACCTTCCTCAACCGCGTGGGTCTCTATCCCATCGTCGTCCACGGCGCTGGCCCACAACTCAACGGCCTCCTGGAGAAGGCCGGCGTCGAGCCGCAGTACAATGAGGGTATCCGCATCACCGACGAGAAGACGCTCGAGATCGCCCGCCAGGTCTTCCAGAACGAGAACCTCAAGCTTGTCGAGGCCCTGGAGAAGCTTGGCACCCGCGCCCGCCCCATCAACGGCGGTGTCTTCACCGCAGAGTACCTCGACAAAGATCTCTACGGCTTTGTCGGCAAGATCACCGGTGTCAACAAGGAGCCCATCGAGTCTTCGATCCAAGCTGGTGCCCTGCCCATCTTGACCTCCTTGGCCTCGACTCCATACGGCCAGATCCTCAATGTCAATGCCGATGTCGCTGCCGGTGAGCTTGCGCGTGTCCTGGAGCCTCTCAAGATCGTTTATCTCAACGAAAAGGGTGGTATGATCAACGGTAGCACCGGAGAGAAGATCGATGTCATCAACTTGGACGAGGTACGGACCAAGCCCCAACCATGCGGCATGCCCTGCTCCGAGAGATTGTATATCTTCGCTTCGCGCACCAGTGTCTCGGACATCAGTGCCTCGTGTCCTCTGCCCTGAACACATGTCTGTCCAGGCATAGCTGTCGCTCTGCGTCTGGCGGGGCCAATGTCGTACTATCGACGAACGAAACTGTTGAGGCTACTCTGTCGGTCTCGGGCCGTAACGCTTGTGCACAAGCCAATACTGATCCCGCCGTTGGTCGTTGGTCCGCTCTCTAGGAGTACGAGGGCCTTTTGAAGGAGCCCTGGGTCAAATACGGAACAAAGCTCAAGCTCAAGGAGATCCGCGAGCTTCTCATGCATCTGCCTCGCTCGTCGTCCGTGTCCATCATTTCGGCCGAGTATCTCCAGAAGGAATTGTTCACGCACAGCGGCGCCGGTACCCTCATCCGCCGTGGAAACAAGATCTACAAGGGCGAAGATGTCTCCAAGATCGACACGGACAAGCTCCGGGCTCTGCTCGAATCCAGCGACCACGACGTCCAGAACCGCGCCACAACCGTCTCGAGCTACATCCAGACCCTGCAAGACAGTGGCGCCCACGCCGTCTATCACGACGCTGCCTTTGATATCTTTGCTGTTATCAGCAAGAACTCGCCTCATGGCGTCTCGTCCCTCCAGAAGTTTGTCTTCACCAACAACGCCGCACTCAACAACGTCACCGAAAACGTCTGGAACATCATCAAGAAGGACTTTGCCAAGCTCACCTGGGTGACCGACAAGGCCGACCCCAACAATGGCTGGTTCTTTGAGCGTGCCGATGGATCCTACACCTTGGGCTCCAAGACCCTGTTCTGGTATGGTGTCCAGGACATGGATGTTCTGCAAAAGATTCTCAAGTCCTTTGCCGATTCCATTGGTGCGTTTGCTGGCAAGTCCAGTGCTGCAGCCGGCCTGCCTACCGGCGTCCGAAGTTTCTCGACCTTTGCTCAGCAGCGACGCTCGTTCTCCTCCTCGACTCGGTCCTCGGCTCCCGCCCGTATTGGACTCATCGGAGCTCGTGGATACACTGGCCGTGAACTCATCCGCCTGATCGACAACCACCCGTCTGCTGAGCTGGCATATGTGTCTTCTCGTGAGCTCGTCGGCAAGGTGTGCGACCAGTACACCTCCGCCAAGGTCGTCTACTCGAACCTCAAGCCCGCCGATCTGCCCGCGATCAACGATGTGTCTGTGTGGGTCATGGCTCTTCCCAACGGCGTCTGTAAGCCGTTTGTTGACACGCTGCGGGACAGCCTTGGCAGCAAGCATCCCGTCATCATTGATCTTGGCGCCGACTATCGTTTCACTGACGAGTGGACCTACGGCCTTCCTGAGCTCTACGGCAATCGCGAGAAGCTGGTTGGTGCTACCAAAATCTCTAACCCGGGCTGCTACGCCACTGGCTCGCAGCTTGGCATCGCCCCTCTTGTCGATTACGTCGCTGCGGCCCCATCCGTCTTTGGCGTGAGCGGATACAGTGGAGCCGGTACCAACCCATCTCCAAAGAACGATGTCAACAACCTCAGCGACAACCTTATCCCATACGCCCTTACTGACCACATCCACGAGAACGAGATTGGCCACCATCTCGGCTCACCCGTGGGCTTTGTTCCCCATGTGGGTCAGTGGTTCCAAGGCATCAGCTTGACCATCTCCATTCCCCTCAACAAGACCCTGACCGCCCAGGAAGTCCGCGATCTGTACGTCGCCAAATACGCAAACGAGAAGATGATCAAGGTCCTCGAGGTCGGCACTATCCCCGAGGTCAAGCATATCTCGGGCAAGCACCATGTTGAGATTGGTGGCTTCAAGGTCCACAGCAGCGGCAAGCGCGTTGTCGTCGTCGTCACCATTGACAACCTTCTCAAGGGCGCCGCAACCCAGGCCATTCAGGTAATGAGTGTGGCTTAAGGTCAAGCGATGCGGTGTAGTGTGCTTGCAGACTAGATTCGGGAAGGTGTCTGCTGCTAACAACAGCCTCTCGGTCGAGAAAGATTCCTTGGTCTCAGCTAACCTTGTGATTCTTGCTGTCATGATCCCGCGACAACTCTAGAACATCAACCTTGCCCTCGGACTGGGCGAGTTCTCCTCAATCCCCTTGTAATCTATCTCTTCGTAGTGTGTGTATGGCTCGTTGATGCAGGTCGGCCTGCGAAGGTTGTCTCGCCACAACCACATGGATGATGCCCTCGATACCGTTTTCCACCCCATCGAGATGGCCCCACGATTGTCCTCTGCCTTGGTTCGGCTCAGTGATTGATCATTCCGCCCTGCACGAGCGCCAAGTACCTCCTTTCCACCTTTACAACGCGCACGACACAGAGCAGACCCTCCTTTTATTGTCGTTGACTGTGTGCTCGTTCGGATACAATACATCCATCCATAACACGCAATGGCTACATCCACCCTGTCGACTTACAACAAGGGATGCGTCTCCAGTCCCCATCACTTGGGAGGGGGGAGAGGGTTTCGAGCACTCAAAGTGGCATCGAGTACGCCGATGCTGCAGTCAATGAAGCTGGTGGGCATCGTTCTAGAACTGCAAGATCATCACAGTTAGATTTATCCAGTCAGGCATCAAGACGGTATACAGCGAACTCGTTTTGAAAGGGGACGCCTCATCTCGAGACTGACAGCACCTGCATGGTGTTGATTTCAGCGACTGAACATCGATTGGCAGTGCGGGTCACCCCGCCGCTGGCAGTGGACCACTCAAAACACCACAGGGATCCAGGGGATGGGGGCAGGCATATACTTTGCTCGATCTCCACGGGAAAGATCGGCTTTGTGAATGACGGACGGGCATGTATATTCGCATCCTGAGATCCAATGGTCGGCGATCTCACAGCCAAGGTGTCCATTTGGGTTTGTGAAGACCGGAACAAGCATGCGCTTCTGGGCGCGCGTGTGAGCAGCATTAAAGGGTTTGTCTCCAGAACGGATAGGTTCTCCACATCCGGTTGATGGTGCCGAGCCGCTGCGAAACAGCTAGGTCCATGCTTTCAAGCTCGCGCAAATCCTGCATGAACATGGTCCGATACTGGCCCTTTGTCGGGATGAAGCTGGTGTTCTGGCGCAAGCGATGTACCTCCATCAGCACCAGGCCCTGCTCGCGGTAGGGCAGGTAGAGACGGGAGGCCGGGATATCGGTGGTTTCATCATCCGTCAAGCTCAGTTCCTTGGGCGAGCTCGCTAAATTCAGAATACGCTCGATTGTTCTTTTGTGCGAATCGAGCAGCCGGTTTGCCAATGTGATAGCGCATGACAGTGCATGCGTTGCGCGGCCAGTGGAAATTGGTCAGTTGACAAAATCGGACACACGATTGCCGGATGCGTCACCCGCGGAGAAGCGAGTTTCCCTCAGAGGTCGTCAAACAAACAGACTAGGCCACTCATCCCTTCGCCATTCCTTTCGCCATTACTTTCGCCATTACTTTCATCGGCCCACCATTCCATTCGCCTCTTCATCATCCACTTGGCCAGGCACACACCGCTCGCGTTGCGTCAAGATGCCAGCTTTGGTTCAAGGAGCGGACCTGAGCCCGTGGCTGTGGGGCCGCTTGGACGAGGTCATGTCTGGCGTTACCTGAGACTATGGCGGATGGATTGATAGGCGTTGGTGCGCCCGATTCCCATGCGGCTTCCCCACAGCTGCTGGAGCTGATATCCGACGCTATAAACGAGCAGAAGCGATGGAACCGTTGCCAAGAAGGCAAAGTTGAGCTCGTTCGCCTTGAGCAGCTTGTCCAGCGCCGTCATTGCAACTTCGCCGTCGACTTTTGTCTTTTGCACCTGAATGAGCAAGGTGCGGATCAAGTCGCCTGTAGATACGGTCAGCGAAGTGAGCTCTCGCGGGCGATCCCATTCGCGATTAGGCATTTGAAAAAATCCACGAAAAGTTCAAAGATGCACCAAAACGCAGCTTGAGCATGGCGATGTTGCCATGCGAGGCTCCGGTGCACTGGATCAGGTCGAATCGAGCTCAAGGTCACGGCTCGATATCTTACCAAACACCACGTTTCGGAGGGGCTGTTTGAGCTCTTCTTCATATCGCCGGAGCACAACCGTCACGTCCCCGACTCTAGCCCTTCCAATAATGTCTTGAAGTTCGGAGGTCGATGCGACGCCATGGTCTTTGGCAAAGTCGACAACCATTCGCTCTAGCGACTGGCACCATGCGCAATCCAAGTGTGCAGAACAGCCATCAGACATTGGCCGAGAACCGAGACCCCCCCCCGGCACGGTTCTGCTCGCTTCCATCAAAAACGTCCGCACCAGTCAAGCAAGTAAAGAGTCATTACAACCACGATACTCTCTTCGTTCACCCACCTCAATGTCCGAGTTCAATGACTCTGCTCCGAGAAGGGCGAGCTGTGCCTCTTGGTGGCGAATCGTCATCCAAATATCACGAAGAGGCTTATAAATCCACTCGGACGCAAAGGAGTGGACTGTGAGCCCAATCTCGGTGATGTAGTCGCTGATCACTTGGCCGGTCAGGACCTTGGACAGCTTCCATGCGGCAAAGGCACCGAGGGAAGCCGGCAGCCACCAACGCGTGACAAACGATGGGCGGCCATGGCTCCGCCCGAGGTGCGCATAGTGGCCCTCCAAAGTCTTGAGCGAAGAGATTGCAGCGAGCGCTCGATCATATATGATTTTGGTGGAAAAGTCGGTACCTTCTTCCACCTCTACAACAACTGGAGAGACCGTGGATCCACAAGGCGCGGTGAGATTGATTGCTTAGTAGACAGCGCGCGCCTGACAACAATGATTCTGCGGACTTTCACCCAAGCTTATCCCAGGCTACAACATCGGAGGGTCACGCACATCTCTTTGGCACGGCAGAGATCATTTGGAGCTTCCCATACCATCAAGATCCATCAGGATAGCCTCCATATCATCGTCGTGGTCTAGCTTTTGCGTTTTGTCCATGATGCTCTGCATGAGGCCCAAACTCCAATTGACGTGCGACTTGAGTTGAAGGATAAAGGTCTTGTCGGAAGCATCCACACGGACTTGGCTAAGCTCGTTCAAGTTGAGTCCACGATTGGTCAACAGGCCCAGGTACGCAGCCTGAACTTCGTGTGCCCGCCAGAGAGCAAGTCTTTTCTTCGATATCTCTGTGCGAGTCAGCTGCAGCAGCGACGGCGCAAAGAGCATATAGTTCTTTAGGCCAATAGTGCTCGAGGATAGGAACGACTTGAAATTGCGACTGGACTTTGAAAGCGACAGATGTGAAGCTGCCGAGATGGTCGTATCCGAAAAGAGCGAGAGCGACAACGGCAGCGATGTCAGGGAAGTGAAGAGCTGTGCAAGCGAGGGCCGCTGATGTTTTGCCCAGGCCGAAGCCACGAGTCGGAAGAGCCGTTCAGGAAGCGTTTGTACGAGATAGAGGCCAATGGAAAAATTCGAGCCCTCGACATCCAGCCAATGACCCATGCTTGGGACGATCGAGGTCGATTGAGCGAGGATCTTCTCGACAAGGTGCGCGTGGATCACCAAAGCAGCTTTGGCAAGAAGCAATATCTCCAGCGTGCTCGCAGTTTCGTCAGGCTTTGCTGGAGGAACCTCGGAAACAGAGGTCGCTGTATGATGCCACAGGTGGGGCCCCACGGGTGAAACAGCAATGATGTAAATGTCAGAAGCAGAGGCCGTGGCGGTTTTCCGGCTGATATCGCAGCCCAAGGTCGCTCGGGTGCATGCAGCTCACGACAAGCTGGACAGATAAAGATATATCTGACAAAATCTGGCTGGCTCTTGAAGTCATCTTGGACCACGGCTGGACTTACCCGTTTCCTCTGCATAGAGCAACTGACGACATTGGTGGATGGTGCTTTCGATGGTATCGATCGAGGGGATATGTGAGTCCGAGTGGCCGCTACGTCCTTGACTGGTGACGTTGTCGGTGGATGGGTAGAAAGGGTCTAAGGCAAACGCGGCCGGAGAGGTACCATCTGATGACACCAGCGAGAACGCCGGGCTGTGGACATGGCGGAAGAGTGAGTGGGTGACTTGCTTCGAGACGGATTCCTGGAGCTCGGGCGAGTCGAGCAAGAGAAGCTGGAACGAGGAAGACGACGTGGCCAACTGTGAGTCAATCCTGGCGAGCCGCGCCTGGAGCTGTTCAGAGACGAAGCCCATGGCGGAGGGGGTGAGTAAGGGGCGGGACGAGAGCCGACGGCCAAGGTCGAGTTCGATGGCAAGGTTGACCAGGGCGATGGTGCAAGCGAACAACCGCGAATATGAGATCGGCAAGGCGCACGATCGGCAAGGCGCACGATCGGCAAGGCGCAAGATCGGCAAGGCGCAAGATGCACCGCCACAGAACGCCATGGAAGGCCGCTCAGCCCACCGCGGGCTCTCGGGCTCTCTCGCCGCATCTCGCCGCATCTCGCTGCGTCTCGCTGCGTCTCGCCGCGTCTTGCCCCTTGCCCAGCCCGTCCTGAAAAAACGGCCCGATCGATCTCCATCCGCCCACCATCTTGGATCTGCACTCCTGCCCTGCTCGCCCAAGCGCCCCCACTGCACAAGCTCGCACCATGATGGCCTCCAACACTATTCTCACTCCCGAGGTTCTCTGGGCTCAACGACCGGACGAGCTCTTCGTTACCATCTCGGTCTCCGATCTTGTCAACCCCTCCATCGACTTTTCTTCCTCCCACCTCAAGTTCTCCTCCGACACTGTCGATGGCAAGCGCTACGAAGTCACCCTGGAGTTTCTGAAGGAGATCGATCCTCAGGTGCGTCTGCAATGATCCGTCCACCGCTTACACTTTCTTGGCTCTCTGCTCCGTGCTTGTGTATTCCATCCGCGAGGCGATCGGGTGCGATCGGGTGCGATCGGGTGCGCTCATGGACAAGCCAAAGCCGATCAGGGCCGATCAGAGCCGATCAGAGCCGATCAGAGCCGATCAGAGCCGATCAGAGCCGATCGCAGGCTACGGGGCACTCTTGTGGTGATCGGGTCACTCCAGCTGACTGGCGGGTTGCTAGCCTCAAAGCCGAGCCACGCAGACCGCCGATCAACGAGGCTGCCTTGGTTTGGTTGAACGCAGACTTGTCTCCTCCGGAACCATAACCATATATTACCTTCTTTCATCAGGCCTCCAAAAAGCACGTCACCGCCCGTCAGGCCTTCTTCGTGCTCTCCAAGAAGGACAAGAACGAGGCTTATTGGCCACGCTTGCTCAAGGCTTCTGGCAAGCCGCACTTTCTCAAGACTGATTTTGCCCGATGGAAGGATGAGGATGACGACGAAGAGGAAGACACTGGCAAGCCCAACTTTGACATGGACATGAGCCAGCTGGGCGACTTTAATGGCATGGACTTTTCAAAGATGGGCGGTATGGGTGGCCTCGGCGGTATGGGTGGCCTCGGCGGCATGGGTGGCCTTGGTGGAATGGGCGGCCTCGGCGGCATGGGCGGCGACGACTCGGATGACGACTTGCCTGAAGACGAAGAGGGTAAGCATTCGCGTTCGATTCGTTAGGCTATCTCCAGCAACAACTGCCAATCAAACGGCTGCACTTGGGTTGGATCGGCTTTGCTGCTGCTGCTGCTGCTGCTGCGTCTACTTTCAGGGGTGGTGTGTTGCTAGTGTGGGACTGGACTGCTCGCCGGAGATCGACGTTAGTGCCGGTGGGTGCTCTCTGGATCTTGCCTGTATACTCTCTGGATGCTCGTCATGTGCTGTACTGACAGTTTGATCGTCCACCCTGTCCCATGTCGATACGACCTTCAAGCTCCTCCTACCGAGTCTGCTTAAGACGACTGGGCATTGACGATGTTTGGAAAATACAGACAAGAATCCCGGTCATTGGGAGCGTATGATCGCGTTGTAGCGACCATGAAACGAAATGGGACATCGTATTGATGAAATAACCCATCGCCGTTTTATCCTTTTCGGAATCATGAATATATTTGTTCAGTAAGCATGTACAAGAGCACCATCCATCGACCAGGATCGCGAAAGGCCGTGCTGGTGGACAATGTGCACAAATATATGCAGGTGCCTTGGTGAGCCAGCCGCCAGCGTTCACAGAATCGGCTGTGTGCCTCCGCTTGATGCGGACGCTGATGTCACTCAGCGCTTGCGAGCAGGGTTGCCGGCCTTCAAACAAACTAGCACCGCGCAATCTACGGTTTGGTGATATAATGATACGTTTTGGTGTCCATGCAGGATAACCCTCACTCCCCGAGAGGAACTCATCTTCCTGTTGGGATCGATAAGATTGATCCAATGTGATGCCGCGCCTCAGACCGGGAGAGTGTGCTCCTAGTCATCGAGATCATAGAGAAGCTGACATTGGAGCTCGAGACTTGCGAGATTTTGCTCCAGTTGGGCACGCTCTTCCGGGCCGTCCTCAGGCTCGGTGTCAGCCTCGAGACCAGCCTGGGCCTTGTCTGATGCACATTTCTTGGACTCGGTCTGCAAAGTGACATAATATACAGTTGGCTACGGAATACTAATGGCATTCTATAGGTCGCGAGGCAGACAGCGATGTCAAATACCTCTCGAGACTTGTCCGTGGTTGTCTCGGTGTCGAAAGGGCAAACTTTGTTGATGCCATCCACATCCACCAAAATGACATGGTCCCACATTCCGCGGGCCTCTTTTTTGGCGATGGCTATAACTTGGTTCGGGCCAAGGATCAGGACGAACGAGTCTTCTCGGATGGCATGATCGGGAAACTTGACGAAAATCTGCTCGATGCCCCAAGTGAGCTGGATCTGAATCATGGAGTCGGGTAAGAGTCTCCACGGATCCAATGGAATCACTCCAAAGCAACGATGCGTCCAGGGTAGTGCTCCAGGGTGGCCGACTCCTCGCCATGCTGGGCAAGTGTGTATGTTTCACCAGCCATGGTTTGTTTCAAGCAAGAATACAGACTTACAGCATGTTTGCAGACACGTTGTACCACGTCTGCTTCCTGAATCACCGACAACGGAGAGACGATCAAGCGGAAACGTTCCGGATCTTGTTCAAGACGAAAGTTGGCCGGGCGGCGTGCGGACCCAGTGACGGCCATCTCTTGCTGGGATGCAGTGATGGTCTCGCAATCGAGGACATCCCAGTCACTGTTGGGTGTCTCAGTCCCAGCAACAATCGATTCTCTAGTCAGCAGCTTGTCCGTCGTAGAGATCCTCTGGCCGGGCTCACAGGTGTCCGGGTTGGCGCAGGCCTGGCATTCGCGAGTACATTCTTGCACTGTTTGGTTTGGTGATGAGCAGGCATGATCCGCTGCTGGGGTAGCCTCTGGGCGATCCTGCGTGATCTCACAATGAATAGCGCCGTTTGGTTCTCTCTCTGCGTCGATAGAGCCTGTGTCCTTCACAGTGGAAGTCGGCGGATCTGCGGGTGTGCCAACGGAAAAATTGGAGCGGGCATCATGTCCTGGTTGTGCGCTGGAATTCAGCTCGGTCATGGAATGATGCTGGGGACTTGGAGGCCGATCAGTGTGCGGATCCATGGCTGATGTCGATGCCTTTGGGTTGATGATTGGAATTCCATTCGGACGTTGCGCACAGCGATTGAATACGGATATGTATGTTATGATATGGTCCACACTTGGGTCGGTGACGGAAATATCGATCGTAAGCTCTGGGCGGGTGTCGATCTCTGACCTGCAGAGGGTGCTCTGGCTTCATCACGGGCAGAACTAATTCTAGACAGCGCGTTTTCTTGATGAACTTGGCGCTGCCATTATCTTGATCCACTTCAAACGAAAGATCGACACTGAGACGGTATTTCGAAGGTACACTAAGGGTAACCTGCCTCGCTGTCACATCGAGCTCAGCTTCTTGGACTGTTTCCTGTTTGTTGATGGTCGAGTCAATAGTGCGCCACAGCCAGGCAATGTCTCCCGCGCTATCGGCCCATACAGTAACCGTTTCGGATTGCTCGAGGCGTCGTTGAGCTACCAGATGAAATCCATAAGATGATATCCATATGATGAAATCCATACCATTCTGGGGAGTTCGACTTTTAGGACGAGATACTCTGGTCGTGTGGGTAGATCACGGACTTTCTGCGAAGTGAAGTGAGAGTAGTCAATGGCGCCACGATGCACCAGCGTATAGGAAGGCGTTTCAATTCCCTGGCTTGCCAAAGTATCCAGGACCTGAGCCGTTGCAGAGTCGTCGCTGGTCGATGTACTAGCAGAATTGGGCGGTCTCTCATTGTGGACGACGCTTCGGTGCTTAGAAAGTGCAGGAGCTGGCAGAGGCTTGGATGAATTCTGAAGCTCATGGAAGAAGGTGTCCTTTTCGTTGATTGGGTCACTGATTGGCGCAGCCCCACGAATGATAGTCTGTGTCGGGACACCCTTGGATTTCATCTTGGGAAATGTCCATGTTGCCTCTGTATGGCAAGAGATCAACTGGGTAAGTTTTGATCCATACGATGCAGATATCCGAGCCACCAACCATCAGTTGAATTGAAATGTAATCACCTGAGCCAAGCAAAACATCAAACTGCCGCTGGATGCCTTCGACGGCCGTGCCCATGAGCATTTTTTGAAAGCGTGGATTGTTTTGACCGATTTCCATCGTGACTGGATGGAAAACAGCATCGAAAACCACGCATCTTGTGTTGTCTGCAATAGAAACTCTCTGATTAGAGCTCCAATGACCCGATGGTGTTGGCAGATGGCAAACGCCTTTGCTGCAATAGTGCTACATAACCAATCGTCTCACCTCGGCAACAATCTTCCTTGGGCGCGGCCAATGAATACGGAATGGACCAATTCTGTCCCCGCCCCTTGGAATCGGACCGCTCGGTCGCTGGCTGGATTTCCGTGCTGGTACATATGTTGATGAATACCTTCGTGTTCACCTTTGCGAAAGCAAACACGAAGGAGTCGGGGGGATCTCGGGTAAATCGCGTCTTCAAGACAAGCTGAGGAATTGGTTTCACAAACCGAATATTGTTTCCTCGCTCGGCCTCAAGAGCGGTGAGCTCAGCCTCATAGAGCTGGACGCAAATGAAAGATGCTTAGCGTTCCCGCATCCGTATCACTCAACCAGAGACGTGCAATAGGGACACACTCAAGTACCTCGCGCACTTTGGGGTCCTGAAGTTCCTGGCAGTATTCGCCAAACATCTTCCGGAACTCTGGATTCTTGAAAGCCTTCTCAATCTTGAGGTATTCCTACACAGGCACGAGGGCGTCAGGTCCATGGGCAAAGGCAAAGTTCGATGGGATCGGCACTATTTTGAACGTAAAGCCAGTTCTGGGCAAAGTGGCAACCTCATGAGTGATCTTCAGCTCATCTTTTTGCTTTCGACAGAGATCTTCCATGGTCGCGAGAGTATGCGCAGGGATTGCCAGTACGCTGATACAAACAAGTCCGAGCTCAGCCGATAGCCAGAAGCGAGCTGGGACCGGAGGATACCTCGGGTGGTGGAGCGCCTAGCCCAGTGATGAAAGCCCCTCTGATACCAAACAGTAATTTCCCGCCATTTTTGGCAAGCCCCATAGCTATGGCGCCAAAAGAGACAAACGTTTAACCGCCCTGCCTTGGCGAAAGGGAGAGCCCGAGCCCTTGGCGTTGTTTACATTCCTCAATTGCGAGAGTCTTCTCAACCCCATCGCTCTCACGATTTGCCAGCCATGCTTCGAATATTCAAGTCCAAAAGACAAGGCGCACTACAGCGACTGACTCAAGAGCTCATCGAATATGAAAGGGCGTTTCCAGAGCGCGCAAGTCAAGTACTGAAGAAGGTAGAATACCGAGTCCAGAGAAAGTGCCGATTCCGCCTCGGCGCTGATGGAACTAATATTTGTGGTCGATAACAGGTCGGAGCCATCCCACTGATGTCGAAATACCTCTGGGAAGCGCTAGACAGGATGATCATGCAGAGTGTGCAATCCATGTCGTCGAAGGTCTCACAGGTACACTCCATGCCAAATACGCGACCGGGCGAAAGTCAAGGAAGTGCATTTTGAAGGAGGCAATGCCCTTTCTCGTGGAGGCGTGGATGCAATATCGCGTTGCACGCTACTGACAACCAGATATTCAATTTAGACGAAAAGCGATCTGCTGGCCATCGCCTTTGAGGAGATTATGGTAAGTCAATCATCGCGAAGTGAACGGAAGGGCGAAAGGTCGCCGACGCGTCGAAGCAGGGTGTTCAGCAATGTGGTTGGTGGGGTGCAAAGGAGAGACTCGAACGGGCACAAGGGGCTTGAGGAATCAATCGCGGCGAATAGCAATCTGAAATCTGCAATCCACAGCAATCGAGGTCATACTACGAGGAATTCATGCAGGCGCTGAGAAATATGGAGTCGTGCCCAGGCTATCACGATATGGGCACTCTCATGAAGGAGCAAGTATGTGTGGAATGCCATGAGTGCAGGAAAAGAAGTCGATTGATTTTGAATCTGGTCCTAACCAACATGCATTTACAGATATTGGCGACCGAATACAAGTGCATCCTCGAGAGGCCGGTCTGGCACCGCTACTATCTCCATAAAATTAGCAGATATCAAACGCCACCGTGCAACCTGCTCCAGCGTACGGATCATTTGGTGATACAAATCATGAATATGCTCGAACTCAGTGTGGAAACATTTGAGCTGAACTGCAAAATAGAGGAGCGGGTTTGTGATGAAGACTGGGTAAGAAACACAATGAAGCACAATCGGAGCACAGTGTTATGGCCTTGTTTGACTCGAAGGCGGTGCCCCCTGCCAATGTGGAGTGATCAACCGGAAGTACTCGGATTGATACTGTTGCCTTTCAATGCAGATTTTGGTTCCTCTGAACAAGCCGGCACTTCCAATCGGTCTTGGAAAGGCAATCTGTCCTGTCTATTTGGATGAAATGCAATTTCTCGAAGTCAGATGGGAAAAGACACAACACATCACCGAGCGTGATCTTACAGAGCAAAAGTGGATGATATTCTTATTTGATTACACCCAAACTGCATTGATAGCCAGAGAAAGCTCGAACGGACTGAGCACAACCCAATACCTGCCATGCTCAGCACTTCAGTTGCGGTCACATCCACATTCCTCCATCCGTCAGTATTGTGCATCCCTCATGAGGCCGTGATAGGCTTGTAAGCAAAGACTGATACCATATATTACATAATGCAGAAAACTTGATTGAAGTGACCCTCCCTGGTAGAATACTGCTGCTACAGATGAATCAAATGCACAGAGACGACGGCCTCAGATTTTTCAGAAACTTCGCGAGGCTGCAGGGTGTCATGAAAGACGATCCGCTGAAGAGCTATGGCAGCTTGGACGGAGCTCCAGAAACGAAACAAAAAATCGATTGGGATGAAGTCTTGATCAGCATGGTAAGCTCGGGTGCCTCTGTTGTCATGGCGGACGCAGAATTAAAACTCACCCGGCATGATCGGCAGGACGGTGTTACTCCTCCAATTTTCGGCAGTGTCATGGCGAAGCCAAATTCAAATATGACACCGAAACGAGCCGTGGTGTCAAAGCCAAATCGAATTCACTTCTACGAAACTTGCAAGCCACATCGATGGGATCCTGCAGAGAGAGAGTGGCTTGATCTTCCCCGTTGCGAAACTCGAATTCTGGATGGGCCTGATCAGTTTCGATACCTGTACCTGAGCGCCGAGAAAACCGGTCGCTCCGTGGTACTTGCTCCGATCATTCCAAGCATGCAAATGGAGAAGGATGGAAACAAAATCCAGCTCAAATGCGATGTAAGTGGCATATACGAGTAAGCTTGCGAAATGTGAAAGGATATTTATGGAATGGTATCCAACTGATTGGCGATATTCCCAACATTCAGCTCCCGGGAACCCATAGACGAAATAAGTACTCGATGAGATTCCGTCAAGAAGCACAGGCGAAGGAATTCCATGAGTGTCTCGAATACAATGTCAAAGAGTCTATTCGAAGAGCCTCACGGCGAGCATATGATCAAATCGCTAGGCTGGCAGGAGAACATCCCTTTCATGAATTGAGGAGTGTCGAGTGGCCAGTCCAGGTTGCGGTGGCGTTTGAAGAAACATTCATAATATCGGGGGAGCCTCAAAAACGAAGCGACTGGGTCGTGCTTGGGCCAACAAAATGCACAATCTACCAAGCTTCAATCCAAACAACCGCTATGATATTGTTGACATCACTCCATGATGAATCAGTCACCATCCTCCAGTACAGAGTTTCGTCCGTCCGTGGAATTGAAGAAGATGGAGCCACTTTCACATTCAAGATTCAGCCGGAAGGATTAACGATTGAATGTCAAATCTTCGGTATACTGAAGGGGAAGCAGGATAACGAGGCCGATGGATTTCAGAACTTACTCTCGACGCTTGAAGCAGCGACGGTATCGCATGGGATAGTCAAAATCGACGGATTTGATGCGACAAAGAGCAATCAGGTATATAGAAACACGATTTGAACATGAAAGCGCTACGGTGGAGTATAGTCCCAACTCTAACATGGATTTATGACCAGGAGAGGAATCGATTGCCAAAGTTGTGTTTGGCGAGAAGACAAGCGTACAAAGCGTACATAGAGGAATTGAGTGAACATCAAACAATTTGTATGCGGCAAATCGAAAAAATGAAGCGAATCGAATGAGACTGTCTATTGTGATGAGCAAGAGCGGCAATTGGCTGCGATTAAGATAAAGAAATGATGGCATCCATCCGGTCATGTTTCAGGAATGATTTATATGTTTTATGTTTTGAGGATAAGGGAAGAAATAAAGAAATGAATCAGGTGAGTCGCCCACCCTTTCTGGTCTCCAGGCGAGTGTCACGAGAGAGACAATACGGTGACGAAGGTGGTGCTGAGGTGGAGATCACCACAAATGACGAAACTAGAACCGAGTTGACAAAGGAGAGAAAATGGGGGAATGCAACAGAGAAGATAGACATGATGAACGCAGTTGAAGAGGACAGAAACAAGCAATCAGACCTCAGCATACCAAATATCCAATCCGGACTTGGGAGCGAACACGTTTCTGATGGGACAAGAGTTCGAGCCCATGGAATTCGAGAGTCCACTAAACGCTACAGGTTGGTTATGCCGTGGAGCACGCTCATGAGAAAAAATACCAGGATCAAGGTAAGGGATAGAAGTGAACGATGCAATGACTTGATGAATGCAGGAAATGAATATCAGATAACGAAACAGTGCCAAAATCGAGAGAGAAAAGGCGAATAGTCATATTGAAGTAACTATGAACTTGAGTGAGTTCCGTGGTGTAACGTCCGAATCAATGGGATCATGAAAGAGAGCTTGGAAAAAGCAAAGTAAAATGCAGAGCAGTTAAAATGATATTTCAGGCTTGCTTGTACTCTCCACAGTGTCGACTCTGAGACACGTCTCGGAGCAAATATCTAGAGGTACAATACAAATCAGGAGACTGACTATCAGGGAGAGAATGAAAAGGAATGGCAACCGGTGAGAACAAGTTTGAAGGATGTAGAGAAATTGTGGCGAACTGGACCGATTGCCAAGGGGTCCGAGGGCCGGAATAAACACAAAAGCGAGGAGGTTGACAAAATGTCCTCAATCCATATTGTACGATCCCAAGATTGAGTTAGGGTGCAGACCCAGAACGTTAGAGCACAACATCGGGGGTCTGGTGAACATTTTGTACGGCGCATACCCAGCGGATCCGCCATTGTGCAAGGACATCCGTTCCGGTGGACGCGAGTTCGTGAGGAACGCACCCACACAACAACAGAGGAGAACACCTGTTTCAAGTTTGCGATACGAGCCGGCGCGGCATCAATGACAGCAGTCCGATGCCACAACCATCTCCTCAATCCTAGTTCACCCTCACTGTCAGATCACGGGATCAAGAGGAGATCAAAAGAAAAAGATAGAGAAGGGTTTTATTGATCTTAGCGAGGCTAGGATCTAGAGTCGAGTGTGTCTGGGGTCGAAGGTGATGACCAGAAACATGAGCGGGTGAAGGCGGGCTATTTATCTGTCTGGCGGTCCCGGAGGCGAAGCCTGCCGCAGCGGGGGCGAAGCAGCGGAGGCGGCGGGACAGCAGCCAGGCAGCAACGGCTAACCGGAGAAACATGTGAAAGTCTGACAAATGCTCGGTGGCTGACAAATGCGGGTGACACAGCGTCTGACTAATGCATGGTCGATGACAAATGCAGGGAAAACAGAGCGGCGTGTGCAACATGAGAGCAAGGAAAAAGGAAAGGCGTCACAGGACAAAGGAAAAGGAAAGTGTGCGACGCAAACAGTGACACAAGTGCGACGGTGCAGCTAGGCGGGCAGAGCGATCTGTGACATCCCCCCCAGAAAAATTGTGCTCAAGTCAAACCATCAATTTTTCGATCCCGAGTTGCGTTGCACTTGTGCTTGGCAAAGGTCGATCAGTGTGTCCATTTCCGGAAGGTTGCGGTTGCGGCTGAGGAAGTCGTGGATATCTGCGAGTCCTCCATCCAAGAGTTCGGCCAGTGGTGCCCACGAGTCGTAAGATGGGTCGTATCCCTGCCAGCGGAGCAAGAACTCGTGTCGATATCCAGGAAGTCGACGTCGTCGGTTGATCCTGTGTCCAATGATCGCTTCGAACACTGATTCGTCGTTGTGGTTGGGTCCGGGTTCATCAAACACAAGTTGGTCGGTCGATGGTGTGTTGTAGGGGACGAGGGCGGAAGCGGGGAGTTCGGTTGTAAATCGGAGGGTCCTCGGGAGTCGAAGTCGATATCCAGTCGTTCCGATCTTCTCGATGATCTTGAAGGGTCCCAAGTACGGCATCCGCATCTTGGAGGGTGTGACGTCGTCCGTGCTGAAGTGATACGCGGTCGTGTCGATCAGGACTTGGTCGCCAATGTCGTAGCTGATATCGCGTCGATGTCGGTTGGCGTAGTACAGGGCCCGGTCCTGGGCCTTGCCGATGTTGTCCGAGACCAAGTCCAGAGTCGCTTGCATCTCCTCGATCGACTGTGCTGCAGGGTTGGACTCGGCGATGATGTCGGTGTTGGCAGGAGTGCGAGGATGCTGACCGTGCATCAGGAAGAAGGGCGAATGTCCAGTCGAAGCTGAGCTGTGTGAGTTGAGCGCGAACTGGATGTATGGCACTTGATCGATCCAGCGGGAGCCGAGGGCCAGAGTCGAACAGCGGATGGCCTCGGCGACGGTTGCCACAAAGCGTTCGACTTGTCCGGCGGCCTCGTGGTGGTGGGCAAAGGCGATCCGGAGTTCGGTCTTGAGCAGAGTGTTAAGTCCTGTCCAGAAGGCCGACCGGAAGCGTGTGTCGTGATCCGAGATGAAAGTGCCGGCGAGTCCAAAGTGCACAAAGACATCGCGGAAGTACTGGCGGGCGACGTCTTCGGCCGAGTCGGTCTTGTTGCCAGGAACCAGGACGACGTACTTGGTGAGGGAGTCGACAAAGATCGTGATCGAGTTGAAGGTGCGTCCCGAGAGTGAGTCCGTGACAGGCGGGAGTCCGAGGATGAAGTCGAGGGCGACAGTGTCCATCTTGCGGGTGGCCACAGGGATCCGGGAGAAGTGACCGTATGCTTGTTGTCGTCGGATCTTGGCTCGCTGGCAGATGTCGCAGTGCGAGACCCACTCGGCAATGTCCTTGGACATGGCGGGCCAGTAGTAGTGTGTCGAGATGGCCTTGTAGAGCGTGTTGGTGCCGGGGTGAGCTGCACAGACAGAGTCGTGGTGGTCCTTGATGATCGAGATGCGGAGGTCCTTGCCGGGGATGCAGATGCGGGTCGAGTCGAAGTAGAGAATCCCGTGTCGAAGTGAGAAGCGGTGCAGCTGTGCCTTCATCCACGGCTTGAGTCCGTCGGTCGAGTTGTCGCGGAGGACCGAGATCAGTGCTGACAGGATCGGGTCGGAGCTGTACTGAGTGCGGATGGTGTCCAAGAGATCGTCGGGCGAGGGTCCGAGGTTGACAATCGCGTTGATGATCGAGACTTGGACGGCCTTGGAGATGGCTGTCGGTGTGCGCGAGAGCACGTCGGCGACCTTGTTCCACGAGCCGGGGATCCACTGGATCTCGAGGTCAAAGTCCAGCATCGTGTCGATGGCTCGCTGTTGGCGCTTGTTGAGGGTCTTGGAGTCGAGGATGTGCTTGAGCGCCTTCTGGTCGGTGTGGAGGAAGACTTTGCGGCCGACGAGGTAGTTCTTGAACTTGTCGAGGTGGCGGGTGATCGACAGCAGCTCGCCGTTGTAGGGCGAGTAGTTGAGTTCGGATCCGTGCAGTTTCTGCGAGTTGAAAGCGATGGGGCGCACCGTGCCGGATCCGTCCATGTCCTGCCCGATCCATCCACCAATCGATGCGCTTGACTCGGACCAGTCGGTGAAGAGGTGAATGTCCTTGTCCGGGTTGACCATGTGCAGCGACTGAGGCGAGAGCAACTTGAGCTGCTCGAAGGCGGCGATGGCGTTGTCGTCCCAGACGACGGACTTGGTCGAGTTGGCGGAGCGGGTGGTGATCAGAGTCGAGAGTGGACCGGCGAGGGCAGCGTAGCCAGGGACAAAGCTCATGATGGTGTTGGTCAAGCCGAGGAAGCTGCGGAGTTCGTGTTCGGTCGTTGGTCGCGGGTAGTTCTTGATGGCGTCGATGCGCGAGGGATGCACTTGGATGCGTCCTTCGCCGATGATGAAGCCGAGATAGGTGACGGTCGAGTTGAAGAACGAACACTTCTCGGGTCGGATCTTGAAGCCGTGTCGGTGGATCTTGTCGAGGACCAGTTCGATGTGGCGGATGTGCTGGTCCTCGTCCTCGGATGCGATCAGGATGTCGTCGATGTAGACGAACACAAAGTCGTCGATGAACTCGCGGAAGATGTCGTTCATCGCGGCTTGGAACACGGAGGGACTGTTGGCGAGGCCGAAGGGCATCACAAGCCACTCAAAGTGGCCGTACTTGGTCCTGAAGGCCGTCTTGGGGGTGTCGGCGTCGGCAATGCGGATCTGGTGGAATCCGCGTTGCAAGTCGAGCTTGGAGAAGACACGGCACTTGGACAGGCGG